TTTTCCGAATAAATGATCGTTTCATGATTTCAAATCAGAAAAACAGCGTTCCTCGAAAGCTTATTAACTCGTGATTATTTCTCATCAAAACACATTTTCCCATGTTTTATAAACTCATCTCATTCCAAGAAAAAATATTGCACAACGGTAGTGGTTGAATTCGGATTCTCTGGACCGCAGAGCCCTATCCCCATAGGCACTTGATAACTTAAATTTTTTCTTGAAACTTTCAGCCAATGCACTCAATAATATTTTTTTTCGAGAAAATAGATGAGAGGTCATAAACTTTTTTCTTCTAAAACAAGACAATTAATCATAAATTGGCGGTTTCTATGTTCATTTTTCTGATTTTTCCTCTGCATTTTTTTCAATTTTTTCTTCAATGTTTGATGAGTATGTGCATTTTTAATATATTGTTTTCTTTCTTTGCATAATTTTTTTGTTTCTTTTTTTGCTCGAAGTCTCCAATAGATAATCCTTGATCTATTATTATATTTATTTTTCTCATTTCTCAATTCTCAACTCAAAATCCGCTTATCATAATCGTGTTATTCTCGCGTGCTAGCACTTTGAAAATCTGATTTGACTTGTCTGAAAAATATTTTTTTTCCATATTTTTTTCAAACGTGGGCACGGATTTCTGGAATTTCGTGATCTAATTTTGGGATATAAAATATTTTGTGAGTAGGAGTTTTCCATTCAGAGCTCTTTCTTTTGTTTGTAGACCAAGTTCTCACATATTTAAATAGATGGATTTCCCTAGATCTCTTTAAAACCAAGAATTAATCAAATGAAATGAAATTTGTATCTATTTTAGTACAATCCCAAACGAAAATATGTATTTATTTTCCAATTCATTTTCATTTTCACTCCAATTTTCATTATTTTCATTTTCATCTTTTTTTTCTCCTTTCCTATTCTTTCACCCCCAATTTGTTGTTTTTTTTGTGCTGCCATTGGATAGTCATTTGAATATAAAATTGCAATGTACTTACAAGATAAATGAGATGATGAGACAATATGTTTTGAAAACGAAAAAAAAAACAATTCTTTATATTTTTTCTTTGGTTTTTTAATCCTACGGGTCATTAAATGTTTCCTTTTGTTTTTTTTTTCCAAATTTTTTGTAGACAATAAGTTAATCCACGTCAATTTTTTTTATGAGTCAGTTTTGGTATATTCAAACTCTAAAAATTTTCAAGTAAAAATGTGGGAGGGAAACTGACACGAAACCCATAATTTTCAAAAAGATCAACACGTGATTCTACAGATTTTTCCATTTTTTTTTCTAGAAAAATGCTTTGCTAACAAAATCTGATATCATCTTCGTGTTTTTTTTCCTGAAATTTCTACAGTACGTCATAAAACGTTATTTTGTAGATGTTCTGCGTCATGAATTGATTGTAGCACATGTTGGGCAAATTGTGATTTGTTCCAGAAGAAGTTGGAAAACATTTTTTATTGAGAAAACGTTAAGCTTCAATTTTACCCTTTTTAATATTTTTTCAAATAATATGTTTCTCTACAAAAAATTCCAATCCCACAAATTTTTTGAATTTTGAGCTTTCAAGAAAAATCCAAATTATAGGTTCCAAGTTTTTTTTTACTAAAAATAGCCTTGTCTGATTTTCAATCTCTATTTCTAGTTTCTCAAGAACTTTGTGGGAAGCCAATAATAAGCATAGCCTAGAGTTTTTACGTGATTTGGAATGAATAAATAATATACGATGATTTTTCCGAAAAATACGTGGGTTCCTCAGTTTTTCAGGAATGAAAATCAAAAACCAAATGATCTGGAAAATTCTCAAGAGAGGACCTTTTATTGCTAATCCAATATACGTGTGCATATTTTTTCTATATATTTGTTATATTTTCTGCACACATAACTCATAACACGAAATTGTGGATACAAATATGATAATCCTTTTTTCTTCATTATTTTTTATCATCAGGTTTTTCGTGCAAAAAAAGCATTTGTGCCCTCTCAAAAACGTGCTTCAAACCCTGAATTATCTACCTTGGAATGTTTGTTTTATTCCAGACATTTTTTCTTGTACCTCTTTTATTTTCACTTACATATTTTCCCAGAATACAACTATTATTATTATTATTTTTTATGTTTTTATTAATAGCCACATATGATTCAGGAAAGCAAAAATCTTTTGTTTTCTATTTCTCATTTATTTTTTTATCTAGAAAAACATATAGCGAAAAATTAAAAAACCTCACTCAAATTGCTTGTTTTTCCGCGTTTCTGGTGAGAAATAGACAAGTTCTGACATTTTACTTGGTTCTCCAGAGAGTAAGTTTTTGAAAACGAAAACGTTTTTCTTGGAGTTCCTGACAAAACTCAGAGATTATAAGACTCATGTGATAACATTTATTTTCTACAGATGGGATTAGAACATTTTTAATCTTACATTAATCGCTGGCCGAAATAGGTTTTTTGTTTGTTTATTTTCACATCGTTATTGTTTGTTTGCAAATGTTTCAGTTTTTTAAGATATTTATTGCAAAATCTGCACTTATGAATTTCAATGAGTTTAGCAGGCCCCTCGAGTTTGTTCAAATTTCCGGCTACAGAAAGACGTTGTTTGATTCGGATTTGTGCTAAATCGATAAGAATAACATACTCCTGGAAGATTCCACTTTTCAAAAACTTCATCCTACGTATAATTTTCAACTGATTTAAATATCCCTAATCAAGTTTCGGATCATTTATAACTTGTTAAAAATAGTGGAACAAATTTCGAATTTTATTTTTTTCAAGAAGAAGACTGAACTTCTTAAAAAACAACTATTAGGAAATTCACGAAGATTTCAATTTTTTTTTTTGACGAACGAAAATCTGACGTTCTGAATATCCTTCATTTCACATAAAAACCGAGCAAATTGCCTAAATTGAAAAAAAAGACTCATTTTCTTCGTAATTTTGAGGCATCACATCATGTGAATAAATGGACCACCTACCACGCCCACATATTGAACAAATGTGAATGGGATTTTTGATCAACAAATTTTGAACTCGGTCATTTAGGATCTGAAAATGTTATTTGAAGTCGAATTGATAAGAATTGATTTTCAATTTTTTTAGTTTTTGGAGCGGCCTTGAAAAATATCTTTTCTGGTTTCTGGAGCTGATTAATTTTTGATACTCTTGGAAAATATGGTTTTTGTCGTTGAAAGTTATAATTTTACACTCAAAAAAGTTGAAACTACCTTATAATCAGAGTTTTCTGAAATAAAAAACTGTGGGAAATAGTGGATTTCTGAATTCTTTAAAAATTACTCAACCCAAAATATGCTTCATTCTAGTGTTTGAATTTTCTAAATTCAAAAAATCTAGAAAACGCAAACTTCTCTTCCAATATAAAATTCAATTTCCTGACACAATTTTTCCCTGATTTTCAAATAATAATAAAAACAATAGAATCAGTTTTTCTTGAGATTAACTCCAAAACACACGGAATATTCTTTTGCAACACCAAAAACCATCCAAGATCAGAATCAAATCCAAAAAAAAGAATCCTCAAACTCCGCTGATTTTTCCGTCCAATTTCTATGGTTTCATTCACTTCCAGTTAAAAATCCCCCTCCCCCTCTTCCAGATAATCCCATCTACTCTTGGAAAAAAACATATTTTCGCTTTTCGAAAAAAAACTCGTCACTGATTAACGAAAATCTTTGCAAAATTCCCACTCAATCCTCAAAATTGTACTTTTCACTATGTTTTTTACTTGCCATTTTACGCAACCCACATAGATTATATCATTTTGTTGTTTTCACATTTACGTTTTTCAAAAACTACAAGTTGGTATATAAAATGGAACGTGGAAGTTCATTATCTTCATAGTTTTCAATTATCATTTTTTAAGAAAAAGTTTTGCACTAATCTAAAAAAAATAAAAAAATCTCGAAAAAAAACAGCGCAGAAAAAAATGTTTATTCTCGCATCATGAAACATATTAATCGTATTCCTTCTTTCTTCTTGATTGAATCTCATCATTTTTTTACATTTTTTATTTATTTGGTCAAAAATGCTAGAAGCATCGAACACTATCTATTTAGTATGTAGTATCAAATTCACATCATTATTATTTTTTTTATTTCTCATTTTTTTTCTGAAATGAATATAAAGAAAAAAAAACAAACATGTCTGACGAAATTTATCTTTCCGGAATTTTTTTGTTTGCTATTTTTGGATAAATGTTTGGATGATAATTTCCGTTGTTCACTAGATTCTATTATGGGAAAGGCGAAACTTTGTTGCATTATTTTATTTTTAGTTTGACTAGAAATCTGAAAGTTCGTGATGAAGTGTGGCTAAAAAACAGGGGCTTGAAATATCTATCAACTCAGATATTGTTTGAGAGTTTTTTTTTCTTTGTCAAACCGGAAATGTTATCTAGACTGCTTTTTCAGAATTACGTACTTACTCTCCGTCTATTGTTTAACTAACTTACAATATTGAAAATTACGATCTTTCTAAATTCAAACATTTTTCTGTCGTATCTAACTCTTTTAAAAACAGTTACAAGTATATTTTTACACCGGAACAGTTTTCATATTTTTCTAACTTCCGAGAACACAATTGAATCCCTAAAACATATTCTTTCTTATTCCTCTTTTTTCTCTCCTAATCCCATTCCATTCCAAAAATGTCATTTTTGTGTTCTGAATATCAATAAAACAATATTAATGTTAATAATTTTTGATCTACCCTCAAAAACTTTATCCGATTTGTTGTTTTTCAACATCTGAAAAATAGTAATAAAATGACATCTGGATTATTTAAAAATTTCTCATTGTGTGATTTTTTCATGTTTTGCGATTTCGATTCCTATTTTTATTCCTATTGCTGGTTCTGAAAAAAGAATAAGAAAACTAATCCGGTTATTTGACGTATAAAAATCCGTATCGATATTCTATTTATTTTTTTTCTGAAAAGAAATCCATTGTAGTCAAATTGTCTTTTCCGCCACATTTTTTTATATTTTCAGATGAACACAACTTTTGCTATTTTAAATGAAACTGTTGCGAATGGTACAGAAGCAAATTGCACTGAAACGGTAAGAATTTAGGATTTTGTTCAATTAAATAACCCTTTTTAAATTTTCAGTTTGTTTCGTCAGCAAGCATGGAAAATTGTCTAAAATTGTTCGAGCGTTGTATGACGATTGCTTGCTTTTTTTCAACATTTTTACAAGTTTACGTAATACGAAAAGCTATCAAGTATATCAAACGTGGCTCCGGTGATGAATGCTTACATGTTTTTTTGCTATCAATGACTCTTGGTGATATTTTACTCACAAGTAAGTTAGCATATATTCTTCTTTCATATCAGGAATCATTGAACACTAATTTCTAGGCTTCTGCTATCCAATTGAGCAAATGCGAGAGCAACAATTGATTAACCCACCAACCTGGGTGAATATTTGTCAACATGTAGGTCAAAATTATTTTTTGTGTTTAGGAAATATTATTTTTACAGTTTTTGACATGGCTTGGACTTTTGGTATCTTCAGCAAGCTTGATTCTTCTAAATGCTGACAAATTGCTGTTTTTCAAATTTCCATTGAGGTGTGTTTTTCGTGAAGAATTGTGGGTAAATAGTCCAGTTGGCCTGGGGGAACTTATGTAGTCCAGACCTATACAGTTAGCGATGGTTTTCTAAATGTTTTAATTATCACGATCAGGCTAATTCAAAAGTTCGAAAATGATCCACTCTTTCTTAGTCGTCTTTCTTAATCTTTACTAGCTCAAAAATTTGAAATAATTTCTAGACAGATATTGAGCTGCTTTAATGGTCTAGACATTTTTTTTGCTCATTCTTTCTAGGTGGTCTAATCGGCTCTGATTTTCCAAGAACTTGGTCATTTTTTTCAATCCGACTGAAATCTGATTTTTCAGATATACCAACATTGTAACATCAACGAAAGCAATGATGATTGTGGTTTTTGTTTGGGTTGGATGTTTTCTCTTTGTCTGCTTATGCTGGTGGCTGGAATGTTTTGAGTGAGTTTTTTTCTTTGATTCTAAAATTGAAAAAAAATGTGTTTTTTTTCAGGTGCAATCAATCGTGTCGGACTTTACTAATTTTCAAAGACAAGGTGTCAATGTATATTGTCTTCACGGTATGTTTTTTAATTTTTGAGTTGACATTCTATTTTCTTCTTTAGACTTCTGCGTGTATTTTGCCAAGTCTTACATCATTATTTGTTGCAATTTATATTATGAACGTTGTAACTTCACATAGAACGAAACTATCGGATGGTTAGTTTTTCCAAAAAAAAACATGTATTTGAATGAATATTAAACATTTTTCAGAAAATAGTAATTCATCACATGCTTTAGCGTCACGACTTCGAACTTTTTATTTTATTTTTATGGCAACAATTTTCACAGCAGTTACATTGTTACCTTACCGATTATATAATATTAAAAGACAGTTGTTCACTGATGAAGATGATTCATACTCATGTTTGGATCTTTATTATCCATGGATTTTGCTGTATCTTGTTTCTCTAAATGCGGTGAGTTTGGAAAAATCATCAAGTTTTGTTTTTACATTCCAACAAAATTTTTTTTCAGATTCTGAACCCACTTATAACTGTGACAGTCTTGCCACAATATCGTTTCCGTTGGTTGTGCAAAGTAATGGGTTGTGCCACAAATCCATCTCCAGTTCATGTGTAAAAATATACATATCATTTTTAAAGCCAAAATTATTGGTAGTTTTGTTTTCTTTTTCTTTCTTAATGGGTTCCTGATTTTTGTGAATAAAATGAATAAGTGTGAACGTATTGAACTTCAGACGCATAAAATATTTATTATATATACTTGCATATGTACTTGTTTGCTATCTCGAGTTACGCAATATGTTTTATTTAAGAACTTCGCTCGTTAGGCGAAAAATTGAGGATAAATATAAAACACGGGGGTCTGAAATTGTTTCATTTCAGAGAATTGGGCCTTTTCAGCTGCTTCGAGAATATACTCAGAAAGTAATGTCTGCAAAATTTCATTTGATTTGAAAAAAGTTCTTGGTGTTGATCAAAACGCTTTCAAATTCAGGGTTCGAATTGTTCTTATTCTGATATTTTTAAAATTGTTTAAAAATTGTCTTGACATTGGAAAAATATTCATACTCTTTTGAAAACAGTTTCAAGTAGAAAAAACTTGATGGAAATTGTTAAAAAAAACAAATCCGAATACCCATTTAAATTGTAGACAACTGAACATAGTTGTGATTAAAAAAAAGCATATTGAAAAACCGTTAGTAAGACAAATTTTCTTTGATAATGGGGTGTTCTATCTCGCCAAAACTATCTGACTAAACAATCGGCTGGTCTTTTCATCCAAATTGGTTTTTTTTCACATCCTCACTTGAAGTCATTAACAAAAATCAACATTAGAAACAATGATCAATTTGAACGTGGATCTTTATCAAGTTTGAAATTACGTCAAATTCATTGCATGTGAAAGTTTTGTTTTCCCTATTTACATTTCGAAAATCAAATATATTCAATACTCTCGTACAACTTAAGTTTCCGTAATGCAAAATCATTGTTTTCCAAGTTGTCCACATTTCATCTAATCAAAAAAAATTGCTGAATTTTGAAATGATTTCTGAAAAATATGTACTTCTAATCTTGAAAATCCAAGGATTCGTTTTACTTCCTCACAACTTTTAATAGCAAAATTATTTACAGAGAAAATTAATCAGTATTAGTAATGTTCGTTCTTTGCATTTTTTTCAAACTCTATACAGACTTCTAGAAAAAAGTTATATGAATCATTTATTCGTCATGAACTCAAAATGAATAACAATGATACTACTCTAATTTTTTTTCTCATTTTCAAAGAGAGAACATAAGATCAAAACATGAAAACTCCTAATTGTAAGTTATGAATATAATCATAACACATTTTTATCAACAAAAATTGAAGTTATTTTTGAGTCAAATATTCAAATTTCGTTTTTGAACCAATTCATGTATGCAAAATTTGAAAAGCTTAACCTAATGTAAAATTTTTTTAATTCTATATATAAATTCCATCACTTGATAAACGTATCAATTCAACCAATTTTTGATTTCTATATTTTTCCCCACCGGAAATAAAGCTATTTTCTCATTATATAATTCTCTCTTCAATTTTTCACTTTCATTCAAATTCTGTTAGATCAGAAAATCAGCTGCTCAAACTTTTTTGTCCAACTCTCCAATTTTCTATTAATTCTGAATGTGAGTTAATAGTACATAATTTGCTCCAACTTTTCCGAAAATCTATAATTTAAAATGTTCTCTACCCTTCCTATTATTTTATTGTTTTTTTGTTTGTTTTTCTGGTAAGCTCAAGATTATGACCCATAAAACTCGATTTTCCTTTTCTTCGATTTCTAGAAAAAAAAACTGAAAACTAAATAGTTTTTCCTCAAATATTAACAGATTAATCCAAACGGATTATTTTTCAAATAATCTTGTCATTATTTGAATATTTTTGGTTTATTTTTGCTTCTCCTTCTAATATAATTTTTTCTGACCAAAAAAACATTTTTTCATTGCAAGTTTTCTCCTCGTGCTTCAATTAGTTTGTGATTCTCAAAATACTTTGTGTGCAGGTTCAGTTCAACTATAATCTAGTTGAAAAAGTTGTTTGTTATTTAATTTTTCAGCTGATTCGAAAAAAATAGATTTGCATTATTTTGAACATATTTATTGTTAGAGTAAAAAGGGAGACAATTATCACATGATTTTATTTTTATTTTCAAATCATCTTTTGATTTCGAAAATTTTGTTTTTCTATAATATAAGCTATGTGGTTTCTATCAAGAAAAAGTTGTTTTTGAAATATTTCAGATTGTTTCTGACTTATATAATTTTGAAAGCATATTTCCGAATGATGTTTTAAAAAACAATTCGAAATTTCTCTCATTTTCACTGAAAAAGTCTAGCGAAAAAATAATCTCCAAGATTTTATAAGATTTTCTTCTCATTCTGAAAAATAATTTTAACAAATTCATTTTTATAAGTCTTCCTTACATTTAGAAATGAGCAAAATGCGCTCATAAAATTAGAGAAAAGCTAAAATGAAAAAACGTTTGAATGAGCCTAGAAGAAGAAGCTAAAATTACCCGAACTTATCCAAAATGTGAGTTAGTTCAAATGAAACATAAGTCTAAATACAATTTGAATTAATATTGTCTGGGCTTCGTACATATTTAAGATAAGAGAAAAACTTTTCTGTAATATCATGTTGTAACTAGTACACTCCTCCGATAATTTTTGATAAATGCTTTTCAAACATTAATAAAACAATTTCGAAGTTGAAAAAAAAAACACAATGAAATACCGTGTTAATTTATATTTGCAAGTGTCTTAGAACTGTGTTTTTCTTTCAATACTAATTTTCATAATGAATCCTTCGAGGAATGTACTAATTGCAACACAATCTCTCGAGCCTAGCCTATTTTTATTTCGAACTTCACATTTAATCAGAAATCATATAAGCATAGGTTTGTTTTCAATAGACCTAGGGTTGAAAAAAAGTGGCTTGAATTTAGCAAAACTTTGAAAAAGCTGCCAAACAACTTTCTTCATTTTAGTATTTCATTATAAATCTGCTCTTCGTTTCAGTTCAAAAAGACAATTTGGAAATATAATGAAAAATAAAAGATTGAATTAAATTTTTCTCTTCTTTCAATCCCTTTTTTGCAACAAAAATATCCTCCACTTTTTTCTGCAATACCTCCTGCCATTTCAAAAACTCCATGAATAACTACTAATTTTCATACACTTTTTCTTCTCCTTCTTCCATGAGTGTTTCTTTTTTCAACTAGACTTTTACTGAATATAGTGTACTTTTTTTCAAAAATCTTCTTTTTTATTATTAATTTTATTTTTGTTGTTTGTTTTTTCTTGTCCTCATTTCCTTTCCTATCAATAAAAAAACTCGCGTGTTGTTCTCGAAAAAAAAGGCGGGCATGCGAGAGAGTGTGAAGCAGAAGAGAGTGTTTTCTCTAACCGGCCCCGCTTGACCCTCCCTCTCCCTTCCGGGGAGTAAATTGATCTTTAATCTTTATTGTGTGCGCGTCTTTTTTGTTGTTGTTATGTGATCATTATTTTTTCTCATATCGCTTTTTAGTTTTTTTTATTCCATCCATTGAGTGATTATTTTTAATTTTTTGATGGTTTATACCAAACAGCTTATCCCATAGATTAGTTTGCACTTAGAATTGCTGTGTTATACAGTTGGCTCATCTTCTCAAATCCTAATGCGCTTCTTGCGCATTATACTTTTATGGAGTTGAAGAACTAAAATTGAGCAAAAACAAAAAAGAGCCGCCATACGAAATAACTGAAATTCTTTTTTTTACAAATACAAAAAGAGGAAGAAGCAGTGAAAAGAAGAAGCGAGATGACTAGAGTATGCATATATATGAAGTCTCTTTTTTCTTTGCTCCTTTTTCTTCTTCTTTTTTTCATAATCACTCTTACTCTGCGACAAACAAGGCCATTTTTTTCTTGATCTCTTTTCTTTCCGTTTTTTCCTTTTTTGTTTTCTCGTTACCTTGTTTTGAAAAAGAGTGAAAATAAATGTTGCGTTTCAGGTGGATATGATTCTTCGGAATTGCGTTGTTCTATTGATTGTGATATGTAGTAGACAATTACAAATTGAAGCGGGTTGTGTTGTATCAGATTACAGTGATGATTATTTGATATGCGATTATGTTTATGATCTTTTGACTCCACACAATCTATCATATGTTAGAGAAATAAGAATCAAAGAATGTTCGGATAACAATACCAACAATTTCAACTCTAGTTATGATCCTATGTACAGTGTTAAAGAGATTACATTTGCTTGTCCAGTTGTACGAATTCCTCAATTAACATTCTACGTGTTCCCACAACTTCATAATGTCAATTTACCAAAATGCAATATGTCAAGAGTTTATTGGCAATCAGTTTATAATACAAACTCAGCGCTTGTTGATTTGGGAAAGTGCCCAGTTCCATGCACTTGCGAACATGAATGGTTATTGAACTTGGGCCATGAATTCACATATGTTTTATTACCGCCTGGATTTCGAAGATGTGAATTGAATTGCCGGAACTACAGAATTCGTGCCGATAATTATTTGATCAAAGCAAGAGAAGGAGATGATGTTTCTATCACAGTCACCGTTGAAGATGATTATGTTCCTATTATAACCAACAGGTATTTTGTTTAATTCAAAAAAAATTTTCAAAAAAAAAGCCAAAACGGAAATTGGTGGGCGTTTGCCTTTTTCCGCGTCACCAGATATCTTAGAAACACATTGTACTTTTCGCAATAAATGTTCATCGGGGAAAAATTATAATCACACTTTCCTAGTTATTTATGGAAAAATACGTTTTTGGTGATCGATTAAAAATTAGATAAGGTTCCCGTCGATGTCATTAAAACTGGGATTACTAAAAATGCGACAATTGCAATTATTCCGTTGCGAATAGAATAGAAAATGAACGCTGGCACAATGATAAATTCAAAATGCGACTGATTGTTCAAATCTGTGATGACCAAATATCTCAAAAACATCTCTACGACGAAAAAAACCCAATAAATATTTTGTTGCGAGTATAAAAAATTGCGACAAGATCCATGTCTCAAGAAGTGACCCTTATTTTTTTTTCTTAACAATCCGCTAGGTGTGGAGGTCTACATTTTACTAGGAAAAGCTTGGTGGGTCACGGTAATTTGAAAAGAATATGTAGCTACATATTTTTTGGGAAAAACACTGTTTTTATTAAAGTTGGATCTCATTTGGAAGATCATGATGTGATTACTACATTTTTTCAAAGATTTTTTGGATGTTTCTCGAACCAATTTCAAAGTTCGTTTAAAATATACTGACATCCTCATAAACTAGAACTGTTATGGTCTTGAAACACTTCATTCACATTAATAAATTATATTAAAAAATTTCCAGTAAGCAATATTTTGAATGGCGTCACTTGCATCATCATAGACACAAAGAACATATCACCAACGACACATTTGTTATCAATATCAAAAACATCACCGAAAATGATGTAGGAAGTATTGACGTGATTTGTTGGCACTGTGTGCACTTCCTGAGAACTACGGTTGAGGTATGTTTCAAATAATCCTGCAGATATTAATATGAGCATACTAAAAATTGTATTGTTTCAGCTTCATGTTGATCGCTCGTTGAATATCTCATTCCTCGAAAAATTGAATCATGACACCGATCATCTTATGGTACAAGGATGGCCTCTCAATAATTTGACTTTGACATTAACACATGTAAGTTGAAAACAGACAATTATGAAACAATTAATTGTTTTCTCACAATTTCTATATTCCCAGAAATAATTGCCAAGCTTTAGCTTGTCTAACATATACGTTTTCATATCAAAATTCACAATTTTGCATAATATTCACTTCACCTGAAAATTTTCCGCCCACCTATTTTTTTCCAGAATAAAAAAACTACAATCTAGTTATTTTACACTATAGTCTCAATAAAAAATCTGTAACGACATCGCGTGATCATAAAAATTAAGTGCTTGAAAAATTCGTATATTTTCAGGTTCCTACAAATCGCACTGAAACTCGTGTAATGCTTGACTCTTCTGTAAAATTCTTCAAGTGTTTGATCGTGTCTCCTGAGTCAATGTAAGTTTTCTATCTATAGAAGAGTTTCAGTCAAAAACATAAATATTGATTTTTCAGTGGGCAGTTTCATAAGAGATTGTTCAAAATATATTTGAATATGAATGTTGAAGAAGATCTTCTCACTGGTTTGACAATTTTCGATGTTTGCGCCGATGGGAAAGGATGTCAAAGCATAGAAAGAGAGTTGTGGCTTCTTGGACCACCTGTAAGAATCTTGTTCTACTAGGGAAAATATATAAATCAATTAAAAGCTTTTTTTTCAGCCGAAACCTAGAACTTCTCCTGCACCACCACTTCCAATAATCAGGAATTATTGGAAATATTTGATGATATTTTTGGGAATCTTGCTTTTTCTCGCAATCATTGCTTGTGTATTTCTTTGCTGTTGTTCTCGATCCCGCCTCGCACGATTTGTTCGCGGAGAGGTAAATTGAAACAAAAATATTCCACTAAAAATCAGTGTTTCAATTAAGTTTACTCTAAATATATGTATTCCAAGTAATTTTAAATTTTCCGTAAACATTGAGACAATTTTCACTTCAGAGACATTTTCAGTTTACTGGGCGTTTTTCAGAGAAAAGCGTTTGATAAATTTGATCGTGTTTTTGAGAGATGACCAGTACAATTTGATCCATGAACTAAAAATCTACTATCTACCGTACCCCACAACTAATAAAAATTACAGTTTGCTCGAATTCGTCATATCGTAAACCGTCGTGGAAACGCTAACGGTGAAGTTCAAGAGGGAGAAGAGTTACAAGTTGAACAAGCTCGTAAGCCAAGTGATGCTACAGAAGAAACATTTTTGCAAAAAATGGAACAATCCTCATTGATCTCTGATTATACAGATACCGTTGTGGAAATTATTGCATGTGGCCAAATTAAGATTCACGATGTGATTGGACGCGGTGAATTTGGTCGAGTATATCTGGGAAGTTGGGATAAATTGGGTGAAAACTCTATTGCCATCAAAACAGTGTCGAGTTTCAATGAAGAGATTGTGAAGGAGGCTGTCCTGATGTCACGATTGAATCATCCCAACATTGTGCGTTTATATGGTATGACCGAGCAGGATAAAAATCTTTTGCTCGTCTTTGAGTATATGAACCATGGTGATTTGCGAAGATATTTGCGTGAGCGTAAACCGATTTCTGGAGGATCATATGCACAATTCCCACCAGCACTCAATCATCGAGAATTGAAAAAGATCATTGTAGATGTATGTTTTAATACGGAATTGTTATGTGACAGTCTCAGATATTGTGATAGTAATAGAACTTTCACAATGTTAAAATCATATGTTGAATACTAATTTATTATCAATTTTTTTAAATGAGTTTTCATATAAATCACGAATCCCATCACCACAATAACGATATGATTTGTTTCCCTAATAAAATTAAGTTTTCAGATTATTAACGGTCTTGGCTATCTTGGAAAACAACAAGTTGTTCACCGCGATATTGCGACACGTAATTGTCTTGTTTCGGGACAAAGCGATCTTCGTGCAACTTCAGCCGCTTCAAGACCACCAACGATTGTCAAAATTTCTGATTTCGGTTTGTCTCGAAGACTCCAAGGATCAGATTATTATCGAATGGAAGGTCGAAGTCTTCTACCAGTTCGTTGGATGCCTGCAGAATCGATTGTTGGCAACAAATTTACTCATCACAGTGATATTTGGTAAGGGATTTTGTTTGGAGATAATTTATTGATATAAATAATGAAATAAAAACTGTTTTATTTAGGGCTCTTGGTGTGACCATCTGGGAAATTTTCAACTTTGGAATTTTGCCATACGCTGGAGTTTCGGATGAAGTTATCATTGCGAAAATTATTGCTGGTCTCCACCCAGAAAAAACCGATCTGTGCCCAGAGGCCATGTATAAATTGATGGAAAAATGCTGGAAATCTGAGCCTGAGGAGCGAGTCAGCGCAGATGAACTTCTTCTTGATCCTGAATTTGAGGATATTGTTTTGTGCAAACCGATCATTCAAAAACCACAAATCTGTGCTGCTGAAAATTTGAGCAACACAATTGGAGAAGAAAAAAGTGCGCTTTTGGAGGCGATTTGATTTATTTTGTATATATTGATTATCATTTTTCAGTTTGATCTCTAGAATTTCCCATTTTTGTGATGTTGAACTTCGGGTTCTCACCTTCCCCATTTTCCCCACATTATCAATTATGTTTCATTTTTCCCTTTATCCTTTCCTATTTATACACTTAACACTGGTTCAACTTCTTTCTAGATCTCGATTGATTGTTTTCTAAATGAGCATCTCACAATAATTTCCCATATCAAATCTAAAATTGAAACTGTTTTCAGGAATTTCCTATTTTCTCTATCAATCATTATTTTTCTTAATTATAAGTTATTTTGTCCATAAATATTATTTTCCGATTTTCAAACGTTATAAGGTGAGGAAAAGAAGACATATCAGTGTTTTTTACCAAGAATCAGCAAGACTTCTTTACATATTATGGGTATTCTAACACTACATTTTTTGTATTCTCGCGTGATCATCAAAAATCACTAACCATATTTTCTTCCAAACAAAATTATTTTATTCGCCAACATTTTTTTCACGAAAAAAAACTACATTCAAATAACTGATTGTGAATGTGGCATTTGTGTTGAAACATGTTTGGCAATAGAATATGTGACTTTTGAAACGTTTGATAATTTGTTTCGAACTTCTGAAAATTTCGAAACTGATACAAATTTCAAGCTGATTTTCACTCACTCCGGAAGCAATTTGAATAATCGGATACTGTGTACATCAGAAAACATGCGTCAAAACAGGGAAATAATGAAAAACCGCATAGGATGATTCCAGTTGGAATATTTAATTTTAAGTTTAGTAATGTTAGATAAATAGTGCCTGTTAGAGGGACAGTAAGAACAATGCTTGGAGCAACAATCTGCAAATTTAAACCTTTTCAGATAAAAAACAAAAGAACATACTGGTTTACTAACAATCTGATAGCATTTTTAACCGTTTATACTGCTAAAAATTATTGCTTACCTGAATGACTAGAGTTTTGAACATTTGTTTGTTCAATCGCTGAAGTGATGGAGATAAATTAACAATAAATTTATTCATACTCAAATGTAAACGAGCACCAGTATACAGCATGATGCAATATTGCAAGGACATTAATATAGTCATATCAAAAATTGATGTTAAATTATACCATCGGAATTTATTTTCTGAGTTCTAAAAAAAAACCATGTTTCAAAAAATGCTTCATTTTTTCTCACATATGCGATCACTCCAAAACACGTTATATCTGAAGTGTTCACTTTGTAATAATCCAAAATAACATCTTCCATATATTTCTCACTAAATTTATCATATGTTGCAAAATAATAATTGCTAGTACCCCAAACTGCCCCAACACTGAAAACATATAAAACCCAACAAATATTCTTCCAGCCTTCAAAAAATTGTGTTCTTTCGATGTGAACAACAACCCAATAGCGATAGATAAATTGAACTGCAAGTAATGCGATCGTTGAAGCATAAATTCCACTGTAAATTGCTGAAACTTTATTTTTATCGTTTCCTTTAATAAGAATAATTGAATTACCCATAACTTTGTCGAGTTTTAGTTTCGATAGGTTGAAAGGTTTTGATACCGAAAATACAATATATCCTGCATTATAACTGTGACTTGACTGAAAATTTTTTGTTTTATCTCGTAATTCTAAAATTTGAGAAAACAACTAACAGGCGAAAGCAAGACTTCAATTGATGCAAAAACAATACCGATCACTGAAAATGTGATTATAAGGTTTTTGTAATTACCCATTTTTTGATCCACCATAAATATTGTCAAAAAAATAATCATTGTTTCAGTTGTTAATGTCATACAAAATGAAAAACATGAAACAATATGCGCTAATTGTAACCACATCACTTCGAAAAACACGTTGATTTTATGAGAACAAAAAATCAGACGTCTTGGTATTATTTGTTTGATACTACATTTTTTGTGTTTTCACATAAATAACAAGAAATACTAATTGGATTTTTCAAGAAAAATCATTATTCAAAAACATTGTTCACAAAATAAAGATCATTTAGTTCACCGAATGTGGAATTTGTGTTGAGAAGTTTCGTCCGATAGAATATGTGACCTTTGAAACGCCTGATAATTTATTTCGAGCTCCTGAAAAATTTATTTTTTTTTGTAACAGAATTTTTTCTGTTACTTCGAAAACAATTTGAATAATCAGATACTGTAAACATTAAGAAACATGCATCAAAGCAAGGGAATAACGAAAATCCACAAAGAATTATTCCAGTTGGAACATTAATTTTGATATTTAGCAATGTTAAATAAAATGTGACCGTTAAAGGCATTGTTAAAACAACACTTGGTGCAACAATCTGGAATTTTTTTTTCGAAATAACATTGTTTCCTTGGCTCACATATACCTGAATCACTAAAGTTTTGAACATTTGTTTGTTCAAACGTTGGAGCGATGGAGATAAATTCACAATTAATTTAGCCATACTCAAATGTAAACGGATTCCGCAATAAAGCATTATACAATATTGCAAACTCATAATCACACTTATACTCCACATTGATGCTAAATTGAACCATCGAAAATTATTATCTGAATCCTACAATCAAAAATATTTGGATATTTAGTTTTATTTTTAATCAGAACTTACATATGCAATAATTCCAATACATGTAATTTCTGAAGTGTTAACTTTATAAAAATCAAAAATAACATTTTCCATATATTTTTCACTATATTTATCACAAGTTGCGAAGTAGTAGTTACTTCCACCACCCCAAAGTATCGCAATACAAACAATGTATGAAATCCAGAAAATGTTCCTCCAACCTTCGAAATATTTTATTTTTTCAATGTGAACCACAACCCAATATCGATAGACAAATTGAACTGTCACAACTGTTATAGTTGTTATATAAAAACCACAATATATTCCTGTCAAATAATATCTTTTTTTCAATAATCAGACAAAATTGATATGTTACCCATCAAGATGTTCAGTTGATGTCTTGGTAAATCAAACGGTTTTGTGACAGAAAATGCAATATAGCCAGCATTATAACTGTGACTTGACTGAACATTTTTTGATTGTTATGAAAATCACAAATTGGTCGAAATTTCAAACATACCGGTGATAATATCACTTCCATTGATGCGAATATGATACCAACTATGGAAAACGTGATTATTAGATTTTTATAGTTACCCATCTTTTGATCAAGAAAAAATACAGTCAGAATTATAATTATTGTTTCAGTTGTCAATGTCATACAAAATGCAAAACATGAAACAATATGCGCTAATTGCAACCACATCATATTGAAATGATTTTGATTTTTTGAAAAATGACAACACAGCTTCTCATGATTTTTGTGATACTACATTTTCTCCATTGTTTTTTTTTTCTGCAAGAGAATAACAAATCACTGATTAGATTTTGTTTTAATAATCAAAAAAATCAACATGTTCGACAGGAAAAATGGTGCTTGCAGTTAATTTTAAAACGATCGTAAATTTTTCCCGAATGTTTCAAGAATTTCACACTCAATTGGAGTCAACTTGTCACAGAACCCCCTATCTGAAGATATTGTTCAAAGAGTTTAGATTTTTTACCGTATGTGGGTGTTTTTAAAATGAACACTTCTTAACCTTACTTGCAGATTTCCAAAATCTTGGATTACAAATCCAAGAATCCGCAAAAAATGTTCAAGTTTTCCATTATTTCCGTTTCATCCTTTTTCACATTCCATCATGTCTCATCCTTTTCATCATCATCGACTGATAGTGTCAGGTGGTTCAGCGTTTCTACATACATATATATATTTATAAATATATAATTTCGGAGCGCAACACAGAACAAAATTGCTCGAGCAGAACGTGTTAGCCGATGCGATTTGATGCGATGAAAAAAGATAGAATCGAGAGAAAATAAGAAGCGAGACCACTTGCCTTTTTTCTTTTTCTCCTCAACCTGAACTCTTGTTTTTATCTATCTATACATACATATCATTTTTGATTAATTTCAATATCAAAATCCCTTTTTTATTTGTTTTGATCATGTCAAGTGTTTGGTATAATAAATTCGTAGCAAAATAACTATTTTTCACTAATTTTAATCCGCAAACAATTCTTGTGTGTACATTTTTCATTAAAAGTTATGAAAAACTTTTCAATTGCATATACTCGTTTAGCATCCGGTTTTTCTTACATTTAATAAATAACCCATCAGGGTTTATTAAACAATGACTAATGGGAGGACCCTTTTTTCTGTCAAACAATAGAAAAATGTCACATTGGTTGGTTGGCCTAGGATTCAGGCCTTCGTACTTTTTATCGGTCGTATATATGTCAATGCGGCCGGCATGAATGAAGCGAACAGCTGCGTTTCCGTAGCCAAGAAAAATTGAGATATGAGAAACTACTCACCTTTTTCTTATCCTTCTTGTTTTTTTTTTCGAAAAAGAGAGAGGTTTTTGATGAAAACCAAACCATATTTTTTTTGAGCAATGAATTATTGCCTTTTTTATGTGGTGTCAATTGGCTCAGATTTTTTCTCGCTTTCCCTGTCTTGTTTCATTCATTCAGTTCTCTTCTCTCAAGACTTTTTTATTTGAAATTTTTATTGTTTTTTACTTTTGCTTCATGATAGATCATAGATGATGATTTTAAAAAAATTTGAGATATTCTGCTTTTTTGGAGAAAAGGATATGAGAAACTTGTAGTGTTAGTTTCGTAATTCATAACTATTTGTTGTCAAGGCTTTTGTAGTTTTCTGACTTTTTATGAGAATTCATTCATTTATTTTTTTGTTCTTCGAGGTGGTGATTTTATAAATAAAATTCTAATAAGTTTGCATGTTTCTTTGTTTGCTGAAATTCAATACAAGTTGAAAACAATCAGAGAACTATTATTTTTCTGGGGTCAAATTTATAAAATTTTTTGGTACGACCAATTTTTTTTCAGCCAATTTTGGTGTACTTTCATGAATATAACCCATTATTTATTTTATAATAATTCTAAAAATAAGAAAATAAAATTTGATAACAATTTGATGTTCAGAAATGTTCATATGTAGAGTTTCATGGATTTCTCTGGTGAAATTCCCTTACTCAAATGCAAGCCACAAACCATTTTTTATATGATTTCATATTTTTCTACAACCTTTTTCTTTAAATCCAGACCCCATTCTCATAACTTCATAGTAATATATGTTTTATGATTTCCTAAACACATTTTCCCATTTTGTCTCTCGAAAAATCACGTGAATACGTTTTTAGAATAGTATTGTAACTCGATAACGTCACGCGACATGTTCCCTTTTTGTTCATCAAAAAACAAGTTTCTCAATTCTTAAAAATTATTTGCAGATCACGAAATATAGAAAAATATGATGTGATATGGATATAGACGAAGTTGATTTGATTCCGGCAAATAGCCGATTTTCAAAAAGAAATGGCCGCAGGTTTGCTTTTCTTTTATTTTTTTTTGTTGATTAAGAGTTAGTGATAAAAAATAAGATGAAGAAACTCCAAGTGCATATCTTTTTTGTTGTATATAATGTGTGGTATTACACAAAAAAACTGCACTGAATGAGAATGAAAAATTGATTTCGTCGAAAAATAAATAAATCAAAAAACGTTTTTTTGCAGTCTCAAAATCCAACGACTCGCCGATTGTCAACATTTTCATTATCCGTCTGTTGAACTTGGAGAAATTAAAGTGACACTTTTGAAGTTTATCAAAACCGAAAATGACAATGAAAAAATTACAATTTCCGTTCAAAGCGATTCATCATCATGGTTGGTTTTTTGGTGAACCAGAAAAAAAACATAGGAAAATGTGTTCTTTTGGGAATATCAAGATGTTTCAGGATTGTTGAACGTTCTCGTGAGGATTGGGCTGTTTTTGATCGACAACTACATCGTTGTGTTTTTGAAAGGCGGCATTCGAAATTAGAAGAATTGTTTCCACTTATTCATCAGGACCAGCAACAATTCCAGGTTTCTTCAAAATTAAAAAAAAAACACTTTGAATACATTTATAATTTATTCAGGAAATCCTAATTAATTATACATTGCGATTTTCTGAATTAGCTGGAAGTATTATAACGTGCTACCCTGTGCTCAAGTTTCTAGAGGTTTGTTTGTTTTAGCGCCTGAAAAATTTTGTGTTTGTTTATTTTTCAGCGACTGAGAAATGTGTTTTCTTGTTTTGTTTTCAAATTGTTTCCCTTATCCCCCTTATCAAATAAGAAAATAAAATAAAACCAGAAGATTTGATTGATCTGCTTTTATTTTTTTTTTCATATTTTTCAACGAATATTAAAAGATGAATATTTAGATTGATTGTCGAGGTGGACATTTTGAACCAGCTGAAGAGACATCGATAAATGTTCCAGCGATTGCAGCGGCAGTGGTGACAAATGATTTTGAACCGAGTCATTGTTCGCATTTGAGATTGAGGGTAGGTTTTTGAATGAAGTTTTCAGTATTTTATGTATTTTCTCCAAAAAAGGTTTTGCAGCCATATATAGTAGCGTTCAATTTTTACCATAACAAATACAGCATCTGGAATTCCAGGTCGAAAAAAAGTTTATCGTTTTCTCAGATATCTGATACAAAGATTTTCTATTTGATTTCATCATGTGACCTTTGATAAAAATATATATTAAAACATTATTCATTGAGAAACAGGAAGAATATTTCGGATGAGAAACGGTTTCAAAATCAAAAATTAATTCGAAAATTAATTCACATTCAGAATTTCTTTATTTTTTTCTAAAGGATTTGAAAAAAAATCTATAATAAATTTGCAGGATAAATTTCAATGTTTTTTCATTTTTTTAATGTATCTATTAAATACGAACTTCACTCTCACGATGTTCTATTCGTTTTAATTATGTTTGATATCTAAATGTAAGATTAGAAAAGTGTATTTGTTGCAAATCAGGATATCCTGAAAATATGAAAATTAAAATCTAGAATTAGTTTTAAGCAGGCATTAATCTAGAATTAGTTTTAAGCAGACCATTAGCATGCTTCGATTTCTGAAATCTTATGAAACTGATCCAACAATTTTTCCAAATTTTCTCTTTTATAATTATAATACTGAAGTGTTGTTAAGAAACAATAAATAAGAATCCATTTAAGCGACACAATTTCTATAATTATGACAATTTCTTTGAGTTTCCGAATGTATTCTCAAGAAATTATATTGTCTACTTTTCTTGCAAAACATTTTTTTCAGGTTGGCGATATTGTTTCAATTACTGAAATGACATCCAACAATCAAGACGAAAAATCATTTTGGAAAGCAAAACTCACAATATCGAACCAAAAATGCGTTGATCCACAAAATCCTCGACTTGGTTTTGAGGTAAATTTTCCCTCATAAATCTCTTACCAAATTTTGATCGAAAAAATTCAGATTGGTTATTTCCCTAGCGATTGTGTCATGTTAATTGATGATAAACGGTTACCGAATCCTTCGAACTCTGAAAGAAAACAAGTGTCTCGAAATGCCAGAAAATATATGGCAACAATGTTTCGAAATCGTAGAAGAGATCCAATTTTTGGACTCGAATTGAATGAAATTTTCTTGAGAAACGGACGAAAAGGTAGATTTGGATTTTTGGACTCATTTTATATTGAAATATAATATTTTTTCAGTGCCAAACATTGTTCAAAAATGTTGTGCCGCCATTGAGGATCAGGGTATTGTCACGGGTATTTATAGACAATGTGGAATTCAATCCAATATTCAGCGACTCAGGTTTGATTTTGAATTTTTGTTTGGAACATTTTTTTTCAAAAAAATGATTTCAGAGCAAAGTTTGACAGTGGTGCTGAACCGGATCTTCAGGAGTTTGGACAAAGAGATATTTATTCGGTATCATCACTGCTGAAGCAATACTTCAGACAACTTCCAAATCCACTGTTTACTTATCAAGTTTATTCGCGACTTTTGGTAAGTCCTGACGTATGATGCATTTCAAAGTTGGAACAAGGTTTTCGATTTCTCAATGTGATTTCATTTCCAGAGAGAACAATTATTAGTGAAAAAATGTAATAATAAATAAACCAGATTCCCTGGAATATTAAATGAACCAGATTCAAAAATAATGCATCATGTTCTTTATTTCCAAAATTCTCACAAGAAAATCAAATATTCACGTAAAATTATGCCTCAAAGATCCAAAAAAAAGACAAAAATGTTTTTTTTTTCAGGAAGCATTTGAGAACAGTGAAGCTAACTCGATCAAAATTGAGAATTTGAAAAATGTAGTAGAATCAATGCCAGAAGCTCATTACAAAACCGCAAAATTCCTAATGGAACATTTATCTCGATTATGTCAATCGAAATCCTTAACTGATATGACATCGAAAAATCTAGCAATTGTTTGGTCCCCCAACTTATTCCGTCCTCCACCAACGTTAAGTGGAGTTGATGTTCATCTTCTCAGCGGACTCAATGTTCATACAGCCATCTGCGATTTCTTTATTGAAAATTCTAACGAGATATTTTACAATCATGTAAATGGAAATGAAATTGAAGAATTGGAAGAGGAAGATGTCAGTAAATCAACAAATAATGGATTTACTGTAATTTCAAAATCTGCAACAATGTCAGATATGAGATCAGAATCAGACTCGAGGTGGCCTAGGTTCTTTCGAGGAAAATCAGTTGAAGGATTCTGGAAATTCAACAAAAAGCATCAGAGTTCTACTGGAGAATTATGTACATCACCAACTTCTGAAGTTAGATGGAGAAGAAATGCGAGATCACATTCAACTGACGCAACATTCCAATCATCTCGAACAGATTCCTTTATTCAATTGATGCATAATGGAATGGATCAAATTAGAGAAGGAATGCGGATATTCCGACAAAGAGCTCGAAGCATGAGACCAACATCTAGACCTCCACCATCGCCAAGAGCACGGAGAGCGCGATTTTCTAATGGGATTTATGAAGAGCACAAACAGGTATCTTTTGTTTAGTGAAGTTTTTGCAAAAATAAAAACAAACATTTTAGGACTTGAGCAGCACACCTTCTCCAAATGTGATTCCAAACCAAAATCAAAATCTTACAACATCTTCAATGATAACCAATACAACTAGTATTAGTGAATTGGATGATGGAATTTTGGATAGTAACACTTTACGAGAGCGGAAGGTTATGTTCAAAGCGGCTACTCAAGGTGAGCAGTGTTTTTAATTTTGAATTATGTTTTTTTTCTTGTCGAGTGTGAACTAGTACTTGGACGTCAAATAGATTATAGAATCATGTATTCATTTTCAAAGATCGGAAAATTTTTTTTCAAGTTTCCAAAATAGCTTCGTTAAAAATCGAAGCCAAAAAATGTTGTTTGGATTTTGGAGAATTGTGAAATTTTAGGAAAAAAGTCAAGAAATATAGGCTCTGAAGAAAATAGCCAAACTAAATTTATTGAATCACAAATTGAAGAGCAAAGCTTCAAAAATAGTCGTTTAATTCGAACTTACAAAATTAAAAAAAAAGTGACACTTTGGTTCTAAACTTTATTTTCAAAATTTACTTTTTGTTTCAATCAGAAAGTTCGTTCAGAAATTCACAAAATATTTTCTAGAACACGCGGCACCAATTCACGAACGCTCAAGTCCTGTCGAAGAATGGTCAAGCGATTCAAGAGAATCTATTCACCTCGAAATGTCAAGATATGACAATGTTTCACCAAGCGGAACAATCACAAGAAGTAAGACTCTCTCCTCCTCCTCCAAAACATTTTCAGACAAACAAACAACCTGAACATTTTTTTTTCAGACAATCGCGAAACAACGGCACCATTTTTCTTCGACTCTACTCGTGCTAACCAATTGTTTTTAGCATAATTTGATTTATTTTCTCCCATTCTTTTCCTTTCCTCATGATGAATTCGTGTTTTTTTCTGAACTTTTTTTGAAAATTTTATTTTTCATTATTCCGTTGTTATCTGTGCCAAAATATATATTTCTTCATACATAAATAAAACATTTGTCTTTATTGCATTGAATTAAAAAACAAAAAGGGGAAGACACACCATACAGGGAAAGGAGTAAGTGCGCTCTTTTGATAATAACAGCGTATAATTGAAACATTCATATTCACCTGCAGATTGTTTGTTTTTCTTGTGATTCATTGATTTTTGTTTTTTTTTGTGTTGTCGGTCAATTTTTTTCAATTTATCTGAAGTTTGGTTAGTTTTTAGTTTTAATTTTAGTTAAGTAAGTTCAAGTTTTCGTGGATTATATACATACATTTTAATATTTTCATGCAAGCACGCAATGAAAAATGTAGTGCGACAAACTAGAAAATAGTTAGGAGATGAATAGTTTTCTGATTGAATTCATTTCGAAGTATTTAATTCTAAAGTGAAGTACAAAAGACAAGATGAGGAATCACAATGTGTGGTCCTACAAAGAATCAATAAGCGGTGGCCGGGGCAGTTTGTCCACTGCATGAGAGAGAAGAGTGTGTGTTGGGAGAGAGACGCCTGTCGTTTTGTGTCTCATCGCTCTCTTCAATTTGCTTACTATCTCGCTCATTTTCTGCGCATTTTTTTCAAATCGAAGATGAGACTGGGCTATTAGATTGGCTTGTTGTAATCTGTTAGTAATTTTTTTGGAATGTACATACAGATGTACATAGTTTGAAATTTATTGAAATGTAATATTTGTTGCTCTTATCTTTTCCTACCTTGATAACAATTGTCTGATATATTTCTCCGTCTTTCATCCATTCAAAATGAAACCTAGAAAAAATAAAATTTTAGATGAGATGAGCGCTACAAAGAATGCGTCAGTCTCATCGTGGTATAATATCACACCGGATAAGCGACCGATAAGGAAAACGCCAAAACTTGGTCCAGCAGATGTTTATCCACAAGATCCACGACAAGAAGAGGATCATTTGACAACTGAACGCTTGAAAAAAGGTTATCAAGTGCCAACAACTACTTATGAATTGCAATCTTTGGTGTATAACGCTTCGGAAAATAAATTAACTCGATTAAATGATGCACATAAGAAATCTGGCAACCTTTTAGCACTCGTAAGTTTTTTTTCGTACTTTTTTATATATCTGAATTATTAATACATATGTCTTTTTTCCAGCTTTTGTATAAAAGAGGTGAAATCAACGCGACACTTGATAAAGAACGGAAAAAGAATAAGGAAGCTGTCGCGCAATTTTCACATTATTCGGTCGGTTTTTTTTCATATCAATTTTCAAGTCAAAAAAACAAATTTTGTACTTTCAATTTTTTTAGTCGCACTACAAATTGCGTGAACGAGCACAATTTTTTACGGATTTGTGTCGAGGAAAATCGCTGAATTCACTGTCTAAACGTGTTCCACAAATTCGGAGAAAGGAAGATATTTTACAATGGTTGTATGATTATAGGTGAGTAATAAACAGATGTTGCAAAAAAATATGTGAATTTTTAATGGGTTCAAACAATACTGTTGGTGTTTTTTTTCAGAATTGATCATACTCGAGCAATTTGGTTTTATAAAATCAGTGCGATTCTTTCGTTCAATCTTCATACGGGAAAACAGAAGAAGACAATGAGCGATGCTTCATCTTTAGGTATCAAAAATTGAATATCTAAAATATTTCATCAAAAATTATTTTTATTTTTCAGAATATTCACATTTGACTGGAAAGCATTTGCGATTTTTGCTTTTTAAAATGACACGACTGGATTTTGAATTAAGGGGTGAATGGATTGATAAATGGGAATATGCTTCGGAATTGTTCAAAACAATGTTTGATGTGAGTTCAATTTTTGAAAAGGGGTTTTTTTTAATCTCTGAAAATTGAGATAAGATTGTGAGGCAAAAAATAATCAAATAATTTTAAAAATTTCAGGAAGGAATGTTGGAACGACAGGAATTTCTCAATGAGCTTTGTGAAATGTTCACGGAAATCTTCCTGGGCGATGGTGCACAAGAAAGTCCAATAATTTTGCAAATATTTATGAAATATTTTGTGAAATTTGTGCCACATATCAATCAAAGTCTAATTCTTGCCAGAAGAACTGTTTATATGATTGCGCTGAAGCTTCGGATACTTCACGATGTTTCACACAAATGGCGAAAAGCTTTGAGATATAATGATGAATTGAATAAAAAAGTGGAAGATGAAGAGGGTTTTGCTGTGCCATCAGATACAATTCCTTTTACATTTGATGTTGATCATCTTCCTGATATTCCATTTGACGATGAAGAAGAGGAAGTTCCTAAAGAACCACCACAAATTGTGAAAGAAGTTGTTCCTGAAGTTCCTGTTCGCCATGTTGACACAATTTCGGTAACTCCGCCACCAATGATTGTGACGAATTCAATGGATATTGATAAAGATGACGATAAATCGGATGAAGAAATGGATACAGATGAAAAGAAATCAGACGATTCGGAGAAGAGCTCACCTGCTCAAAGCGAATTGGAGAAGATTATTGATGAACCGGAAGAAGAACGAGAAAAGGAAAAAGAGAAAGAGAATGAGAATGAAGAACATAATGAGGAAGAAATAGAGAAAGAAACAGAAAAAGAGATTGAGAAGGAAAACGATGAAGATAAGGAAAAAGAAACAGAAGAAGAGAAAAAAGATGAGGATTCTGCAGAGAAAGAACCATCAACTTCAGCAGAAACATCAGGAGAAACATCAGAAGAAGCAACTGAAAAAACAACAGAAGAAGATGGAAAAGGCGAGGAAGCGAAAGATGAGGAAAGTCCTGTCTTATCCGCTGCTGAACCATCGACATCTGCTGAACCTGTGATATTAGTTGAAGAAGATTTGCCACGAGTAACAACATATAAAGGATTTCGGATATTGGAAGACTGTGGTATCTATGGGCCTAGTATATACATGATGTCGGCTGTTGTACATACAATTGTTTTGGAAGCACCGGGTGCTGTGATTTGGAACGAATTTCTAGTCAAAAAGAGTCGGAAACCATCGATTTTGCGACAATTGTGCGGATCACCACTCGACTTTTTGCCGTGTCCAATTCATGAATTGCCAATTCCTGGTGGAAGAGGTTTGTGGTTATGGGGGAACATATTTTTGGAGGGGTTTGTCGGGACCTGAAGAATATTAGTGTTAGAAAATTGAAAAAAAAACAGTTCAGTTGAAAATTTTGTAGTCTGAGAAACACCTTATCTCATCATTTCACTGACAACATTAATCATCTTTTGTATTTCCGCAAACACTGTGACGCCAAATTGCACTTGCTCATTTTTTTATCTGAAAAATTGTATTTATAATATTTTCAGAAGCTGAGAAATATGTTGAGCTACTCAAATTACGCCACATTGAAATCACCAGAAGAAGTCAAGCGGTTCATGACAAGTGGAGTTTCAATGGTTCAGAGCAACTTAGATTTGGTAGGTGATAGAAATTTGAATTGTTGTGCTGAAATCATTTAAAAAATAATATTCAGGTCGAATTGTTGAAACTTGTATGGATGTTGTTGGTGTGTTGGATGCAATTGATATGCAAAAACCACGAGCAATTCATTATGCGGCTGAACGACTTTTCGCTTTCCGAAACTCGCACTATAAAGAAGAAGCATTGATCCGATTGAAACTTATGATGTTATGGGCAATAACAGTAAATCGAGAAGGTACATATCGTCCAACAATGGTTGCCCGAATTCTACAGTATGAAACAAGAAGAAAGCAAACGACTACTGTAGGTGGATGGCGAATTCAGGATATTGTATTGAACTTTATGTATACTGATGGTCCGAAACATGGTCAACCAAATTATCAAAAAGAATTTGGTGCCTGTATTGCGCTTATCAGCGAATTGATGTATTATGGATTGTTTAGCCACGATGGATATTTGAAGAGTTTGATTAAATCAGGAGAAATGGATTATACTAAGCCGATGATGAACCGAATGAACAAACCAAGGATTCCAGGACAACCGGAAAAGTTTCACGTGAGTTAGAATTTTCCTAAAAGCCTAGAAGTTTATAAAAATAAATTATTTCAGACAAATCGAACTTTGTTGTATTTCCAAAAACACAAGATAACTCGAAGAATATTTTTGGGAAAAGAAATGGAACAAAATGACAAACTTGTTTTACACGTAAGTGTATTATTATATATTTTTAGCTTATTTATATTTTTTTAGATCCCGATCCAACAGAAAGAGTGTAATCGAGATGAAGCAAATCAAAGAATGTTAATGCTGTTCGGAATTGGAAATGCAAAAGAAGGACATTTAGACGATTTACGGAAAATCGCCTCTGATATTTGCAAAATTTGGGAGCGACGAATCTATGTGGAATTTCTTTGGGACACTGATTCAGTTTGGAGCCCACGGCGAATGAATGAGCAAAAACTTGAAGATCTTCTACATCCATTCAAAGTTCAAACATATTACGATCAAACAATGATTTGCTCGTGGTGCACAGATTCGATTTTGGACAACTTTTTCGAATTTGTCAATGGAAAAACTGACAAATTACCAACAGCTGAATGTGTTGATTTGCTTTGCACAATGTATGAAACAAGCGAGAATATTACGGGTGTTTTTGAGCTTTTTGAAATTATGGCTCCATATTTTCCATCGATTGAACGAGTTATTCATGCGCACGCCGCTGATGTTATCACGACTAGTGTTACAACTCATATGGCATATGTTTTTGTTTCGTATTTTGCGAGACATTGGCAGAAGTTTTTGCTCTGGAATCAAGCTTGTTTTGCGCTAAATCAGTGAGTTAGGCATTATTTTTTTTATCGTAAATGTACGATTTTTGAATTAGAAACAATATTTTTTATTCATTTTTTTAAAAATAAAACACCGTTGTTTTTAAAGAAGAACAACTTGAATTTCACATACTTTTTACATTAACAAAAATTTTAAATTTTTCTAATTTGAAAAATATTCCAAAAAATATCTATTTACAGGCTCTATGAACTTGTTGAGAAAATGATAAGTGCTGCGGATCATCCGATGACATGCTGGGGAAAAGTGATTGGCGCTTTTGTTTATCACGCTCGCAAAGCCCTTCGAGCAGCCGGTCTGCAAAAAATCCCAATAATCAGTGAAGGCGAGGATTTTCGCAAAGTGTTCAGCAAAATACGTCACGATCTTCCCGATTGTCAGAAATACAACACACTTTTCTTCATGGATATCCTCGGAAATCCAAGCACTATGTTGTAAGTTTCTTTTTTTTAATGCTCTTTGGATTTCAAATATATGTGAATTTCAGACGATTCTTTTCATATCATGAGTATAAAAAACGGCTACCTTCATTCTCGATAGATGCGAATCGATATTCTTTCGTCATCAACGCTTTTATTGCTGCCAGAAAATGCGAAAGAAATTATGATCGATTGAGTGAGATGGCGACTTTTTGTGCACATATCACTGCGCAAGTCCCAGATCTTGCAACATACTGGATTGCGGGTATCCGATCATTGTGTTTGCTAACAATTAGTCAACACCAATATTTTTCTGAATTAGCATATGAAATTGATGTAAGTATTTAGATTTCTTTTTCAAATTTTCATTATTAATACTACAATATTATTTTTCAGATTCGAGATTGTTCAACACATTATGCATTGACCACTTTCATCACGTTGTTGGCTGGAAAAATGTGCTTCAAAATTTCGCGTCTAATGAAAGAGCTTTTACAACATGTTCTACCATTTATGCTCAAAAAAGATGGAAGAACCAAAAGTGAAGCCGAACCAGGAATTTGTATTGTGCTTTTGATTATTGGAAATATTTGTTGTCAATCGGACGAGCCTTTTGGATGTGAGTTTGATTTTTCGTTTTTGAGAGGAAAAAAAATTGAGCAAAACCTCTACAGTATTCAAAAAAAATTTATGATACCGGAAAACTAATTATTTTTCAGTCTCGGATCATTATCGAGGTCTCGAACCAAAAAATAAGCTATTCAGCAACAATGCTGATGAACGTGGATTGTCAATTCTTCATTGGTTTCAAATGGATCGATTATTATTCCCAATCATTAGTCAAATTGGTATTCTTATTGATAATATGCGAGCAAGATATAAGGATTATGAAGCTGAAATGCCACGTGAAGTTTCCACAACTCGCTACAAATCACAATATTTGTACAATATTGCAAAAATGGTTCAAACCGCAATTGGTGAGCAAGAATGGGTGACATTCAAAATGTACAAAATTGTGCAAACCAAAAATATGGAGGCGTTTAATCTCGATCGATTAAAACAAAGTTGTCTTGGACAGCAATTGTTGCGACTTGGATTGCGTCGAAAATGCGAGCGGACTATTGTTCAAGAATTGTCTGTTGCGAATGGAAATTCGAAAAAAGCACTCATTGATAAGCTTTTATCGGTGATGAGTTTGTGGAATATTCGAGCAACAATTTTCGATTTGATGTTGATGATCAAAGAAATCTCCCCAGATGGTCAAAGACACGCGCAACAAAGTGCAATCGCGGCAGATGCATTGATGTCAGAAATTGGGAAATGTGTGAGAGATTTGTTCAACACGGCTCACAAGAATCGAGTTGAAATGCCGGCGGTGAAATCAATCTCAGAATTTCGGTTCAATGATATCACCAAATATTGGCTCATTGCACCGTTGATTCGACTTTGTCCAAAACCAAATAATATTCCAATGCAATATTCAAATGTTACTGTTGGATCGGTTGCTGGAAAGTTTTTGAAAGAAGCTGCTCATATGTTGGACACATCGAATGATGTTTCATCGGAGAAAAAGAGACAAGGGTTAGTTGCGAACTTATGAAGAAATCTATTGGATTTTTTCTTCAAAAAAGTTTGTTTTAAAAATTATTTATTTCCAGAGGTTGGCTGTTATCGCAAATTCCCTTCATCAACTTGATTATGTCTTGCTTGAAAGCTGAACGCAATCAATCCAACAAAGATGTTTTCATCAACGCGCTCTACATGCAATTGCAATATTGTGTGATCCGTGCAAGAGATGCGCCAGCAAAATCAACCGCTGACGCATTTGATGAAGAACGAGAATGTCTGCTGCTCCGATTAGCATTTGTTGGCCACATTTTTGGTGAAATCTGCAAACCAACACAATGTGAAGCGTGGAGTCATATCCTATTCCAAATGATGTTGTATGGAATTGTTAGCTCGGATAAGGAGCGAGTGATTTATGATACTTGTTATGATATGCTCTCGACGTTGATGATTTGGACCTTGACCGATCCTAACACTTCAAGCCAAGTCTCTGCAGAAGGCGAGCAATTAAAATTCCGATGGCCACAATATTCATCAATCATCAAAAAATTGCGAAAAGAACTTGTTGATCAACGAATTCCAGCGGATCAACGAGCTCTGATGTTGTTCCTTCCAATCCCCAAGTGCTCTTTAGATGTGATAAATGTGGAACCTATCATTATGCAACAGCAAAATATTTCTTCTAAATATTACAAACTCCACCAAACAGCTGTTGGTATCAAAAATGGGAAATATGCTTATGTACCAACTGAGAAGATCAAAGTGTCGGCCTATGATTTTACCGCTGGATATATTCCTGATGGTGTGATTAAAGGAGGATGGAAATTTTCATGGTTCCAAGTAAGTATTTTTCAAAATAGATTTTGTGTTAGCTTTTCACACACATACAAAGACTGAACCTATTATTAAATATATGTGTCTTTTTATATTCTTTTTCTGTTTCTAGGCGACTAAATTGGATAGATACGCCAATCCTTTTTCGAAACAATTGAAATTAACTCTTCCACACGATCATATGTCGCATTTCCATCATCCCGATTTCTTTGTCTCTGACGATGTTTGCGATGATTTCTTCCTCGCAGCTCCTGAAATTGAAATTACTGGAGAAATTGCACCAACACCTCCTGCTGAAGAAGAAACTAGTGAAAAGACTGCTGAGGAGACAAATAAGGAAGAGAAGGTGAGCATTTCATAAAACATATATGTGTGAAGTAATGAAGTAAATGTTTTTTTTAGAAAGACGGTGAGAATATTGAGAAGACTGATGAATCAGCGACTTCTGCTACAGCTGCTACCACATCTTCAGATGGCTCAGGAACTCCAAAAGATGGAGATGTTACTAGCTCACCAGCTAAAGACTTGCTCAAAAAACCAGTATCCACACCCGATTCACAACCAAGTTCAACTCCAACAATGTCCATGCCTGAAATTCCAGCACCAGTTCCTACACCACCACCAGAAAAACCAGCACCTGTTGCTGCAGAGCCTACTGGACGTGGAAGTCGCGGTGGACGGAAACGCGCGTCAGGAACAAGAGCCGGTGGACCGAGAGCAAAGAGGGTAGGTTTTTCAGAATAATGTTGTTGTAATATAGAAATTTTAAACTTTTTGCAGACAAATTCACGTGCCGAGCCAAACACAACACAAGCGGCAAATCAATCTTCATCATCATCAAATTTTGGTTCGGGATCAAATTGGCACGGAAGCGCAAACACTTCTTCTGGATCAGCATATCCGTCTGCGGTGAGTTTTTTAAAATAGAAAAAGTTGATATGAGGCATTTTAAAAATCTTTTTACCCAGTATTTATTTACTATGAATAATACCTATATTTTTAGTCTAATCCGCCTCCAATGAGCAATGGTTCGAGTGATTCATTAAAGGCGAATATTCGAGACTTGTTGAAGCAGAAACAGGAGAAGAAAAATATTTCGAGTAAGTGTTTTTTTTAAACAAAAAAATCTCTGATAATCCTAGACGTGTAGTCATAGAAACATACTTTTACTCTTTTTTTTTATTATTCTCAAATATATCTATCATTATTATTAGTTTCTGAAATTTCTAAAACCCCTCTATTGTTTCTTTGATAAATGAAGAGAAAATTATTGGATCCAAAATTGTATGATAATGGTTCCATCAGAGTTTTGAGAAGAAAAAGAAGAAGTTGTGTGAAATTGATTTACCTTCTCTTTAAAAAATATTTTCAGATGCGGCTGCTGCTGCCGCCGCTGCTGCAAATAATTCTGCATCGTCGGCGAACCCGATAACCTCGCAACCGTCCAATATTCCAATGTCATCCGCACAACCACTATTGACACATCAGTTGACTGCACCGCCTTTGGTACCTATGAACCAACAAATGTCACAACAAAATGTTGCCCCACCTCCACCATATACAAGTGGAAATAATCAATCGGATATGTTCCAGTCAAATAGACAGACGAGTGAGTTATTCAATTTTTTTTCAAAAAGCTGGATGTTTTCTGTTATCTGAATATACCTTAACAAGCTATTTTTAGATTATCCAAACCTTGGTCAACCGATGCCGCAAACTTCTAACACGCATCATTTTGCCGCACCAACTGCGCCGATTAATCGAGGGCAACCAATTATGAATCCCGGAAGACCCGAAATGCTACCGCCGCAACCGATGCAAATGCAACAACAACCAAATCAAATGCAGCTTCAACAAGCTCAGGCTCATGCTCAAGCGCAGGCGGCTGCTCAAGCTCAGGCTCAGGCTCAAGCTCAGGCTCAAGCACAGGCTCAAGCACAGGCTCAAGCACAGCAACAAGCTCAGCAACAAATGCTGCTTCAACAGCAACAGCAAAGAGCTCGAGAGCAAGCACTTCGAGAACAACAAGCTCGCGACCAAGCTCTTCGTGAACAACAAATTCTTCAGGAACGGGCTCTTCGGGAACAACAAGCTCGAGAAACCGCGCTCCGTGAGCAAGCCGCTCGGGAAGCAGCACAGCTGGCTAGAGAACAGGCAGCTCGTGAAAAAGCGCAGCGAGAACAAGAGGCGCGAGAAAAAGCTCTTCGAGAACAACAAGCTCGTGAATTAGCTGCTCAACAAGCTCGAGAACAAGCTTTGCGAGAACAACAAGCTCTTCGCGAACAACAAGCTCGAGAAGCGGCGGCTCAACAAGCTCGTGAGCAAGCTGCTAGAGAACGAGAACAAGCTGTTCGAGAACAAGCGGCACGTGAACAACAAGCTAGAGAAGCTCGGGAAGCACAGCAACAACAGCAAATGATGATGCAGCAACAGCAGCAACAAAATCAACAAATGATGATGCAGCAAAGGAATCAAATGCATTCACAACAATTCCAACCACCTCAGTTATCTGGATCTACATCCAGCGCGTCTTTCAACGCTGCAATGCAACAAGCTCCAATGCCTCCACCACAAAATCCACCAAATCTTGGAAATCCAATGAGTTTGCAAGCACAACTCGGCTCGCAGCAGCCAAATATTCAACAACAGCCAACACTTCAAATGAGCCAACAACCACAATTCCAATCGCAAGGTCATTTCACACCGGCTAATCAAGATTTGACAAATCCTGGTGGTTTTGTTCGTCCAAATCTACCTAAAGTTTCATTGATTGCCGCGCAACCGAATCAGTCTTATCCGCAAAATCAAATGCAACAACAGAATCAAATGCAGCAGCAAAATCAAATGCAGCAACAATATGGAGCTGGAACATCGCAATTTGGTGGACTTTCACAACAACAATCAATGCAACAGCAAAATATGATGAATATGCAGCAAAAGCAGCAACAGATGAATAAATCGTTTGCAACTCCAGCTCCACCTGCACGATTTGCTGAACCACAAATGCCACAGCATAATCCAAGTGCTTATCAAAATCGCAACAATATGGGGCAGTTTGCACCAAAAGATATTACTTCAGATTTTGGTTAGTTTTTTTTTCAAAATATTTATTTCTTTTATCAAAGTTATTTTCAGGTCGTCCTGGTGTTCTTCCACAATTATCGCAACAACCTCAACAGCAACCGCAATCAAGATTATTACCAGCTCCGAATACTGAAATGCTGCAAGCCCAACAGCAGGCGAATTTCCAAAAGCCAACAAATATGATGGGACAACCGGCACCTATGCAACCCGGACAACAAAACCCACAACAATCCTACATGCGGCCAAGTTTGCTGCCTATGCCATCCAGAGATCAACAATCAATGAACACGATGGGTTCGATTAATCAACCACAACAACCTCAACAGTCGCAGCAAATGATGCAACCACCTATGCAACAAAATTATCAGTCGCAAGGAACTTTCCAGCCACAGCAGCAACAACAACAGCAGCCGCAACGTTATGGTAAGTATTTCAAATTGAATAGCTATTAGTGGGTCCTGAGCCAATGTCCCGAGGATTGAAATACCACGATTGTTAACAAATGTTAACCTTACATGAACTCTATCGTTTGAATCAAGGTTTCTTTGTATCAGGACAACCCCTTCAAAGTTCAAGTTTTGGAAAAAAAATAGAACGCCTTTTTTAAATTCTTATAAGAGTATAAATACTCACAAAACGTTCCTTTTTCATAAAACATTATGATTTTATTTTTTCAGGTGGTTTTGGCAGCGATTCAATGAATCAATCGAATATGACATCAAACATGAATCCCAACAATATTCTCAATCAATCAATGGAACAATCCGGTCTTAGCACACCGGGAACAATGTCAATGCTTGGAAGTGGAAGCGGTGGAATGATGAATTATGATCGACAAGGTATGCAACATCAACCAATGCAGCAACAGGCGCAGCAACAAACTCAACCGATGCATCAACAGCAATCCGCACAACAAACATCGAGAATGGGGCAACCTGGAATGATTATGGGTGGCAATCAACAATCTATGATGCATCAACAGCAGCAACCAAAAATGCAGCAGCAGCAGCAGCAACCACAAATGAATCGAATGAATCAGCAATTTGTTGGGAAACCAGCTATTGGAATGGGACAACCTGGAATGCAGCCACAACAACAGCAAATGGGTGGAATGGGAATGAATCAATCGGTGAATCAACATCATATGAACACATCGATGAATTCTTCTATGAACGCATCGATGCCATCTGTTAATTCGTCGATGAATAATTCAATGAATCAATCGATGAATAATTCGATGAATCAATCGATGAATCAATCGATGAATCAATCGATGAATCAATCAATGAATCAATCGATGAATCAATCGATGAATCAACCAATGAATCAACCGATGAATCAATCAATAAATCAATCAATGAATCAATCGATGAGCCAATCTATGCAGCAACAATCCCAGCCCCAACAACAAATGATGAATCAAGGTTATGGTCAACAGCAAATGCGAATGGGAATGCAGGCACCCCAGCAGCAACAGCAAAACCAGCCCTCACAAATGGGAATGCATCAAGGTTATCAACAACAGCCACAACAATCAATGCTTTATGGCGGAATTGATCAAATGCATCAACAACCACAACAATCGCAGCAAATGATGAGATCACAACAAATGGGTGGACAACAAATGCAGCCGCAGCAAGCGCAACCTCAGCAGCAACAGGCTACTGGAATTAATCAATATTTTATGCCCAATGAGCAAAGGTGAGAAATTTATTGACATTGCGTATGGGTAGATATTATAGGTCCTTGGACATTTTTTAACTTTTTGAAAAATATAGATACATTTTAAAATACCATTTGAATTTTCAAAATTAATTTGAACACAAAAACACAGCGAGACAGTAATTTTAGAAAAATTAAGGTTCACTGTTGGTTTATCTCCGGGAATTTTCCCATTCTGTTCTAGATAATTTTGGGATTTTATGACCAGAAAATAGAAAAATTCAAATTTTACATATCTTTTTTTTCTATGAATTTTACATATTCATAAAACATTTTTTCCAGAATACAACAACAACAGCAGCAGCAGCAACAGCAACAGCAACAAGGTGGATATGGACAGTATCCCAATCAACATCACTACTAAAAACTTCAAGTTATTTTTTTACTTCGTTTATTCAATTTTTATAACTCACCCTTTAACTCCTAGTACAAGTTTTTTTTTCCTAATTTTTTTCACAAAAAAAAACAAAAACCTCATGTGATTTTTAATTTAACAACATAACTATTTATTTTCATTCATATTCTGTAAAACGGGTCCTCTTTTTCCATTTCAAATTTTGTGAATTTATAAATATATAAATAAATCTGTGTCTATACCTCTATCTCTGCTCTAATTTGATGGGGCGGCGCTTGTTGTTCTGGAAACGCACATTTTTCTTTCTGCTTCATTTGAGTTGCGTTTTTCAGCAGAAAACTTTGTTCTTCTTCTTTCTAGATTTTAGTACTGCAAATATGTCGACTTATCCAGTTCTTCCCACTTATGAAGGTTTGTTTTTAGAGCGATACTTTTATGAAAAAATTTTAATTTGTTTAATTCAAGAAGCCACACAACCCGCTCACAATCCTAATTACAACAACCAAGATGGATTTCCAAGACATTTTCACAATGTGCCAAATGGTAAGTTTTTTCATACAAAAAATTATAGCGGATAAAAAATATCAAATAACATTTTAGGCATTCCGACTACAGTTACCAGCACTCACAGTACAATTGTTGTGTCTCCAGTTGGTTTTGGACCTTTTCCAGCTTCAACTCAATGCCCCTATTGTAGCGAGCATGTTAGTTTTTTAGTTTTCTTAAATTTTTTTAACATTTTTTGAATTGTAGATCCTTACCGAGACAATCGAAAAGAATGGGATGTTTGCATGGTTGTTGTTCATCGCGTTGCTTTTCTTTGGGTGAGTTGGATTAAATCCTTATAATTTTAAATTAAGACTAATGTTCATTTAATTACACCTTTTCAGTTTTTGGTTGTGCTGCTGCATTCCATTTTGTGTGCGTTCGTGCAAGGTCAGTTGAAAAAGAGTAATGTGAAGCGTGTGCGCTGCGGTTATGATAATAAGTGCCTGATTCACAAAAATATTTTTAATGGTGATTACTCATCGATGTGGACTTAGAATGAAACTGATCAGAAAGTATGAGTTTAATGTCAAGATCAGGATTAGTAAAGTTATAAACGAATTCAATCACAATCATTTTGTCCACATGAAGATTTGAACTTGAGATTTTATAGTTCATTGCGTTCAAGCCACAGAAGTATTACGTAGGAGTTATGCCGAAATGATAATTTCATATTGTTACATGATTCACAAAAACAATGAAAAAAACATATGATCTTATTTATCGATTTGTAACCTAAATATTGATTTTGGAGCTCACAAATTTCAGGGTATTTTTTCAAGGGAAAAGATTATGAAGACTGAATCTTTCTGCGAAGAATCTTTTCAACAAAACATAGAATACATATTGTAAAATTTGAATTTTGTTCCGAATTTGAATTTCAAAAATTCAATTGCCATATTTATTTATTTTTTGTTCATTTTTAGGACGTCGAGCATCATTGCCCAGAGTGTAAGAAGCTTCTCGGAACTTACCGCCGTGTTTAATTAACAGGCATCCTGTTTTAATTATTTTATCTGTAAAAATTTGACCCCCCTTACTTTGTGATAAAAATTTAAATTTCTGGTTTCATAATCTCTGAATACTCTTTTTTTCCATTCTCTCTAAAAATCTTCACAAAATCAAAAAAACCCTTTTCAAGTAATATCATACCTTTTTATTTATTTATCATTAATTTATTTATTATGCACTATTAATTTATTTATATTTTTTTGATACACGTTAACGGAATGAATAAACAATGGGGAAAAATTGAGTTTATTTTATTTTTGAAAACAAATCGGGAAAAATGGAAAAAAGTGTGGGACAGGAAGGACAAAGATATGATTGACAATGAGCGGATGCATAATAGCTGTCTCTTGAAGTTTGTAGAGTTTGAGAAAAATAGACCCGTCAACTTGTATTGACTCTATATGCATCCGCTCAAATGATATATCAGGGAAGAATTTTTTGGTCAGAAAAAAAAATTGATAAGAAATATTATAGATGAATAATAAATTATTGATTTTCTTCCAAAGCTGATTTCATGTAAACGAACCAATAAATAAAATTATAAAGTGTGAAAACTAATGGGAAAAATAAACGTGAACATGTGTCTAACCTTTCGCAAAATTGAATATTTGATTTTCGTTTCGGAGCCTCGTTTTGACTATTGTTATTCCACCGAGAACTAAAAATTTCATTAGATGAATTCAGAATTTTGAGAAAACAACTCACTTTTTTCATAATTTTAACTTTTGATAATGGTTGCCCCTCATTTCTCATCAAAAATCCGATAGTAGCCAATTCAAACAGCGAAGCAAAAACAAAACAAATACCGCTGAAATTTACAGAATTTGAAAATTCATTTTTTAAACAAGAAAAACCAACCTCAACATCCAGACATCTATTGCTTTAATATAAGAGACCCGTGGAAGATTTCGGATAATATTACCAAATTGAAATGTTAACGCAAGCAATGCATTCACACCTAAAATATTTTGTATGTTTTCGTCGTTCAAGAAACATAGAGAGATGGAAAAAATAAGAATGAATGATCATTTTTTTTCAAGAAAAAAACTTTTTTTTTTTGAGAAAAAGAAGAATGTGAAAAAAAGAATCCCTTGTTTCTTCTTCTTTCTCTCAAAGAACACTTGAGCATGGTTAAGACGTTATGATGAGTTTTTTCAAGAAAAAATGTGTGTTTGTGCTTTTGATTGAAAACAAAAATAAAAAGATTTAGCGAAGAAAAATGCTCTAATTGTTTTCTCCATTTTACTGTGAAGAGAAAATTGGAAATTGGAAACTGAAGAAAAATATATATTTCATGGTTGAAAAATTTTGAATTCAATTTTGAAAAAAAGAAAAGAAAAAACCAATTGTGAATCATTTTTTGTGTGGGAGAAAATGAAAAATTGGAAAAAAAGTATCAATTTTTTAACATATGTTTTCAGAATGTTTTTCAGAAATTTTATGTAGAACAATAAAAAATATTGGGCTGTAAAATGTTGTGTTCTCTACGTGAGAAAGCAGGAACCCAGAAAAATTTTAAAACGAGGTAGTAATGCGTTTGGAACTACAACAGCATTTTTTTGAAAATGATTAAAATGAAATACATTTCCATATTTATCCTCTAAAATTTTTCAAATTCATAGTCTAGAAATTTTTTATAACTAACAAAATAATTAGTTTCTTGATTTTACGGAATCTCAAACATTTTAAAAAATATTTAGGAAAAATATTTTCAAACATATACTATTCTTTCTACAATTTCTTACAATACACTTTTTCTTCAAATGTACATTTTTATTTTTCAAATATCAATTGTATATACATTTTTTTCCTATTCCTTGTCATTTTTTCCAAACCGGAAACAAAACTAAAAGAGACAGACGAAGAGGGAAAGGGGTTAAGATTGAATCTGATCAGCGTCATCAAATTGAATTACTCGCATCGTTTTGGGTTGTGCATTGAATTTCGAAAAAAAGAGCAAGAACGAGAGAAAAAATATACTTTTTGATAGTGCAAAAATATATGACCCACCTATCATTGTTCTTGCTGGAATTGCTCGTGGTCCGAGATAAAATGGAATCCAGGAAATGAAAACTGTCATGTAGGTTGGAATATAACCTTGTAATAAATACCAGCCAGATCTTCGGCGGAATAGAAAATTAACTGTTAATTCACTCCAATAACCAGCCGCGTAAAGTTGGAATTTGTTGGATGTTGTGAAATTTGTCATTGAGAAATCGGGTAGTTCGATATTTTTGAAGATTGTTAGAGGTGGATCACCCCATCTCATAAATACCTCGTCCTGAAAATGGATATTTTTCTTTTTGAATTATTTCTGGGGATGCTCTGGTTTGAATAAATCTTGAATTGTGAGAGAGAGAGAGAGAGAGAGAGAGAGAGTTGAAAACGTTAGATATCTCAATCTTTTTTGATTAAAAAATTCAACTTTCTGAATAATCTATTTTCTAAAAAAATAATAACGATTTTTGAATTATCAGCAAACACTTTCAAAAATGTTTTGAATAGTGTGATCAATATTTTGATCATTTTCAATAAAAGTTATAAGCATTCAAATCAACAGTTTCATAATTAGAAAATTTTTTGAACATCCCTTCCCTCAAAATTTCCCCCAAAAAAAGAACCTTATTGTAATTGAAAGACTCGAAAGTTAAAGTGCATTCAATGTTGTCCATTGGGAATTTGCTCAAATCCATCAAACATGGTCCAGTACTTTTAATTCGCCAATTTGACCAAACAGATCCTACAAAATACGCAAAAATTATGCATCTTTTTTCAACAACATGATTTCCATATGTAACAATTCAATTTCATGTTCTTCTTCTCCTACTTCTTCTTTTTTCTGCTTATTCTTTTTGGTTATACATGTGTGTATGTGGGATGAAAAAAAGGAAAGTATTTGTATTTTTGCATATAAGTGAGTCAAAAATTGACTCACCATTTGGAAATACCATAAGAAATACATTTGTAAAAGGTGAACGATGGAGATGTGCTTTTTTGGAGTTTATGAAACATGTATTTGGTGTCCAGATGTTCTGCATCACTGCCCAATCAAATGAAAGATTTCCTTGACAAGGATTTAAAATATCATAAGCTAAACCAGGATCTGTCCAATACTCATTCATATACAAATCTGAAAACTTGCACTCTACACGAAACAAAAAAAAATAAAATTCAATTACCGATTTCAAAATCTTGTGTGAGCTCAGACACTGATGTCACCTCCTGAACCCACATCTCTATTCGAACATCTACTTGAGGTGATGGAAGTTTGTGTTTGTTGTAATGGAGTGCGCGATCAAAGAGGAGATGGTCAATGATTTCGGTGTCGTTTGCGCATCTGGAGATATTTATATTTTTTGAGAAACCAGTTTTTCGTTATTTAGAGAATACTCTACACATCCTTGAGAAAAATTGTGAGCTAATTCTAAAAATTATCTACAAAGTACAATGAATTCTAAAAATTAGCTACCTCATATTTATCAAAACACTCACCCTCTTTCCAATAAAAAAGCAACAGTTGGACTGATTTCTGTAGTCATCGCATTTGTCATTGGCCATTCTCGAATAGCATATAATAATAGAAAAAGTGTTGAAAGCATACCCTGATATGATAATAACGAAGCAATTTTGACTCGATATTCTAAATCACATAAACATATATGAATAAAATATAAAGAGACAAAATATTGGTCGCCAAATGTCCGTTGGGACCAAGTCAAAGATAAATGATGGTTCTTCGAAAAAATTCCTTTTTTTTTATTTTGAAATTTTTGAGTTCTAGTATAATTTTTTGTTTTCCTATAGGAAAATACATAAGAAAAATGATTCGAACATCAAAAAAGTATTATTTTCAAAGATCAAAAGCACACACAGTAAGCAAAAAAATGAGGGTGAAATCAAAACCGACCTTTATTTTATTTCCGTAACATTGTAACTTCCTGAAAGATGAAAATCTCGAATTTCTTGTCGAAATAGTTCAGTGTCTTCGTATTCTTGTCAGATTCAACATCAATATTCGTCTTCTTATTCTTCTTCTTCGTCTTCTTGTGTGGCTCTTCTGCCCTCAGGCAACCCAATAAACCACGCCCATTTTTGTGTTGTATACTGCGAATAAGGCAAAAACGAAGAGGATGGGGAGGAAAAAAGATGAACTGCAAAGGAAAAACGAGAAGAAAACTTGAAATTACGTTTTGTGTTCGTTTGTAAAATGTTTACGAGAAAAAAGGAAGAGAAAAGGTGTTTTTTGTGCGATGTATGAATGAATGAATGAATGAATGAATGGCTTGGAAAATTGAATGGACCAACGAAAAACAAGCGCTCCTTTGTTATATTTGTGAGTATTAGAAGACAAATTATGAACAACGTCTTGTTTAAAAAAATACAATGAGAAAATATGTTCAATTCAGGAGAGAAATTGACAAAAGTTTTGAGATTGTTCTTTCAACTTCAGTGCAAATTAATGTGGATAAAATTAGAAAATCATAATAAAACGTATTCCCGCAAATTTATTTTACAAATTTTACAAAAGCTAGAACCCTCCTATCTTCAGTAGTGTTCTAATTAACTACGAGACATTTTTTTCTGAGTTTTTCAGCTTATCAATACTTCAGAAAATTTGTAATGAATCTACGGCACATTTTACTCAAAAAATATAAGCTCATAGCACAAACCTCATCGTGTTATCTTTTTGATTTGCGGAAATTCTACCCCGGAAAATCATATTATTCGCAAAAAACTCGACCACTTTGATAATCGCTAAATATTTCTTGAAACGTCCAAAATTGCGTGCTTTTTCGACCAAACTCAAGATAGCTAAAGTTTTCAGCATAGTTACGTGTATACAAAAAATTTACGTTTCTTTGTGGGCTCAAATGAATGGGATCAAGGAGGAGTGAGTGTGATGAATGAAAATGTAGATTATTCAGATGTGAAGATCGATAAAGCTTTGTCTCATGAAAAATCGTGTTTTTCTAAAGTAACTAACTTATCCATATCAATATTTTTACGAAATGTGACATTTTCACATAGAACATCGAAAAATAGCAAATGTTTGATGAAAAAATAACAACATTTTCACCTAAAAATTAGTTTTCAAAATTGATCCCAAATAATATAAACTTTTATAACAAAATATTTGTTATCTATATGTTTAGATTGATATATTAAAACTAATTTTCTGCTGAAATTAACAGTTTTTCTGGTAGAAAAATGTATTTACAACCAGAAAGTCGAAGAAAACACCAAAAATATCATTTTGCAGTCTAACAACATTAATATTTAAAATAAATATATTGAATTTCTCCCCTCAATTTTCCCTTAAAACGTCACTTGAACAAATATCTTTCATTTTTCTTCCACCAATTTTTTGTTCAAATAGTTCCCATCTCTAAAAAAAATCCCAGCATGAAAAAATAGTTATTACCATAATCATATTTTATACCCCCCCCCCCGCTTTGTATTTATAAATTGTACAATTATTGGCGTTGTAACCACGCTGTGTGTTGCACTATATTAAAGGGCAAGTGTGTTTTTTTGAACCTTTGAAAGCGAAAAAAAGGAGACAGAGAAGATTTGATCTTTTATTTTACACAAGTTTGCTCTTTTTCCTTTCTCTCATTATGATAAGCTTTCCGATAAAGAGAAAAGATAACCAATTTATATTTTTCTAGAGAAAAAAAAGAAATATGTCGCTGCAATTTGATGTGATAAATGATCCACCAGCAGATAGCGAGTTATGGAAAGCTTGGGCAAGATTGGTAGATCAAGAAAAATGGACATCTGATGATAATTCAGTAACAACTTTGACTCCAGGATTAGCTTCAACAAGAAGTGTATGGGCAGTAACCAAAGAAGGTAAATTTTATGAAATTTGAATAGTTTCAGAAAAATATGTAATTTCAGATAGATCTTTTATTGGAACTGTAGTTTGGAATGAGTATGATAATATTTGCTTTCTCGGATTTTTCCTGCTAGCCCCAGAATATCGCGGAAAAGGTTGCGGAATGACAATTTGGAAAGCTGCAATTGATAGAATGCCAAAGGAATTCAATCTAGGATTGAGAGGAGGTAAAAATTCCGACTTAATTTTCTGGAAAAAATCTGAAACTTGTAGTTCCCGCAATGGCTGAGAAGTATCAGAAAATGTCGACGCCAATTATCGGAACAAGATTGGATAATTATGAATGTAGTGCGGAAGAGTTCCAAAAATTGATTTGGGCAAAAGATGTACAGATTCATCCAGCAAAGTTGGTGAGGGATTTGAGTTCGGAAGAATGGCAGAAGCTTTTGGATTATGATAAAGTGAGTTTTTCTGGTTATGAAAAGCGCTAAATTTAGAAACAAATTACTGAATATATTTTCATATATATAGTTTGTTAAAAATTTCTCTTCGCTTCTCAAAAAAGAATCTCGATTTCAATGAAATTCTTAAACATTTCTGTTCTCTATTATTTTTCTGAAACTATAGAATTTCAATTTGATTAGAATAGTTCCGGTTCCGGTTAAATCACAGGTTCAAATTGTTTTTGAAAACCAGTTTTCTTAAAAATATGGTTTTAATTTTTTCAGCAATTATATTTTTTCAGAAACTTGATAAGATTTTCAGTTTTTTTTTGAAAAAGTCACGTTTCACAATACCAAAAAGGTTTCGAAATAAACTCCTGACCAAATATTTTTCTCCACATTTGAATAATCGATCTTTTTTTGGAGATCCCTTATCTATCGAAAAAGATACAAATCTTTTTCTGACATTAAAATGTGTACTTGAAAATGCACTTTAAGTGCTAAAAACAAAGATTTTTATTTTTTCCAGAGAATCAATGCTCGAGATCGTCATGAATTCCTAGAACTTTTTTACAAGACACTCGACATCACCGAAGGTTTAGTTCTCTTTGACGATGCTCACAATATAATTGCTCATATTGGAGCGGTGCCAACTGCTGCTAAAGGTTTATTTTTTAAATTATGTAGACAACTGTATGCAAAAATAATAAGTTTTTTTTTGCAGAAGACAAACTATTGAAAATTGCGCCACTTTATGCGGATTCCGATTCCGTTGCCATCTCAGCAATTGCTCAATTCACAAAAATTTTGTCTGAGAAAAAACCAGATTTCAAAATTCTTTTCCATATTCTATCAACTGAAAAAGGCGATTTTCTTGCCGAAATTTTCAAATCCTTCAACTTGGAAAGTCATACCAGTGGACTCACTTTGTATAGCAAAAATATTCCAAATTTCGGAACCGAATCTCAAGTTTACATTCCTCACAATAATTCCTGTCATTATGATTATTAATTTTCGTTGTTGTATTTTTAATTATAATTATGATAATAAATAAATATAAGTTATTTACTTTGAAAAAAAAGCAAAAATAACATCTGTTGTACATATGTTCTTTTATTGTTCATCTTTTTTGGTATTGTATTTTCTGTTAACGAGCGTCGATTTGGTTTTTGGGAGTTTTCGGCGTCTCTCTTCTTTTTTTGCATAACACATCATACTTGCCTTTGGGAAGTATTGTGTTCAAAAAATCAAAGTTATTGTGGTTGACAGAACTTTTTTTTTGGAAAAATAAGAATATTAGCTGCTTGATAACGGGAAATGTGAGTAATAAGTGAAACATGTTATACTAAAATTTTTGCAGTAAGGATAAAATGGAATTTCACCTTGGTTTTTTGATTTCTTAAAATCTTATTGTAATTTTTAGGGAGTTGAAAACAATTTTTAGATTTGAACTGGAACTCATTCTCATTCGAAAAGAATTATAGCACCGACCTTGAGTTTACCATTAAACCAAAGGATTATTGTAAATGGAATTCACTGTGTTCAAGTGAAAAAAGCAGAGCTAGATAATCTTGAAATATGAAAAACTGTTGAATTTGAACTTTGAAGAAACTGGGAAATATCTATTTCCAGAACATTCCAGGACCGTCTTGCAAAGTGCGAAATCTTAAATGTTTTCCAAATGTTTTGCATCCTTTTTCGAATTTCATCATCAATCCATAACTTTCAACGCCGCCAAAATGACTGTTTATCATATCATAGACTACGATTGCACGTACATATATAAATATCAAACCTCTCTCCATTATATTTTATCAATTTTCACATCTCCATCCCAAAAAAAAAAGAATCGCAACGATTTTTCTCCATCTTTCTCTCTCGTTTTTCATTTTTCCCCCCATTTCTTTCATTCGTTCGCAACATGTCAGACGACAGAAGCAACAGCCAAAAAAAAAAGAAGGGAGAAAAAAGACGCGATGTTTAAACGCCTGCGTCTCCGGCGCAAAAACGCAACATTTTTGAAAGGGAGTAAGAGAGAAAGAGTCGGTGGGGGAGGCGCCCGCGCCCAAAAGAACTCAGCGTCTATTCAAGCAGCATTACTATTTCGTCGCATCCCATCGTTCTCTAGTTTTTCGTTTTTTTTTCCTTTTCCACCTCCCCCCATTTCTTTTTTCGCAACATCTCACAAAGGCAGTGGGCGCGCGCGCAGAACGCCTTTACCTTCCCTCTTCCCTTTACATTCAATTCAATTCTTCACCTACATACATATTGTCTGTAAAGGGACTATAACTTCCTAAAAGCTATTGGAATTGCACATTGTGCATTCATTCTACCTGGGCGGCCCGCCCCATTCACACCCATAAGCCACGCCCACTTTGGTATAAAAGGTGACCAGTCATCAGTAATATAATCATATTTTATTATTTAGAATATTATTAACCTTCCTAGTTCCCTAGTAGTCATTGTCCGATTATTGGCTTGGAACTATGACACTCAAGCGAATTGGGAAGGTTGAAATATACCACGACATTTTGCCACCCTTGCTCGTTGAGTGCTATCGTCCGATATTTTGAAATGGAACTATGACACTCAAGCGAACAAGGTTGGCGAAATGCCAGTCTTTTTGGTTGAATAGTATTCCTGAAAGCTATATATTCTGTTTGGCGCTATGCCACCCTTGCTTCGTTTAGTGTAATTGTCCGAAATTGAAAAATGGTACTATGACACTTAAGCGAACAAGGATGGCTACAGTACCTTCTTTTTCTTTGAGCTTCAATTCGTTCAAACTAGAACCATTCTATAGTTTGGAATCAAATGTAGAGATAATTTCAAAATCACGTATTTTCAGATTAACTCGTTAATTTTGATATACTTGGATGTTTACGTTTTCTGATTACTGTGAACATTTTCGATTATTCAGTTTTACAGTATTGTTTCTGGGCCAAGAAAATGTCCTGTCCTTGAGCCATTCAGACCGATCCTGTAAAATTTTCCCAAAAATATAATTTTTCGCGCCCCTTCCAAGCATCACTTTTTTCCTCTTTTTAAAATAAAAATAGTATTCTCCCAAACAAAAGCTACAGTTTGTTTATAAATGATATTAGATTACACTCGAATGACTTTTTATTTTTATTTTAAAAAAATTGAGAGAGAATGGTTTTGGCCTCCAAAACATTTTGTGTGTGTGTGTGTGTGTGTTGCGTTGCGTTATAAACTAAACACCTGTCCTTGTTGTTTACGATTTTTTGAGCAATGGGCACTTTTAGCGAAGAAAAATGGGAAAAGAAATTCGATTGAAATTCTATTGTCTTTTGTGAGGAACATTTGATAAATTATGTATCAAGTTGGAAAATGTCAGACTTGGTTTCGTTTTTTTTCCAGGCGGCTGGAATTAGGAATTTTCATCGTCGGGAATAATGAATTTCTGTTTGAGACAGAAAGCCGGAAATTTAAAATTAAAGTGTTTTCAGAACGTCAGAACTTATAAGAAGATCATTTATGTAAAAATTGTTTAGAAATAAAAACTAAATCATCAAAAATCAAAATGTTTTCTGACAATGAGAAGTTCAAATGTTTCAGAAGTCATACTAATAATCAATTTTCTCTCATTAGCAATGATGTATGAAACATACCATTTCTCTGAAATGTGTCTGAAGCTTTTATCCAGGTGAAATTTCTTCTTTTAGTTACTCGTTTGATCTTTTCAGAACATACTTCTCAGAAACAAAAATTCATCATCGGTACATAGGAAAACGATCACATAAAGTTATGCCAGGCATATAAATATTATTAAAAAGAAAAGATAAATAAATAAAAACGTGAACTTTTGAAAAATTCAATAAATTGAATCAATCACTGGATTCGTCATCCTGTTTATTTGATCGAGTCGGTGTTCCAACAGCCAAAGATTTCCGGCGTAAATAAGCAACAGCTTCGACAAATTCTTCAGGACGATGCTCGAAAACACTTCCAGATCTTCTATTTCTTTGAGAGCTACCAACTTGTTCTGATTTTTCACGACGCAGTGAGGATCTTGGCATAAATGTTGGTGGAGGAACAGCTAATTTTGGCATAGATTCTTCTTCTTGAAGAGTGACATTAGTTTCGATGGTAGTACCACGAGCGATCTGGAATTATTTTTGTCATTTTAATTTTTGGTCTAAAAAGAAAGGAGGGGGAGGGTCAGTAAACAAAGCAAAAAGTTTCCAAACATCAAGAAAGTGTAGTCAGAAGTTAGTCAAGAGGAAGAATTTGAAATTTGGTTTCCTGGGAAAAACGTTAATTTTTAACTTTTCAAGTTTTGGGAAAATCATCAATAATAAGTTTGGTAGTTTTTTGAATTGTTGTAAATTTTGAAATTGAAATACATTGTTGATACTTCAGAAAATTAATACATAACTTTAAATTTTTAATGTCATCAAGAAATTCTAAAACTTACCTCAAGTGGTGGTGTCAAAATATCAATAACATTTGTTGAAATTGGTCGTAATGGAATAATTGGTTGTTGTTCAATATCTTGTGCTTTAGCACCACGTTTTGCAGTCTTCATCATTTCTTCAGTATGCTCTAATGCTTTGCGAAGCTGAAAATTTTTTTTAAAATATACCCGGACTTCTTATAACTGAAAGCAAACTGAAAAATGCTCACATCAGACAACGCAACTACACCAACAAGTTTACCACAATCAGTAACATACGCTTTGCTCAATTGTAACATTGAGAAAATTGAGTGAATTTTATATAAAGAAGTTCGCTTGACAAGTTGACTAGGTGTTGAATCGATATCAAGATCAGTTAACTCGAATTGAGCCGAAAGTTGTTCATCTTCCCAAACTTTACGCTCTTCTGGAGTTAGGTCATATCCAGTGTCTTGTGAATTTTTTTTATTGGCACCAAATTGCATTTGGTGAAGGTATTTTTTTGCTTGTTTCATGTAGCCTGTAATTTTTTGTTTTTGTAATTAAAAATGGTTCTAATTTTTTGGGTGAAAATTGAGCATGGTTTTAAAGGCTATTCAATCCTGAAAATTGAACATTGAATTCAAATATTTTTTCTGTGAATCAAACAGTTGTCAAACACTTCCAGATAATCTACCTTTGATTATGGTGTGGTGTTCATTTGGATTTCCATGAATTGTTTTGTGTTCTACACCATTTTCCCCAAGAAACTCTGCGGATAATCGAGAATCCATTTCTTGAAGACTGAACAGAGCATTCCGTCTTGAATTCGAATTCACCTGACGCAATGTATTTTCTACAGGAGATGTTGAAATTGGTGAATTTGGTGGAATCAATATCTTAGGCTCAGTGACATCCACTAAAGGAACAACCAGGAAACGACTGAAATTTTGAATTGATAAGATCTCAGTTACTTGATTTGAAAAAAAACTTACTTGACTTGTTCCACTGGACCAGATGGTTCTATGGTATCAGCTAGGGGTATCAAATCCGGTGCTTTCAATCGTAAATCAGCTTCAGAACAAGTTCTCCGCCTTTTCTCATCAGTTAATTCTTTTGCTGAATCTTTGAAATGATTATCAATTGTTTCAATAGCTTTTCTAACACGACGTTCAGCTTCAAGTTTTCTAACATGATCACCAATTTGATTATTCATTAAATGAATGAGACGTTTTCGAGAAACTGTTCCTATTAACATTTGTGTGCTTTCAGAATCGACAACTGGAACAACTCGAAACTCTGTTTTTATCATATCTTGAATATCATGAAATGTTGATAGTTTGCAAAGAAATTTGACTGGAGCGACCATTATATCTTCGGCTTTAGTTGTGTAAACTCTGAATTCAAATTTTGAAAAAAATACATTTCTGAAAAATACTCACAAATTATTAGAAGGGGGAATATCTGGTAGAAATGGCAGGTTTTTGATTTTGATTATGGTGTCGAAAAATGAGCTCTGCATAAATGCACCAACTGCATTGGCGAGCATAACGGATGTCTGAAAAAATCAGCTGAAAATACTTAAATGACAAACAAATGGAATGTTCCTTACCATAACCGGTAAAATAAAATGAAGTTGACCAGTAATTTCGAAAATCATGACAGATACTGAAACAGTATGGGTAACCGATGCAGAAAATGCGGCCGCTCCAACAACTGCGTAGACACCAGGATTTACTACAAAAACATGCGCTGCATATATTGCGATGATTTCACCGTATAATCGACCGAGAGCAGCACCAAGAACGAAAATTGGAAGAAATACGCCGGATGGGACGGGAATTGTGAAGCTTATTATTGAGAATATGAACTGGAAAAAAACTATTTGTTGAGTTTAGATATTTGCAATTTTTTTACCAAATTATCAGTAATTTCAAATATTAATAAAAGCAATTTGATTATTTTTTTTTCGATTATTGAACATCAAATATTTTATATGTGAAAATGTGCTAAAATTCCCCATTTTATTGAGCATGATATTATAGACCATTTATCGACCAACATGTTTGAAAAGTTCAATCAAAGTTCGGTGAAACGTAATTCCAAACAGTTTTTCCATACTTTAATCGGATAGAAAAAACCAAAGTTTTTTTTTTCTCATGAATAAATTTTATCGAACACCAAGAATTATAATTTCGATATTGTTTTTCTCTAAAAAATGACTCACATGAACTATAATAAATAAAACCAATAACATCAAAATATTTCCTCGATTCATCCAATGCGAATAAATCTCATGACCACATTCAGTTACACCAGAGCCATTCAAAAAAGCGCAGTTTGCAAAAAAATCTTTGAGATTTGTACCAAATCGAATTCTTCCAGTGGAAAATGTTCCGAGGCCTCCGGGAAATGATACAAATGCATAAATGAAAGATATGAAGATTGGGTAAACAAACCAACTGAATTTATTTTGATTTGAATAATATTTGGTAACAATAATTGAAAAAAAAACCTACTGTCGCTGGAAGAGATGTTTGGCGTATTGATTATTTCTGAGAAACAATACAAGATGTCGATAGATTTTAGTATATAGGGAGCCGAGACCTGCACATAACAGACCGAGAATGATGAACAGTGGAATTTCGTTAACGGAAAATGCATCCGGACGGAAGCTAGTTTGATAGAACGCGTTAACTGTCACTGAAAAATACGCCAATTATATAAAATTTATCTGTCAAAATGAGCTGTCTTTGTCTTACGACCTTAAACAAAAATGTTTACCTTCTGTTTGCACCAAATATCCTCGAAGTAGACGTATTGTTGTTGCTCCGCAACATGCGGCAAAAAAACCGCGCCAATAAGATCGCACCGAGAAATACATTGTTGTTACTTCAATAGCAAATAATACGCCACCAACTGGTGCGCTGAAAGTGCACGCAACACCAACGGCGCAAGCTGCGGCCAAACATTCCATACGTCGACTTTCTTCTTTATATGCTACATCAAATTTTGAGGCTAGGATACACATTTGATTTGCCACAACTGATGCAATGTGCACGAATGGACCCTGGAATATTTTTTTTGATTTTTCAGAAAGATCGTGTAACTTTAAATATAAATTTAGTTGTTTTTGGAAATTATTCTTTTAAGCGTATTTTTTTTAAATCACCAACCATTTTTCCAATTGGTATTCCACTTCCTAACGCAAGTGAAATGCCAACGACTTTTGAAATCAAAGTTCGAAGCGTCAAATAATCAATCAGCACTACTCCTCGAATAATTGTTTTCATTTCCGGTATACCTGAACCAATTGCACGTGGACCAACATAATTTACAAATCCTGCGGATAACACTACTAATACTGTAGTATAACTACACCAGGCTAACATTCCGGCTGTCCATTGTAAATAGGATTCTTGACCGCAATTTATGCATATTGATTCAATTGTTTCTTGAACTGAAAATTGAATGTTTTCGAAGATGTGAAGGATTTTCAACAAAAAACATACGCAACTGCAGACTGTATACAAGCATATCTACAACAATTGACAAAACCGCCACATTAATACCTAAAAGGCCTAAAAACATCCAATCGGACAACAGATTTGACAGTGATTTCAATTTGCGGTCTGAAAAATATATACATTTGATAATAATAATATGGCTCAAATGATATTGATATGACTCACTGAGAATTTTAACTTTTTTCTTTAGCCAAGTGGATCGATATTTTTTATAATCGGGTGGATCATAATCGTTTGCCAGGGTGAATGTGACTTTTCGAGATGATGGATGAAATGAGACGTTCTGAAATGAAAATTTGAGTATTCCGATAAAGGAATCTTGAACTTTCTCCATGGCTTTTACTAAATTTCAACTTGGAAATCTTTGTATCAAAATTAGATTTATCCAAACTTAAACATCACAGAAATGTCCATGATTCAAATTTAAATTTACTGCAAGTCAGAAGTATAGGGTTATCTTAGAAATTCAATGTTTTTATATAGTTTTGAATTCTCAGCTTAAAAACGAAACAAAATACACACTTCAATTTGATATTTTATACTTTTTCAGCAACCATGAAAATGTTGTACAAAAATATCCAAACAAACAAAAAAAAAACTCACTTTTCCATTCTCATGATTCTTAATATCGATCAACATTTCTTTAAAACTATGATATTGTTTCTGATTCAAACTAGCACTTCGAACAAGTCTTCCGCCTGGAAAAATAATAGTTTATTATCATTATTTGTAAACATTGACAGTTATTATATAAAAATATGTGTTTTGTGCGTTTTTCAGCTAAACCGACCAGTCCAAAAATTATCATATACATATATTTTTTCCCGTACAATGAAACAATAATCGATGGAAGGAGAAGAAAAATATTTACCCGATTGATTTTTCAAACTAAGTTTTCTGACAGGCTCGCTTTTCTCGGCTATTTCTTCTTCGATTTCTTCGAGCTCTTCTTCAGACTCTTCAACTAACTTTGACAAAAATTGTTTTTTATTGTCAAATTTGTTGAAGGATACGGTTGGACAATAACCAAATGACATACACTGGTAACAATGCTCAATAAATTTATTTAGAAAAACGTGAGTTTGTTGAAACAATTCAATTCGCTCAGTATCAGACACAAATATGAGAAAGATGAAGAACAGTCAATTGTATTCGATATGCAAAAATATACAGTGATGTCAGCAATTTCATTCTTTTGAGCTGTAAACTTTGTGTGTTCCTCCAAATCTATTACAAAACGTTTTTTGTTGTTCACATTATTTCCTACTTGAAAAATATAAATCTGTTTTCCAATTGGCAGTGAATCATACATTACAATAACAAAAGGTAAGCTTTTCCTTTTCTCCCTCAACCGGTTTATGTATTTTTCCAAAAAAAAAATTTATATAAAAGAATTGTCGTTTTAATTACATTGTATTGTGTTGTATCTTCTTATTATTCTTGTTGTATCATGAAATTCCAAACTGAACAAATTTCGAAATCGTATGAAAAATTCGAAAATGAGGAGAAATCTCAAAATAACGCCAACGAGAAGAAGGAAAGGTTGGTTTTTTTTAAAATTTATTTTTGTATAATTGAAAAACAATTTCAGCTCATCAAATGATTCTTCCCGAAAAAGCAAATGCTGTTTGAATCCAAACAACTGCTTCATTGTCAAAACTGTCAAAAAATTCACCAACTGAATTGATTTACATTTTTTTGTATATAAACGATTGAATTGATGTACATAGAACATTGAAACAAAAAATTCATGTGTTTTTCGCGATTGAGGGTTTCGGGGTTTGTAGAGAATCTGAAATATTTACATTTAGTAGTGAATTTCACATAATTTGAAAGTTCGGAAAAAAGGTCATATCCTTAATGTTTTAAAATCCTGTAACTTTTCTCAACATTTTGCCACACAATTTTCGAAAAAAAAGATTTATGTAAACATATATGCAAAAATTTTCAAATCAGTCCGACTCAAATTTAGTTGTTGTTTGTCAAAGAAGATGTGGCTGAAGCAGCTGGAGCAGCATCGTCAGTTTTTCCTTTGTTTGATCCCCATGCATAAGCATAAGCTGGAGCGGCAGCATATCCAGAATAGTAAGCTGGATAGTATGATGGAGCGTAAGCGTATGCGGCGGCAGCGTAGGAAACTGATGGGTAGACAACTTGTGATTGAGCACTTCCGAACAAAGCGGCGATGATCAAGAAGGCTGAGATGATACTGAAAAAAATTTATTTGTTTGAAACAGTTCATTTTTAAAAGAAACTTACATTTTAGCGAACATTTTTAGAGCAATGAAAAATTGATAATTTTCCAACTTTCGCTTTCAATTTATAGTAGCTCAAAAACTGGTAATTGTTTACTTTGTTACTTTTTTTAGTGAACGGTTTTCTGTCGCAATTGAGCATGAACCTGTTTATTGTGCACACAAAGAGAAGGAAAACGTTTTGTAGATATTTTTAGAGATTGGTTTTTGGTGATGTGAAATTTCAGAGAAAACATGTTTGACCTAATTTCGAAAGATGATATTGAAATAAAGTAATTTAAACCACAACACTGACAAAAAATATGCAAAATTATTTTATTTTTCTAATTTACTCGAAAAACTTCACCCAAAATCTGTCAGAAGTTATTTTTCACACTAAATCCCATCATATTTTTCAACTGTAAAGATGATCAATGTTTTCTTCTAGTATCAATGATTTATCAATATTTTTCGAATGATTTTTAAACATTTGTATTTTCAAATGTTTTACCTAATATGACGCTTCTATAAAATACTCATTATTTCTTTAAAACTGAAAAATAAATATACATTTTTCACAATCAGTTGTTATCCTCGAACAATCTGAAGCTTTTCCAAAAAAAACTTTTTTGAAATTCGGCCCCATAACTCATTCACTTTCCATTTTTGTTATTGTACAGGCCTTAATAAATCATCTAATCAGATTTGACATATATACAATGTACATATCAAATTTTTTTATGTTGATTTTCCTATTTCAACAAATTAACTAAAAAATCCGGTCAAATGATGTCATTGATCTTCAATCTTCTCTATGAACTCTCATAACTTTTTTGAAATAATCTTTTTGATCAAAAATTGTTTTATTGTAGGTAGTAAAAGTTTTTACACTGTTAAAAACTGACATTCGATTAAGCACCTGGCGTTGAAAAATGAATGAATCATGTACCGAAAATCTGAATGTACCCAAAATGTCACGAACAAAAATTTATCAAAAACCAGTTTATGCTTCATCGTTTGCCTATAAAAGTGAAGGAATAGCAGCTTATCTCAACCTTTATTCTACAGATTTATCGATTTTTCTTTTCTTCCATATTTCTTCTAATTCATTTTTATTTTGCAGAAAATGAAACTTCAAACCGGAATTTCAAGCAAAGATTTGGCAACATTGAAAGAAATTGAAGAGCTCAAAAAATTCGAAATGGCTAAAGAAGTGGAGTTGGAAGATGAGAAGAAAGCCGAGGAGAAGGAAAGAAAAACAAGTATCACTGATCGAATTTTGTCTGAATCAAGCTGTTTGAGATGGGACAATTGTTTTTTGAGACCTGATAATTGTTGTGTGGTGAAAGTGGTCAAAAAGATTGTGAATTAAATTGAATTCTCAACGTCAAAATGGTTTTTTCGCGAAATAACTGTTGTTTTTGTACATTATTGGAATTATTAATAAATTTATATGTGTGGTTTCTGTGTTTTTCATTGTTGGATGATTGGAGAACATTCTGGATATATTTTTTCAGAGAGTTTATTCCATGACTCAAAACGATTGCATTTTTTGTAGACCCAAAATTTTTCAATGAAAAATAAACAAAAACTCTGTTCGATTCTTTATTTGCAAAACACAAAAAAGTACAATAGAAACATATTTGTACATCAATGATATGTATATTCTTGGAAAATTTTTGAATAAAAAGGGGAGTAGTTTCAGAAAATAAATCAGACAATTTTCAGATCGCAAACTCTCGATTTGAGAATTTGATGAACTTTTCAATGAACAAAACTCATCTGCCATTTTTGAATTTTATTATTTTTTTTTTTATTGGTTTTTTTATTTATAAAGTTGAAAGAGGTAAATTCCTGAGATGACGTCCCTGAAGTGTGGATCACATTTTTGTTTTTTTACTATGGAAAATAAAAAATACAAAAAGAGGTTGAAATTCCGCCAGCGGATATTTTCAAGGTAATGCAAGTAACTTGGGGTTTTTATATTAACTAAACTATCCGTTTACTAACTAGGCTTTTTTTTTGGATTTTATGACTGAAACTATATGGCACGAATATGAAACACTATAGCGAGGGTTAGTGGACTAAACATTTTTGATTTTTTTTTTGATTTTTTTTAATTTTTTCTGGGGGCTTATTTTTTACAGAGGGGATGAAAGACAGGGAACCTTGCTGAAAAACGCTCGGTTGAAAATATGGCAGTTCAGCAAAACTCTTTTTTTTTGGGTGGAGATGAGGATTTTCCAATGAATTGTTCACAAATTTTCAACACAAAAATTTGCTTTCCAAAAAAAAGTCCAATAATTTTTGAAACTTGGTTGATCTGGGGGAAGTGGGGAAAGGATTATGAAAAAAAATCTATGTAGAAATCGAACAGAATTTTGAGAATCGAGAAAAACTAGTGAACCACAAACTCCTGAGAGACTATTCCTGTTGTTCTATTGATTCCATCACAGTTTTAATGATTTGGGGGATCTGAAAAATACTAAAATGAGTTTCATTAGGTAAAACGGGGATCTTACTTCTCTCATTGTGAGGTTCGTAGAGTTGTCTAACTTTTTGGAGCTTATTCTGGATGTTGTTGAAATTCAATGTGTATATTCGTAATCTGCAAATGTTTCATTTTCATGAGACTACAAATTTATTAAGACTCACCATAAATGAAAACTATTTTGCATATCTTTCCTGATAACACATATTGATCCAAAATAGTTAGACTGTTAGGTCTTTGTGAGGGCTAGAAGCCCGACCTCTCACAAGAGCAGAAACATATGGAATAAAGAGTACTGCGCGCAGAAAAAGGGCGGAGTTAGAGCCACGGGTTGCCTTGACGATTTTGGATTAGTATTATTTTCATTATCACATGTCGCACACATTGATTTTCCTCGTCGTTTGTTTTTAGGAATGGCGAGAATATGTGAAAATGTACTCTATAATTATGGGAACATATATATATGTATATAGATGGTTGGAGAGAGATTTATGTTAGAATGAGAGGAATGAGTAATAAATATCACAAGGGATGGATTGAAGGATTTGGATTTGTTTTTTATGAAAGTGTAAAATAAAAAAGAAAAATATATTGGAAAAGCTAAAGTGGAAAACTTCCAAATATTTTGTTAAGTTCTATCAATTTCTGGTAGACAGTAAAAAGATGATGTTCGCTATCAGAAAACATTGGGAACGATTTTACAGAAAAACACAATTTTCAATTAGGAACCCAAAAAGACAAAAATCATGAAATTTGAAAAAAAATCACAGTAAAGTTTTTTCCGGATCAAAAAGATATAAATTGTCGAACAAAGTGTAAAATACTTACTGTGAAAAAATTAGTTTTTTATTTTTTGTTAATATCTTATTTTTCTGGGCCCATCACAAAAATATATATATTTTTATTTTTTATTGTGGTTTTTTTTCAGAATCCAAAAATGATTTATTAAAATGAAATCCTCTTCGTTCAAATTTTTAAGCCGTCACATTCCTTTTTTTTCAATTCCAAATTCCAATTTTAAATTTGTATTTATATTTATTACCATTGCCCTAACATTGCTTTCTCTCTGTTGTTTTTGATGTTGGATGGCGCAAAAAATCAAATTAGAAAATAAGAAGAAATATGTATGTATGTATGTAAATTCGTAAAAAAAACCCACACAATTTTTCAGGCTCTCTCTTTTTTCTCTGGAAAGGGATTATGAGATTATTTGTATGCGGTGAATTTGGTTTATGTTTCATTTCACCTGCTGTCGAAAGTAATTAGGTTTTTTTGATTTACACCTGTCAAAAGAAGGAGCATAACATTATGAGTCGTAAAATCAGTGTTTGAGTGGAAAAAGTAAAAAAAAGCTATTCGGAACAAATTTACAAGAGAAGCACGGATCAACTGAATTAAATCATTTTGTAACTTTGGCAGTTGGAAAAAATACATAATTATGTAATTATCATTTAGGTCTCACGTCTAGATTACCGAGAAAAATTATTACGTTGCAGTTTTGATTTCAACAAAAAATCGGATCTTTTCAAAAAAGATGATGAATAAAAACACAATGTTCATAAGGGATTGAATTGTGGTTCCTGTGGGTAGACGAAAGACATTTTTTGAAAATCATCAAAATTAAAATTCTTAAAAGAACAATTGCACTTTGCAAATCATCATATCAATATAACAATTTTCAAACATCACTCGATCTTTCAAAAAACAAAATCGTTATTTCTAACATCATTATGATCATTCACAATAAAATGATCTTACAAATCAAATTTTGTTAGATCACACGATCTTACATTTTTTTCTTTTCCTCTCCAACACACATACTTTCATAGAGGGAAACAATCAAACACGCCCTATTGAAAAAGAAAAAACGACAGGGGCGGCGTGTGTTTCAGTGAGCATAATGTGTGTAATATGTGCTGTGGTGAGTGGAAAAAGCTTATGTGAAACTAAAAAACTCACGTTCAAAACACATTTGTGTATTGTGATAAGAGGAAAGCGGAGATAAAAGTTTTCAAAAGAGTCATATTCAGATAATTTAAAATAAGTAAGCTTACAAATAGAGTATGCCTTTTGTGAAATCAATTGATCTTACAAACTGAAGTATGAACATTTTCAAATATAACTGTGGTTAAAAAAGTGAAAAAGTGAAACATGTGGTTAAAAAAGTGAATACTATGAATCACAATGTGATGGAATAAGATTTAAAAACAGTTTGGACTAGGCTGAAAAAAAACAGTTCGACTTTTCAAACTTCTTTGTATGTACTCTCTCAAGTTTATGTTTTCTCTAATGAATGTTTTTATTTTTTTTCCGTTTTTTTTGTTTGTTCATATAAAATATTTTTCATAGTTCATCACACAATATTGATTTTCATAGATCAATCATTGGGGGAGGCCAATAAATTCCAAACATCAGAAAAAATATAACATCTTGGTGATCTTTCAAAAAGATAGCGTTATTTCTAACATCACATTTCAATCGCACACAATAGAAATGATCTTACAAAATATGGTTTGTTAGATCACACGATCTTACAAATTTTCAAGTTGTTTTCTCTCTCTCTCTCTCTCTCTTCTTTCGCTCTCTCTCTCTTTTTCTCCCCTTCTTTGTCAGTTTTGAGTTTCATTCCAATTTTTGGAAAAAAAACTTGGTTGTCATAATTAATTTTTTTTGTAGATTCAAAATATTTTTTTTACATACATAATATTGCACATCCAAACTTATTCGGTATTTTGCAGTTCGTTTTCTAAATGTTTTTCCTTCAAATTAGGACCTCAAAAGAAAATTTCAGAACTCTTCATAAACATTTATATTTTTTATTTTCGCTGCGAACACTTTCAGTGTTGTCATAAATTATTATTAAATAAAAAAAATCATAATAAGTATTTTTCCGGAAAAAAATATCGACATTTTTAATATGTTTTTGTCAGCTTTCAATATTTTTATCATTTTCTAAAAAATCCGTCGTTGACAAAAAAAAATTGTTTTCTGTACTCTTTTTGCACATTCCGTGTTTTTTGTACACTTGTGGTTGCACGTCAATAACTTCCCCATGCCACTTTTTGGTTCATTCATCATTTTTTTTAATTATGGTCCTGTTGTTTGAGCATAGTAGCTCTAATTTTGAACTAACTTTTATTTATTGTTTTCTTTTCAACTTTTTTTTAAATTCATTTTTTTGCTTTTTTGCTCAAATACTCTATTTCAATATCGTTTTGAGTAAATAACGACACATAGTTTCTCAGGCCTCCGATCCGACCGCGAGAGTGTCAGTAATCAAGAAGAATTATTGTGTTCAGAGATTATGCTGGTAGCTAGGAAGTCTTTAGAGCAATGTAACGCGTACTAGCAGAAGGCAGTTAAGTATTTTGCGCAGGCTATTTAAGAACACGTTAAAGTTTCATTACCCAAGTTTGATGCATCTATCGGGAATCGCAGGAGTATCATCAAAAATCAGATTTGGCAAGTAATAAAACAATAAGTCCAAGATTGCGAAAGCACTCCGCTGTACAAGATCAATGTTAACTCCTACAAATAAAATTATATAAGGAGTATCAATAATTTATGGAGAGATCAATCTGCAAGATATTTGTCATCAATGAGTTTGTGATAAACTCAATGGACGACTAAAATGATTGTTTCCGATCAAACTAGTTGTTTGAATTTTTTGTTTGTTGCTGAATTGTGAAGCGAGATCAACCAAGGTGGAACTCAAACATCACATGTATGGACAATATGATTTGGGAAATATCGAAAATTATTCGAATATTTCGAACTATCGATATTTTAAATTTATCAATATTATTTCCCAATAGTATATGTATTCAAAATAATGTCTCCAAATGGTTTTTCTTTTTGTACTTTTCCACTTTCTGACTTGAGTCAAAAAATTTGTTTTCCTATAAAATTTTATATAAATGATATTTTGAATTTAGCTCGAATCATAACTCTATTTTTCAGTTAAATTTTACAGAAATCGCCGAAAACTTCCCCGTGAATGCCACAATGCAATCTTTGCTCATAAAAGTGAAAAATCATGAAAATTTATCAATAAAAAACTATTCCAAACAGAAAAATAGATAAAACGAAATAAATATGATCAATAACCTCTTGGATAACTGCTTCCATATGCACCATACGTTGGTGGCGATCGAGCAAATGTCGATGGTGCTCCAGCTTGTCCCAAAGTATTTGGTTGTGGATAATTCTGAGGTTGATTAGAAATGTATGGTGCTGGACCAGGTTGTTGACCGAATTGCTGACCAAACTGTTGTTGACCATATGGATTTGGTTGCACTCCTTGTCCAATTGGTGGACGGAAATAAGGACTTCCTGGGGAAGCCCCAAGACTATTTCCGAATTGTTGTTGTGGTTGCTGTTGATTGATATAAATTCCAGAACTTGGTGCAATACCACTTCCAATAGCTGGTGGTTGATTAAGATATGGACCAGATTGAGGAGGAGGTGGAGCAACTGGATAAGCTGATGGAGCAACACCTCGTCCGATATATGGTTGTTGGGGTTGTTGTGCCATATAAGGTGTACCCATTGGTGGTTGCATAAATGGTTGTGGAGGTGGCATATATGGTCTTCTACATCTATCTGATTCGGAAGAACTTGAAGAAGATGAGGAAGATGATCTACAATGACGACGGAACATTTTTGTTTAGCCTGGAATATAATTGATTGAGAAATGGAATATTTTTTGCGAAAATGAGGAAAAGTGCCTAGCTTGCCTTTTTTGAGAAATGATAAGGAGGAAGGTTGGAAAAATATCAAAGTCAAACAAACATTGAAAGTGAAAAAAAATAAGAACGCACATTGGTTTTTGATGATAGAGAATGGCACGGAGTATTTTTGAGGTTTTTCATGAGGACTTTGAAAAGGTACTATTCGTGAACTGCCCTATTTAGATAATTCTGAATTATAAATGCATAAAAAGTTTTAAAAAAATAAGGAGAATGATGTCTTTAAACGGTATGAAACTCTTTTAATAGTGACACATTTCAACATGTTCAGGTTTATTTACTTTTATTGTATCATATTTTTCTATGACGAAATTGTTCCGGTGTCTTAATCATTTTTGAGTAAGTGAAAAACGTCCATTCACATCAACTTTACATCCGCTTTTTGTTCATTTATATATAATTTGATATATTTTGTTTCAAAAAAGATTCAAATTCTATTCCTATTCCTTCTTGAAATCTAGAAAAAATCTCTAACTTTCAGCATCAATCAAATCGGAAACTAGTTGGAATCTTTATTTCTCAAAAAAAAATCATATCCTTCCAACAATTAACTATAGGAAAAAATCCCAAGAAGAAAAAAAAAGCAAAATATATTTAGTAAAAGTAAACATGAGAATGAGTTAGCATAGTTGTGAAAATAATGAATTATCCTTTGAGTTCCTCGACCTTTGCATCGAGTTCGCTGATTTCAATTGCTCTCAAGTTATGCATCAAACAATAGATGCGATCTTCATCAGCACCATCTGGACAATCTGGAATATTGTTGCATAAATCTTCATATCGAATACAAATGGTTTCATATGTTCGTGGGCAGGCTACCGATTGTTTTCCATCTTTGTCAACTCGACATTCTCGGGCAAGACGCAATTCGTCGGCTCCCATTATTGGTTTCTTCTGAAAATCAAAAAATAGGATCATATTTTGGCTGAAACTAGAGATTCTCACATCAGAAATGTGGGCTTGTGCATTGATGATAAGGAAAATGACGACTAGGCAAATCGAGGCTCGCATCTGAAAAAATTGAAAATGGAAAAATGAAATAGGTTTAAGGTTTCCTTAGAAAATGAAAATGAAATGGCATAGAAAAATGGGTAGTATACGCATATAAAAAGACACATTATTTTTATTTATTTTCAGAATGTTTCTGATACCAAAAAACTGCTGTTCAATAAACATAAAAAAGGGCCGCAGAAAAAAAAACATTTGGGAATGATTAGGCTTTTCGTTCATAAGATCAGAAACTAAAAAAGTAGGAGGGATTTCTGTTTGCAACAAATATACACAGATGGAATAAATAAACAAACAAGGAGTTTTTCTTTCAAATTAGGATCATTTTTGAAGGTATTTGAAAGAAAAAGAAAAACATATTTCTATCTCGGGTCCATATGGGCATCAAAATAATGAGCATAAAAAATTTTGACGTCGCTTTTTATAGGGGTATTAACCAAGTTCAGTTTTATCAAATCTAATCTTCTTCCGGTTATTCATCATATTGGAAACAATTATTTTCAATAGATGAAAAATTGCGTCATAAATTATGTGGAAAATATTTTTCGCAACATTATTTGAAAAATACATGAATGGATGCAATTGACAACTCGTGAATAACAAATAATCTCAAGGGTAATTGTGATTAGTATCTGGAAAAAATAACAAAACAAAAACGTGACTAATGATAAGTCAGAACAAAAAACTAAAGTATTGCAACATTGCGGATCAAGTTTCGGTTTTTTTCAAATCGATTTTTGTTTTTTCTTTTTCCGAGAAGATAAAAAAAGTGTGGCACAAACATTCTTCGAAGAACAAAAATCGCAACAAACATTGAATTAGTTTAGTTCAAAACGGAAATCAACTAAAACTAATCTCCTGTTTTTTTGTTTTTTTTTTTCACGAAAAAAAGTGAATGGTCATAAATGAGCAACTCTGCATATATAGATAGATATCTAGACATATGTACAAAAATATCTAATAAATTTGTATTCTGAGCCAAACTACAAAATGACTATTATCCTACGTATTAGATTAATCATATCTATTTATATGTTTTTGTTGGACTAGAAATAAAAAAAAACATTCGAATTAAGATAAATCTAATATAGTTTTGATATGGGATTGGCCTTATTTCGGATCTGATATGAGTCATTTCTGATTTCTTATAGAAAATGAACATTTTAGTTTAATCTTTACAGCTACTTAGAAAATGTCATTTCTAAGCTTGAAAAGTTGATAGATCATCTTGAACAATAAACTTGTCCAGTTAGCAGATGTTGCAATTTATATATTTTCAAGATCATCCTGGAAATGTTTGTTTCGCGAGAAAAGAAAAAACTAGAATATGAAAGAACATGAAATTGTGAAACATTTTTGAAGACAACTTTGAAAAATCGAATTATTGAAATTAGGTATTTTTGATGGATGTGTTTTTGAAAATTTAAACTAGTTTGTGCAGAAGTAACCTAGAAATTATTTTTGTCAAAAAATTAAGGAACTTCTGGTATATGAATTAAATAGGCTATCAAATCAAAAGATACAGTCTGAATTAAACTACGATAATCTAGATTAGAATAGACTAACTAATCATTTTTTCAATATTCTTCACAATGAAAAACTTGGCATTTCCTCGAGATATAGTATCCTACTCCTCCCACATAAGGACACTGATATTTCAGATAAACATGTAATTTCAATAAAATTATATATTAGCTTAAATTATCAGTGTACTCGGAATTCTTCGAAAGCTATCGAAAACAAAAAATTTGGCATTACTTTTTCAAATGTTTTTATTCATCTATAATACAATACAAAATGAGATCACATCAATTGTTTGGAAAATAGGAAAAAAAAATAAAATGTACAAAATATGTTCATGTCTGATAGTCGTATGTTGTATCAACTTCGACTTTTCGTCGGAGCCTTGAGGAAAGTTCGATATTGCATTCACGAACCTAAAATTTAACCAAAATTTATCCAACATCAGAGCCTGAAAAATGATACCTTTCCAAAATTGAATGTTTCTTTGATACTTTGTCGGAAACGTGTTGATAAAAATGCGTATAAAAATGGATTGATCGCTGAATTGAAAAATAGAAGCAAAAATGTTATTGGATGCAAAATTTGGAAGAACGAATGTGTACTTCGATTATCTGAAATATAATCAGTCATTTTCTGAGTGTTCTATCATTATGTTTGTACCATTATTATCTCTCCAAACAATCCAAAGAAGCCACAAGTGTCGAGGAAGTGACAAAAAGGCAAACGCAACAACGATGCCTACAGCTAATCTGCCGACCTGCAAATCCAATTTTCAAATTTCCGCTTGAATTTCCGCTATGAGCAAACTAGAGACTACTTCTGCCGAAGATCTAACGGAACTGGTTTTTTGTTGTTTAGAGTTCAATGAAGTGAGACTGAAAGTTGTATTTTTTAAACACCTAGAGTAAAATACATGTTTCAATCTGACAACTGTTCTTTTTTTTTTGAGAAAAACCTTGCCATTTTTTTAGGATATATTTTTTAGTTTGTACAAATGTCAAATAAATCTTTGTTGCTTTCACAATAAAGCAATATATTTTTTGGAAAATCAAATAAGGTATTACTGTACACGTTTTTGTCTCACTAACCTTTCGTCTTTTTTCCACCGAGACACCGCCTGTGGATGCTTCTGATCGCCAACCTATAATTTGTTAAACTTTTGTCAACATTAACCTGAAAAAACAACTCACTTGATCTAGGCAACAACTTATTCGCTGAATGTTTTGTGATTGTTGCTGCTTTACTAACTACCAGCCCAATTGTAGCATAAATACATAGCAGAATAACTGCAGGAACTGCATACCAGACAATGAAGTTTACTGTAGCTGTGACTTTTAGTACATTAAATCCTCCAATGAATAATGCTGATCTACCGCAGAGCACAAGAGTTGTTGTGTTGTCACGGAATTCTTGAAATCGACTTGTCATAATGAATGGGATATTCATAATTGCACTTGCTAAAATATAACTATTTTAAAATTAAAATTATTCTTTTTAACATTTTCAACTCACTAATCCAAACAAAAGCCGAAGATGTGACTAGAACTTTGTGAGAAAATGCACGGCGAACACGTAAAGGACGTAAAACAGCAATGAGTCTTTCGATGGAAACAAGTACCAATATACCGGCCGAAACATTTGGGATAAAGTGAAGCACATAAATATATGAATAGCACAGCATTTTACCAAATGGCCAACCCATATCACCTTGATACATGTAATGTACACCGTTTTGAAGGACGCAGAAAATTCCGACAAATAAGTCAGCAACCTGTAATTGTCGTTTAATTTCTAGGAAAAATGTTAGGTACTCTAACTAAATTTTTAAACAACTAGTTGTTTTTCTTGTAAAACTTTGAGGACTTTCTTTCGATCTCTGCATCTAACTATGTTTATTAAAAATCACAAAAAACCAGATCAAAGATCAGATTTTGTTTTGTTGCTCAACAATTTTAATGAGGTCATTGTGACGAAATATTTTTTTGTTAATAGGTCTTCGGATTTTTGAAGTTAGTTTTTTCTCTAGGGTAATTTACAAAGCCTCGGGCTTCTTTGGAAGAAAAAGAGTATTTCAGAAATAAAACATGTTTCTTTTCTTAAGTTCCAAGTCTACTTTTTCGAGATAATTCAACGTTTCTCATTACAGACTTGAGCATAGAGATTTCCAAATCACCAGTTCTCATTTTGAGTCAAATTTCATCCAGACTTGCATTCCAGCTGAACTCTTAAAACAACATTGAACTCTTAAAAATTCACATCAGATTTACCAAAAGTTTAATAAACGTCACACAATGTTTTCAGCAGACTAATTGTTTTGTTTTCCGGAGAGAGGATTGGAAAAAGTAATTGCTTATTTGAACATTGGTTTCAAGATTTTTCATTTTTCAACTATGATCTGTGAAAAATCCTCTTAAAAAGCACCCCTAACTTACCGTTAAATTAGCCAGGAAAAAATTAGGGACACTTCGAACTTTTTTCTGCGATGCAAAAACGAGCAGAATAATAAGATTCCCTGAAATAAATGAATAAAATTAATTGAATTTTTTTTTCTGCAGAATTTTGATTAATTTTTTAATCTATTTTTGAATCTATTAATAACTCCAATGAAAATCTAACCTATAATTGTGGCAAGGAAAACAAATAGATAGGATACACATAAGAAGAAGTGTATCGCTGGATTTTGTGGTGGATCACTCATTCGTTCTGAAAAATGTATATAAATTTTATGAAATAATCTTGAAGTCAAAAAGCAGGTGAAATACAAATATGTTGAGGTTAACATTATGAATTCGAAAGAAAAAAAATGAACTCGAATATTTTATTTTGTTGTGGGCGGCAATATGTTTTTGATATGATGAGGAACAGTTTGACGAAACGAAAAATTTTCACGCGCACTAATGTTTTTTTCATGAGAAATTGTGAAAATTAAGATATTCATGTAAATTTACGAAGAATCACAAATCATATGAAAACAATGGATTTTTCCAAATATTTTATTCAACACTAGACATCTTTTCGTGTTTTTTTGCATGTCTTCGAAATAATCACGTAACCGAATTAGCACACCAAAAAAAAATATTCGAGCAAAAATTGGAAAAAAAACACAAAACAAACAATGATTTTTTTCTGTCTTGAGTAGAATTCTAATTTGAATTCTGTGTGGAATCCTGGAGGAGGAAAACATTAATGATTGAAAAATAGTGATACTTTTTGTGGACCAATGCGAAAATTTGAAAAAGTGCAAAGATTTTTTGGGAGCAGGCGTGAGTGCGTCATTTTTATTCTTCTGCAAAGCCCATATGCCTTTTAATTGAAAAGCTACCACCCTAGAAATAGCTAAATTAAAGTTTTTTTTGAATCGAAACAAAACTCATGTTGGAGGGAGGGAAATAAAATAATTATGAAATGAAATGAAAGAAAATGAAAGAAAAACGCATTTCCTAGAAGAAAAGAGGTTTTTGTTAGGACAAAAAAAGTTTGTAGGTGTATAATTGCTCTCACGCGATATGACAAGGCGCAATTAAAACAAAAAACGTAGACTTTTGGTCTCGTTTTGTTTCCTGGTGAAATAACTGAGCTTTGGAATTTACAAGGCGACCTTATTACGTCACAGTAGAGTTTTTTTAGCTGCCCAACAGCACTTTCTGACAGAAGTAATGACTATGAAAACCCTGGTTATCAATCTGATGAAAATCCAAGAAAATTCTGAAATTGAAGCCCAGAAATTACAGGTGGAATTTTACACACGCGGTGAGGATTTGAAGTTTGCAATAATTTTGAAAAAAGTTTTTTTTATAAAATTGAGGAAAAGATTCAAAATTTGGAAAGATTTTGTTAACATTTATGACTACAACTACAATGAACAAATCCTATGAAAACAAAAACATTTTCAAAATTTTTGAAATCATAATCTATGATTTTATTTTCAAAAATTACAATTTTAAAATTTTTCAAAATCCGATTCTATATCAAAATAACTACAGTAATCTTATCATATTTTCAACATTTGCAGGAATATATCTTAGGATAATCTGTTATTTATCTTTAGTAAATTTTTGCTGCTTCTAAATTTACATGAAAACAATTTTTTGTGGACTGAAAAACAGGACAAAAAATGTGGGAGGAGAAAATAATAAGAGAGTTCAAGTTACAGTAACACGGTTCCTAGTTCATAAACCACCTGGGAGCAAAAACTCAAATCAGAACCAATAAAACAATTCGAAAATAAGGAATTAAAACTTTTTTTCCTGCAAGCCAACCCTAATTTTTTGTTTGATTTTCTGCTTGCAATTTTCCCAAAAGGTTAGAATTTCCACCAGTCGAATTTTTTACTACTCGAAAATGTTCGGAAAAAAAGAAGAAATTAAGAAGAAGAAGACGAAGAAAAATGAATGGCTTTCAGGAAAACAATATTATTGGAATAAATAGAATAGGATATATTTGAATATTTTGGTCGAAAAACAGAAACACAGGATTCTGTTTAGATATTTTCTATATTCAATTATTTTCTGTGTTTTTTTGAGTTTATTTAGGAAATTGAAAGAAGATCAAAATACTAACAATAAATGAGCAACGATCAGATGGTTTCACTGATTGTTAATAGAAAAAACAAATATTTTTTCAAGATTTTCGGATTAATAAACCATTTTGGCGCCGTTTTAAAATATAAAAAATCATGCTAGGTTTTCGAATTTCTCAAAAATTCTTGTAAGATCACTCACATTCGGAAAACATTTATACCAAAAATCAAAAAAATGCATATAATTGCACATAGACGACCTATAATTTGAAGAAAGACGCAAGAAACACAAAAATAGGCAACAATATCCGCTTACAAATCTTTCGCTAAAAGGAAATAAAAGGTCAATTCAATTTAAAACAAGCTGGAAAAAATGATGTTTCATTTTGTTTGCTTATTGTTTTATTGAACCACACACGCAAGCACCGAATTCTTTATTTTATTTTCGGACTCAAAATCATGTGAGAGTAAGAAATGCATAACAATGAGGTCATGACGGAAATAGAAAAATCCTTGATTTTCCCTTCAACTTCTGGAGTTTTCTTATTATTTGTTTAGAATTTTAGGAAAGAGACTAGACCTTGGTTTTCCTAACATAAATTGATAAATTATTAATTTATTGAACTTTATACCTTTCCTTTTCAACCGCAAAGAATGATGTTTATGATTTTAATGTTAAAACTGGAACGATTACTGTAGTTTCAAAATCTATAATAATCAAAAGAATAATTAGTACGTGTTTAACAGAACAAACTTCAATTGCCGTAATTTCTCTCTTGGGTATAATTAATATATTTCAAAAAAACATAGGTCATAATTCTTGGAAATTCAATTTTTCCTTGTTATAATTGGAGTCCGGGGAGTTTTTGCAAGCAAAATTCACTTCCTTTATTTTTAAAATGATAATTAACAAGTTACCGTAATCTTGAATACTGAATGTGAGACTAGGAGGAAATTCAAATAAGTTCCAGAAAGTTCTACTTTTGAGAAATTGTAAGATAATTTTAAAAGCTCTTTAAAAATTTCACTACTTAAAGTGAATTTGAGTTTCAATTTTGTTTGTTTTTAAAATTTTTGTGAAAATGTTTTTTTTAGAATTAGTTCCTTGCCTTAGAAAAACATTCATAGATTCTGAAGTTACAGTAATATTGATGTTTATCAGAACTATCAATATGAAAAATAGTTTCAGCATAGTTTTTTTCTAAATAAAAATACATTGGAAACATACAAGATTTTTGATCAATCTAAACTTGGATAGTCTTCAATCTCTTTTTCTCGTTTTTTTTCTTCAAATTCAATACATCGTCTCTTCTTGACCAACAAAAAAGGTGCGAAAAGAAAAATCCAAAAATGAAACGACAAAAGAACTTTTGAAATTCTCGCAACCAACGATTTTCAAGTTGTTCGAAACACTTGTAAAATTGACACAACAAAATTGCAAAAAGGTCACAAAACATGAATAGAAAAATGTGGAAAACCTGGCTATTTTTTCGTGGATTTTTGGGCGCTAGAAAAGACAAATATTGGGGGAAAGAATATTTATGCTACATTCAAAAAAATAATCCTTATTACTTATAAATAAATGAATAACTTTTCTAGTTAGGCTAAATCTGCGTTAATAATCTGGCTAATTGAATAGTTAGTCATTCTTTGCTCAAAAGCACACGACAAACTTTTTCCTTATTATTTATGAAAAAAGATTTGTTTTATTTATCGAACAGGACATCTAAACCAATCCAGATGTATAAACAATCTGAAAACGTCCAGATTTTTGATCATTTTAATAAATATTGCAGAATAGATATTTGAATATACAAAGATCATGGTATTTATTTTTTTTCAAAATGAGAGATGGGAGCACTTTTTTAAATTGAGTTGAAGCAAAAAAAGAGAAAGAAAGAAGAATAATAAAAAGTGCACTTTTTTGAAAAAATATGCAAAAACACAGTGGTTTAGGATAATGGGGATTCTGGAAAAAAAAGTATAGGGGAAATTGATTAAAAAAGTACGGTAGACCTTTTCAAAATAGTCAGGATTAAGAAAGAAGATGGTGAATTGTGAATTGAAAGAAAAGGTGAATACGGTAGACATTTTGATGAGCTCAGACTTTTGAGGCTTTCTAAAAATCAACAGCATTTTATACTTTTTCAAAACTCCACCGTTTCGAAACAAAAATCTAGTCACGAAAATATTTTCCGACCTATATCTCAAATTGTCTCAATAGACAACAAAAATAATAGACACATGATTTTTGAAACGTTTTCCCTGCTCAAACGGAAAATCCGAGAATGAATATATGTACATATTTGAAAAATGTTGCCTTTTTTCTGTCTATATTTAGAATTGCCCAACAACAACAAAAAGGTCTAAAAAATCAAAATGATCAAGACACGAAACATCTACAGTACTTAAAATGTCAAGTTTTTGTAGTGCAAAGATCACTTCATAATTTTGTTTTAGTTCTCAAGAGAAGATCAGGTTCGAAATGATTATTAGAGGTTTTTTTTCCACTAAAATAAATGAATGAAAAAAGTTCCTTTGGCGCGACAAAAAAAGTGCAAAGTTCAATTCGGTAGTCGCGAACAAAAACACGTAAACAAATAAAAAGCAATTAAAAAGTTCAGTTGCTCACATGAAATAGATGAAACAGACGAAACGCAATAAATAAACGATTTAATGAGAAAAGGTCACTCTTTCAAGTCAAGTGTCAAATTATGTGTGATTTTTGAGGTTTGCAATACATTTTTAATAAAATACAAAAGTCATTTTTAGAGTAAAAAGAAAGTAGAAAAACAATTTCAATTTCAAAAAACCAAACCAAGTTCAGGTGAGAAATGTTTGGGAGGTAAAAAGAAAACATCTGATCAGAGTTTTTGAAGAGATTCTTGAAAAAAAGAACCGATTGTTCGTTCTTCTGTCTTGATGTTTACCGACTAGCGTTTTACAAGTTTTTCTTTCACTCAAATATTGACATGATCGCAATCCTAATCAAAAATCTTTTTTTTTCCTCATCTCATTGTTTTTTCTTCAAATGTGAGAAAATCTCAAAAATCAGAGTAAATAAAAAAGAAGTGCTAGACAAATTGTTTTGAATGTGAAAAAATCCCATATTCGGCGTAGGACAGGTATATCAAATGACTATGTATAAGCCCAAACATCAAGTTGTTATTCTAACTGACTGAATGACTGACTGGAAAAAGTTTGGAAGAATGAGAGGGAGAAGAGGGAGGATGAATTATTTGGAGAGAAATGAAATTCGAGACTATGTATTTCATCTGACGATGTAGTGGACAATTTGAACACTTTGTTCTATAAATATGAAAAGGTTTTGTGAACCCTAAATAGTGAAACTATCATGTGAGATAAAACATATCAAATTAAAAATATTGATTGTTGCGGTATTGTTATTCTTGGATAAGTGATTAATTTCAAGAAAATACTTTCTATGAATGTCAATATTTTAAAAATGTTGGGATCAAACAACCAAAGTTTCCTTATTAACATTGAGATCAAGAGTTCGGAGTTCAAAATAACCAAATATGGTCATTCGGAAAGAAAAATCGTAGTCGATTCATTTAAAATCGAAACATCGAATAAATTAAGTTCGTTAACAATTTGATACTCACATTCAGTTTTCAATCAAAAATCATTGTGAGACATGACGTTTATAAGCAATATTTTGCATTTTAGCACTATTGAGAGTCCATAACTCGTCTCAGAAAGCAAAAAACAAAAGTTGAGAATGTTTGTCTTATCCAAAAAACAATTCAAGTTCAATCGACTCTTGAAGTGTGGGGAAATAATAAACCCGTGAACATTTTTCCAGAAATTCAAAAATTCATTCAAAAATGTTTGAAATCTGCAACTTTAAAGATTTTTGTGCGTGGAAAAAATTATTAAAAATTTCACAGAAACCAAACATAAAATTATGACCTATCACATTTATGGTTGAAAAAAATGACAATACTCGAGTTTCATATAAACATGGACCAACAAAACAATTGAGCAAAACTCAAATTTCAATGAGTCAGGCTCAAATGTGTTTTAGTTCTGACTTTTGGGAAATTTCTTAGAAAATAATGATTCAAGTTCACATTTTCCTAATTAGGAAAGTTGAAAAGTCAAATTTTTTCTCGGAAATAAAGCACACCAAAAACACAAAACACGGAACTTTTTCTCAAAAATGTTTTTCCCAAAAGGGTATACATATAATTAAAAAAATTTCGTGCTCAAAAGTTCACCAAATGGGGAACTCGAATTTTCTATGCACTACTTTATAATTTATCTCATACATTATAATCATATATTATTTTTGGAGAAGTTCTGATTGTAAGAAAAAATCAGTTACCTGGCATTAGACTATAGATAAATGCCAATACCAAGGGTCAAAGACAACAAGTGTCACTCACATGAAAAAAGGTGACTTGAAAATCAAAATGTTACAACATTTTGGAAGCAAAAAGACTATTATTTTGCACAAAGTTTATTGCACAAAGAAGTATCATGAGATCCAAAACTAGAATATTTTTCAATTATCCAGCCATTTTCAAATAGACTATACATAATTGATCTGTTGTTTTTATAGCTATTTTGTGAAGAGCAAAATTAATTATTTTGGAAAACTGGAAAAATACATGAAGAAATTGAAATTGAATTGAATTATTCACAAAATGATGACTGAACTGTGATTAAATCAAATTTTATAAAGTTCAATGACGTTGTATAATAAAAGAAAACGTATGTAGTTTAAGCAGCATTCCTCAAGAAACAAAATACGTGGCCCGTCCTGTTTGAATTTTGGTCAATGGCAAAGTTTTACCTAAAAAATGTTTATCTACGTCTCATATAAATAGTGTTCTTTCACAATGTGTTTTTCAGAATTTCGCAAAAAATAACATTCATGGATGAATAATCAAACTCAAATAAAGAACTAATGCGGTTTCGTCATCCTAAAATAGATAAAAATTGGCACAGTTCTATCAGAAACCATATTTGTTGTTGTTAGATTACATAATGAAATAATCAATGAAATACTCATGATTTTCTAGTTTTTGATTTAGACATTTTGTTCTTATATATAATTGCAAGTTTTCTAAAGCTATAATAATTTTCAAATTTCTTTCCTCTTCTCTCTATAGACCTATCTTTTTTCTAGCATACATAAATATGATTTTTCAACCTTTTGTAGCCTGTTGAACAAACTACTAAACCCGCTATGTAAATACGGTTGTTTGAAAAAAAATGTTTCACAATTTTTTTTCCCTAGTAACTCAATTTTGTTTTTTTCATGTCAAATGTTATGTATATTTTCTTTTCGAAAAATATTGATTTTCGTGTACATACATCTGTTGTATACATCTGGAAAAAAATTGACAATTTTTTCTGCGAAAAATGAATTTATTTCATTTTTGTTTATTTTTCCTTTACTTTTTCTGTGTCGTGGGTGGAAGTAGAAATGATGATAATTTGAAAAACAGTTATGTTTTTGCTGTGAGAGGAAGGAGCATTTTTGTGTAGACCACACATGTTTTTCTTTCAAAAAGAATTTTCTTTTAAATGTATTTTTCTTGGGTGTGACTTTTCCAAAACTAATTTGAATATTTTTTGTTGTTGGGAAAATCAATTTGAGAAAAACCTTCAAGGTAAAATGTTTCTGCGCTTATTTTTTACATTCCTCTGATTTGATAACCCAAATCGCTAGGCTTCTAATTTTTAACACATTTTTTCTGATAGGTCAAAAATATTGTCATCTGAATCTCTTACTTTTCTGTTGAACTTTGTTGCACTCCTAAAATTATATCAAGTCTCAAAAAATGTGGAGAATATTGTGCTTCTGTGCTTTTGGCTTTTTTCCAGAAATTTTTTTTCATTCTCATTTTAATAGTTTTGAAAACCGGAATATTTCAAGTTCCGGCACACCTTGAAGTTCTTGAAATTGAGTAACCTACTTCTTCCGACATGTGTCTTACATATGTTTTATTTCATATAACTCATAATTACTCACTCCTCAGTCATGAGTCTATGCATGAATATATATTTATTTACATAAATGACACATATGATTTATATACCTTTTATCGACATTTCGTAAATTTCTCCAACAGCTTCTTCAAGTTTTTGTTGCTGAAGAAGAATAAGAAAAGGGAAGAAAACAAAACCAGATTGTTTTGCTTTCAGACAGTTTTTCTTACTTACACAACACTTTTTTTGCCTCCTCTTCTTCTTTTTATTCTTATTTTCCTTGCATTCTACTCTTTTTCCCCTTCCATTTTTCCTCTCTTCAATATACTTACAATTTCTTTGCTTCTCTGCGCACTCTCTAGTTTTTCCTCACACTTTTCATGCTTTCTTGTCTCTTTTCGTTCGTTCGATCCATGAAATTGTATGCATCATTTTTTTTCGACGAAGACGGTTTTTTTGTGATGCTTGCCCTGCTATGCTGTGCATGTGTTTTATTTGTTCACGGCTTGTGTCAGCAGTCAGTAACCTGAAATTTTTCGAACTTGACTAGGGCTAGTCTAGTTGTCACGTGTTTATTTCGAGAGAGAAAGAAGATTTTTTTCGGAATTTGAATCGAAATAAAATTATATGTTTTTGTTTTGAATATTTCACCAAATTTTTTATAAACATTTTTTTCTGAAAAAATCTTCAATTTTTATTTCAAATGTTGTATTAGTCATCTTCTTTCTTTTGTTCATTTTTATTGTTTGTAACATTTTCTTGTAATGCCAATTTCTGAAGAAATTCGCTATTATATTTTAAAATAAAAAATAAAATACGAAGCACTTTCTTTCCATTTTCAAATTTCTTATCAGTTAGTTCATTCCGTCCATAAAATAATCCAATTGAAAAATCAATAGTTCAATTCCAGATGACGGCAGGCACGTCAGGTGTGTTAGTTGATGATCATGTGCTCGAAATCCTGCGAAAAGCAAAAGTTGAACAGTTTTCGAATCGATTCATTTTTCAACTTCAAGTTAGACGATTTGATCATTTTGCACAAGTACGGGATAAAGATATGATTGTGAGTGTTTCCATATTTTCGAAATATCAAAAAAATATATATTTTTCAGAGCATTGGACTTCAACCAGCACAAGTAAAAGATCTCAGAGATCAGATTCAAAAAATGTCCAGAGAATTATGGAATCGAAGCGACCCAAAACAGGTCATATGTTTTTCATTAATTAATTTTCAATTAAATTATCGAACATTTCAATTAATCATGAATTCTCTAAATTTTCCAGGTGTACATCGCATCTGATGCAACTAGCAATTCACAAGTCTCAACAGATGATCGGGCTGTAATTCCAAACTCCCAGGTTAGTAAAAGTGCACACGTACTTTTAAAGTTTATCCAAACTTTATAGGTGAAACTATTTGAAAAATTGGGAGAAGGCAGTTTTGCAGTTGTGAAAAGAGGAATATGGATGCAAAATGAGACAAAGAAGATTGATGTGGCAGTGAAGATTTTGAGGGATGCTTCGCCGACAGTTATGGAAGATTTGAAGGTAAATTGAAATATCAGAGCTTCTTTTAGAAATATTTGGTTTTCTAGGCCATATTTGTTTTCTTCCAATAGTACATATTTAGAATACAATTATTTCAGATCGAAGCTGGACATTTACTGAAACTGCAACACCCGGCTCTTATCCGCCTTTATGGATATTGCCAACAACCAGCAATGATGGTTTTCGAGTTGTGCGAAGGCGGAAGTCTTCTTGATCGTCTGCGAACTGATGATAAACCAATTGTCTTGGTTACCCAATTATTGGATTATTCTGTACAAATCGCCAAGGCTTTTCAATTTCTCGAATCCAAACATCGTGTTCATCGCGATCTTGCCGCTAGAAACATACTTTTGTCAAAAGATGAACAGGTTAGTTGAATTTTTTTTGTCATATGAAAAACTCAAATGAATTCATTTCAGGTGGTGAAAATTTGTGATTTTGGATTAATGCGAAGTCTTGCCGATAATCAACAGATGTATACAATGAGTCCGGAAAAGAAGGTTCCATTTGCTTGGTGTGCCCCAGAATCACTAAAACATCGCAAGTTTTCGCATGCCTCAGATGTTTGGTCGTATGGAGTTCTACTTTGGGAACTGTTCACATATGGAGAAGAGCCTTGGACTGGATCACGAGCAATTGAAGTGATGAAATTGATTGAAAGTGGAGAACGATTAGAGAAACCCAAATATTGTTCAACCAAAATCTATCAAATAATGCAAAATTGCTGGAAACACTCACCAGATCAACGTTGTAAATTCAACACAATTCGCGAAGATCTTAAAGCTGCATCGTTTTTGAATTGCATTGTCCGTGAGCCATTCAGCACTACTCAACCCGGTTATTTGAAACTGGCGATTCGTGATGAGGTCATAATAATTGAGAACGAGTGAGTCATATACATATTTGTTTAACCAATTTGCATAATATTGTTTACAGATCAAACTCCGACTATTATGGACAAAGTCGAAAAACACACAATTTTGGAATATTTCCCAGCACTAATGTATTTGTACAATCGAATACTGCCGCAACATCTGTTCCGATTACACCACAGGTAATAATAGATTATCCAACTGGTTTCGTTTTTTTTGTTTTTATTTTTTCATATTGAGAAACAATATTTTTTGTTTTTGTTTTCAGAAAATACCTGCAATTACACCTGTAAAAATAACACCAGCACCTCCTCAACAAAAACCTAAAATGGCTCCCACGACTACCACCAATTCAAAAGCTACACCAACAGCAGGAAGTTCAAGAATATCAATGCCCGTCGCAGGTATGTACTTTAATTTAAATTGTACTTCAAATTCCCTCTGTACCCTTTGTTTTAAGGTTCGTTTATTCATACTGGACATGGTGATCCATTAGGAAATTCTTGGGGAAATCCATCGACAATTGATGCGGTATATTTGAAAAATCCTGTGAAAGGTGTACCTTTGTCTAGGTTTGTGACAAACAATTCTTACCCATATTTCCCCTTATGTATGAATCTTTATTTTAGATCGAATGGTGTTCAAATAATTGCAAGTAAATCGGATATCAATAACAGTGAGTTATTTCAACCCTTGTCTTACTGTAATTTACTAACCTAACCCTTTTATGTCTAGTTTCGTCATCTCACCCGTCGACATCGCTTTCTCTCCAACTTGATGATGATTTTGAAAGAGCATTTAATGATAGTTTCTCACCATCGGCTATTGAGTATCCAAGAGACATCGGTATATTTTTTTTTGTATTTTTGGATTTAGTTTCAGTCTCTGATTTCATTCCTTGATCAACAAAAAAAATATAATTCCAGGTCACACTAGTGATATTTCGATTCGCGGAGATTATGGAATAAATTTGACAAATGCGTCAACTTCGGCAAATGTTTTCGAAAAACATATACCACAACCTGCCCTGATTCCAACAAAAGCTGATACAGTTCGCTTGCCGCCGCCAGTTGAAACAATTCAGATTATCAAGCCAAAAACTGATATCAATTTCAATCAACCTCGACATGCATCTTCATCAGCATCCAGATTAGATGCGATGGTTCCAACACCAGCACCAACAATCATTAAGAATCAATCGAATGGACATTTACCTCAAAATCTAGCTAATGAGTTGAAGGTTCGAATTGAATCCGATGCTGCCAGACCTCGCCCAGTTTCAGTTATCGGATCAGCAAATGTTCCTAGTTTCCAACAACCTACTCGACCCGTTTCGGTGTTTCACGCCCCATCAAATGTTCCATTACAACCCACACAAATACCATGCTTGGTGCCCACACCAATCAATAACACGGTGAATATGCAAAAAACACTGAATCAAGAGCTCAAAGTTAATTTGACACGAAGAGCCACGGAAATCACAACTTCAAAACCAACAAGATCGCAATCTACTTCAGCGCAACCAGTTATTCCGCAGCCAACAATCCCGCAACAACAAATCCAACCAGCACCGAAAGCAGTAATTTCGCAACCAGAAATCAAACAACAACAAATCCAACCGACACCAAAGCCAGTCATGGCTCCACCAAACTTTGATGCTCCTGTAGCTCCAAAATCGGATAAGGTTGTTATAAGAAAATCATCCGAAAATCCAGCACTATCACAAGATGAGCGAAGATCAAAAATAATATCACAAGTCAGTGATTGGCTTCCGGCGCCAAGTCCATTGTTGCTTGGAGCAAATACAACACCTCCCACAATTGTTGCGCCAACCAAACCTACTCATATTACAACTTTAACTCCAGCTCCAGCAGTTGCCCCAACTCCGGTTCCAGCTCCAGTGGTCAAGAAAATTTCAGAGCCTGTTTTATCGAACACAGTATTACAACCAACCGTTTTGCCATCAGCCAGAACCAAATCAACTGTCGATCCACCAACTGTGCAACAAGAAAAGGCAAGTTATTTTCAATGAAACAAATAAAATCAATATTTTATAGCGTGCCCCAGTTCAAGCTCCACCACAAGTACCATTGTTCAACATAACAAATTCAAGCACACCACATGTTTACCCAAGTGTATATCCAAATTATAGCAATGGTTATGGGATCAATAATGGATACGCGTTTTCTAGTATGTTTTATTTATTGAAATATAATTCAAAATTATTTTTTCCAGATTACAATTCGTATTACAATCCATATGGAAACCCTTCAATGATGCGACCAATTACTATGGGACCAACAATTCTTCCAAGCCTCCCTTCATCGGAAAACCAGGCTTCAACATCAAATATGATAACCCAGCCGCTTGGAGAATCTGACATCGCTGAACTTTTGGGACGACCAAGATCTACATCAGTAGCCGCAGTCGCAACACCAAAACCCCTTTCAGATTTATCACAGAAAATGGAGGTGTTGTATAAAGAGGCAAATTTTACACAGTAAGTTTTTGTTAAAGGTGTTGTTGACCTTTTTTATGTTTGTACATATGAGATAACATTTTTATGCATGTTCCATATTTTGATACTGATCTAGGTAGTTAAAATTGGGAAAAATAAACAAAGGAGAAGTTGAAACGCGTTCCATATGCATTGCACTTTCTCACATCAGATAAAAATGAAATTTTTTGGAAATTTAAAATTTATCATTAACTAGAAGTAAACCATAAAACAATAGGGTTCATCGTTGCAAAAAACCTATATCAATAATACTTTATTCCAAACCCTTCAACTCCAACTTTTTTTCAGCCGCGGAAATTGTGATGCAATGGTTGCTCGTTGTAATGGAGACGTGGAACTTGCGCTTAAACGTCTGAAACAAGCACAACTCGTCGAAATTGGAGTCGCTGAAAATGTCGAAAAAGCTCGAACTGCTCTAGAAGCCCGGAATTATGATCTCGCTGCTGCCGCAAATCTTCTCCTCGGTTAAGATATTCACAATTCTAGATGTATTATATAACAGATATTTTATACAAAAATTGAATCCACATGTTCATATGTATTTTTCAAAATATATTTCATCCTCTCTTTCTTCTTCTCGTAATCTTTTTATTTTTTTAGATTTCAGTTTTTTCCCCAAACCCACCCAAATGTTTTGCCAGCCATCACTTATTCGGAATTTTGCGAGTATTCTTGTCAATAAAAATATTTATTGAAATGCAAATTATATACAAGTATGTGGATGAAAAAAATTTTGAAAAATAGTAGAAAAATTAAATATATTTTGTGACCGAGACATTGTTGACCATCTAGTTAAAATTGTTGGGTGTTGAAGAAAAACCGTTTTAAAATTATTTTTGAGGGCGATTTATAAGCGAATTGGTGATTCCTCCGGTTCTTTGACGTTGAGGTTGTGGTGGAAGTCGTGAAGCAGTATTGTAGTTCTATAAAAATAAATTTCTCTTTTTTTGAAACCAATTCAAGATAAAATTACCTTGTAGTTATTGTTGTTTTGTTCGATTGGGTATTGTTGAGGTTTTGGAAGTGGTGGAGATGGTTCTTGTTCAATTTCTTCAGAAATCTCTTCTGGAACCGTTGCTGGTCGAAACATTGAGCCACTGAAAAGCTCCGAGCTCAATTGTGGACGTTTTGGTCCTTGTGGCTTAAGTTGGATTCCATATTTGGCGCCATTCTCACGAATGGTCTGAAAATCGATTGATTTTGATGGTTTTTTTCAAGAAAGAGACAAATCAAACGTACTCTATAGAATCCTTGTCTTCCTCGAGTGGCCACGAATTGCATACCTTGACATTTTGGTCGAGGTATCTCCATTCTACCAAGTTCACACAAGTTGTCACGAATTGCAGTCATGCTATTCATAATTAAAAATAATTATTTAATCCAGTCAAAAATAGAAAAGAATCAGGACACGAACAAAACGTGGAAATGTTTGATAATTTTTTTCAAAAAAAAAGCACAAAAAAATCTGGCCGTCTGATAAATATGTATTATCATCAATAAAGGGGAAAAATGAAGTTTTGTATGACAGACCGACAGGTAAGCAAAAGGTGTGTCAAGAATGAATTGTGGGGGAAGAAGGGGGAATAGTAGAAAAGAAATCTGGTCGAGTCAGTCCAACTAAGGCAGTTGAGCAAATATATGTATGTGTTTGGAAGAATAAAGAATGAGCTGCATTCAATTTTTTGACACTTTTCGCTGATTTTTCTTTTTTTGGCAAGGGAATAAATGACAGCTGTTTATGTACTTTATATAGATTATATATAAATTTAAGTTGAAAGATTTGAGTCAGGAAACATTATTATGATTTTTGGACATTCAGAAGCTAAAAAATGTTTTGATAAAATAAAAAAAATATATTTTCTGAAAATAATTTATCAAGGTGAACCTTCGGGTTTCTGAATATCAAAAATTCAAAATTCGAAAATTATGTCATACCACTATGCATAGATGAAAGAAACTATTAGGAATAATAGAAAAATGAAATAAATTGAAATGAAAACTAACCTAAGCAGTGACCCGAAAGAAAAATGAGAAAAAACTGTTAATTGCGAAAATGTCTTGAGGCGCTGCGGGCATCTATCCGATTAGCATAAAGGCCTTCACATTCACAGTTGGACTCTTGCAAGATTAACGAGATTTTTGATATAATTGGAAAAGGTGTTAGATTGAACAAAACAACACAACTCAACTCATCAATAAAAATAGGGGAAAAAATAAAATAACAACATTGTGAAACATACACACAATTTTTGTTCGACGATGAGCGATTAGCGCAAAAGTACATAAAATGTTTGAATATTTAGGGTGAGGGAGGTCAAGATGGTGAAGGATTATTAGTAGGCATGTTCATGAATGAACAAACATGTAGAACTAGAATTGAACAAAAAAGTACACAGATCGTTAGAAATGAGTGAAAAATAAGCTGAAAATTGTTTTGTATTAGGGAAAGGTAGTTTTTTTTTGTCAATCCGGGTGCGGACGGATACTGTATATTTGTGATGTGAACAGTTTTTTGAAAAAATTTTTTCAAAACGTTTTTATGAAATGAAATATCGAAGTCCTCTAATGTAATTCCAAATTCTGAACGTTGAAAATAAATCCCATAGAAGTTTTACAAGTTCAAAAATTTTTAGAAGTTCACAGGAGTTCTTGTAAATTTTGATATTTCAAAAAACATAGTAGAATCTACAGGAAACATTATTTTGCTAAACACTCAAAAAAATTCGTATAATTTCAGAATTCGGAAGATTAGAAAAAAATTTCAAATTTTCAAACCCACTAAAAAATACAATACCATACAGTATCAAAAATTATTAATTCAAATCATAATATTCAACAATAACCACTAGCAAAGTACAGTAATCCTTTGAATCAACCTGAATCGAAAAATTGTAGAACAACAATGCAAATGAATAGAATATGCGTATTTATGAGGACACTCAACTTAACAATCCTGTATGACTGGTTAATTAAAGTTCTTCTCTATTCATTTTCAATTGTTATGTTTTTTCTTTCATGAAAATTTTGTTACAGCATAAAGAAATTTCAAGATTTTCTTCAGTTTTTTTCTACTTAAAAAATAAAAAAAACTTTGAGAAAAACGAAGTACAAAAAAATGGAATACATAAAATTCATCAAAAGGTTGGGCAAATATACAAATTGGATGTGACTTTTTTTCTCATATTTGATTGAAATTGGAATTGAAAAACGTAGGAAGGTTAGTTAGTAAATCTGTGAATATTGAAATAAGATGAGGGAGATGAAGATGACTTTCAATTTCAATTGAAAAAACGGGAGATTTTTGCCATAAACTGCGTCGTAAACACATTTTAGGAAGAATGAAATGAAAAAAAGATGACTGAATATGATATAGTTTTTGATGGTTAAGTAGGTGAGAAAATGTATTTATTTATTTATTGGGGGTTTTTTAGTTTTAGTGTAGTGAGAAAATGATCATGACCTTGGTAGAAAAACGTGGAGCCTGTGAAAAAATGCTGTAAGTGGTTGAACATAATGTTTATGCATACATGCTTGCTCAAAGAAAAAGCCGGGCTTTGGGAGGCGGAAAAAAACGTAGAGATTTCGAGTGGTCATGACGAGCAGCGGAAAAGTTGAAGGAATTCTCACTTGTAATAATCGGCGGCAAGCAACAAAAAAACTTCTACAAACATTGTAGTTACACCAGATTTTTTTGTGTTTTATTCACCAATTTTTTTGAAAATTTTTCGATCATCAGGATCCTAATATTAAAATTTCCGAAAATTAATGAAAAATATAGATTTAACAAATAAAATGTGAATAAAAATAATATTCTATGAAAAAACAAGGAAAAACCATCACGTGTTTATTTGTTTTGACAGGAAAAAAATTCAAGAGTTTTTTGTCTCTGCCAGCGCTATTGTTAAAACGCATAACATGAAAACATCAAATAACTTGAACTTTTTTGTTGAGAGAGAGAGAGATGTGTGCAAATAGTAGTTTTTTGATGGTGGTTGTTAGTTTTTTGATCAACTGATTGTAAAAGATTTTTCAAAAAAATCAAGATCTCGTGGGAATTTTTGAGAGATCATGATGACATTTATGTGAATTTAGAAAAAAATCAGAGAACAGCGCTCAAAAGTTTTATTGGGTTAGTTCAAATATATTAGACCACCCACGAAGACTTAATTGAAAATTTTGTTTTGAACTTCAAAAATAAACCGACAGCTATTGAGAGACCACAACATCACACGAGACCACCCATAGAATTTTTTTTTGGCAGATTCACTATGGGGTTTTTCAGTTTCATAGACCACTCAAAAAGTTTACTAGATATACAGAAACTCAACACTGATATTTATGTGTAAGTAGAAGTGAAAAGTATCTAGACTATTCGTAAATCATTAGACTTTCTGAATATATATTAGACCACCCACGAAGAATATATGTAAAATCTTTGAAGAATATGAGAACCGACGAAGAAGAAGCTACATCTCGATCACATCAATCTACAGTACCTAGTTTTTTAGACGCCTCAATCGGTTTTTTCTCAAAAACGGTATTTCAGGAATCCTAATAATCCTACGCTTCACCAAACAAACAACGCAACCAAACCAAAACAAAAACGACAAATCAGAAACTAAATGATGATATAAACCTTTTGAAAACCGTCAGTCATGTTTGGTTTCGAATAGATAATTGGCGTGGATAATGGATGTATGCGGTTTTTGGAACAGGAACAACACTATATCCTTTTGAAATGTATGTTTGAACATATTTATGGGAGGATATAGTGAAATTAATTCTGATAACTTGATAACAAAAAAATGTTTGGGCTGTTTCACAGAAATGAACTGGGAATAATAATTTGATTTTCAAAAATTGTTCACGAACTTTGTGGGTGGTCTTAAAGAATTAGTGTGTTCAGGTATTTATTTAACGATTAAAATCGGAACTATGTACGTTGTTGTTCAAAAATTCAACATCAAGATTGGCTCACATATTAATGTCGCAATGATATTATTTTTTTAGATAATTTACGCTTCTAAATACTAACAATAATTTTCTAAGCCTTTTTTCGATTGAAAATTCAGTGAAATCGGAATTGTTAAAAATTTATGTGTTTCCAGATTTTTTGACAGTGCCATTGGTCAAAATGGTTTATTCAAAATACAAAATATATTTTCAAGAGTATCTTATTATATAAATCATTTGAAACAAGTATTTTGAGAGAAATGTGTGTATTATTGTTATTATTATATAATAAAAATAACAACAAAACCCAAAATGAGTGAATTGGCGAGATTAAAAGTGAATGAATGATTGCTCTTGAGAAAGCACTTATATGGAAATGCAAAAAGTGGGTTATTTATTGATTGAAGTGTCATTTATTTATACTATATACTCTATCCATCCATATTCAATTTCGTTTCTCTTCATTAGTTAATAATAATAATGAGAAGAAAATAAGAATAACACATTTTGACATTGTTTGTTAATTTGAAGAGAGACAACAAAGAAAACCGGAAATTGTATGTATGTATTAAGCATTAAACAATTTTATTCAAAAAGTTTTTGAAGACATATTTTTATATCACCCGCAATATAAACCCAAAAAGAAATATTTAAAAAAATATCATTCTTCGTCATCACAAGTTGGAAAACAATCGCCGATATCTGGAAACATCAAATATGGCAAAACTCGTCCCATTGCTGGATAATTTCTCCCGCTGCTTTTTTCAAATGCGGAAAGTGATAATCGAATACTTTCGCATGTTGCGTTTTTGTATTCTCGATAATCCCATCCATCCAGATTTTTTCCGCATAGTGAAACGTTTAGGTTTTTCTGTAAAAAATGAACTAGAAACACAATTTTGAAATATATTTTACTATTAACATACCTTAAAAGGACTTTCCCATCCTTTGAATCCAACTTCATTATTTTTCCAACCATGCAACATAAAATCACGTTCACAAAACCTATCGGTTGTTAAAAATCCATCTCTCACCCAACCATGTGCTCTTCGATAAATTCGAATTTGACCAGGCCATAATCTTTTAGCCCCCAATGCCAATTTACAACAAGTCACATATCCCATATAGGAATTATAGTTGGTTGAGTTATGCCAAATAGCATCACAGTTTTTGATTTCTTGTTTTGCGTGAGGTAGGAGTGTTTGTAAAATATGAATTTGGAGCACTCCATTATCTGCACCATTCCAATTTTGTGGTTGATGGAATTCCCATTTTCCCCAATCACTCAAAAAATTATAAGCGAATTGAGTATTCCGAACCTAAAATTTTAAAAAGTTTGTATCAGGTTTCTAACAACTTGTGAGCCTTTTCAATGAAAAACTATACCAAATAATTTCCACTTGCAATTTCCCAATTGAAAAATCTTTCATAAAAAATGATATCAACTCGTGTATCAATCCACTCTTCAATACAATGATTTGGATTTGCAATACCTAAAAAAAATATATCGCTGAAATTGTTTACATCCAGAAAAAACCTGTATCTGCATCGAGGACAAGCATCCAATCAGTGTCTCGAAGATAAGCTGAAGCAGCGCAGTGTTTTTTGAAAAATAGCTGAAAAAAACTTTTGATTGATTGATAAAATCAAAATATTGTACGTGTGAGCTTTGTAGATATCGTAGTTTATAAGTCCTTCATAGTTCTACAGTAACCAGAAGTGATACCAAACCTCAAATTCTACAAACCTGTTTATTATTTGAGCACTCCTTTTTCACCCTTTCATCCGAATCCAAATCAATCATCAAGACCTCATAATTTACACTTTTTAAATAACATTGTAATGATTCTTGAGCGACTTTGTAATGGCTGAAATTCAAAAAACCAGTTTTTTTGCCAAATTATCGATTTTTCATTTTTTTTTCTCACCCAACCATACTGCTTGCAACATAGGCTACAAAAATTGTGACTTTTCCGAAAAGCGGTGGACAATCGCCCATATTTTCTCGTCGTGGATAAAACTCTCGTTTTCCTGGTAGAAAAAATTTAGGATTTTGAATTTTTTCGATGATTGGAGGTGGAGGGGGTGCTCGTATTATTTCGGAGTTCTGAAAAATATTACTTTTTTGAAAAAATGATCAGAAAAGGCTGAATTTAAAAATTGAAAAGTTGAAAAACTTGCATCGGGTCTATAGGTAACTTCGACATCATATGTTGAAAATTTGAAATAGAATAGAAAAATAATAACACAAATTAAAATTAGAATACCAAGTGTAGTTGGATTTCGCATCCTGAAAAGTGATGTGATTTGATAAGAAGCGGAAAACAATAAGATAAATTGCTGGATGAACCAGACAAGAAGAACTGGGTTGATTTTTATGCTATGCGATGGGAAAAAAGGACAACCGCATGTTTTTTTTGGATTGTTCAAAGTTGAAGTTAAAAAAGATTATCAGATTGACAAATAAATTTGACCTTTGTGAAAATTGTTAGTTGTTAACAATACATATACATTAACACCAAACACAAAAACCAGCCTTTTTTTGTCTAACTGTTTTTTTCTTATTCTTTGTAAATAAATATGTACTCAATCATTTTCAAAATAGGTCATTTTTTTGGGAAAGTACATACACATTTACCTCATAATATCGCGATGGCCTGGATGGAAAAATGATTTCAATTAGGTGGGAAGTTGAAAATTGTTTAGAAGAAATTCTTTCAGGATATTCACAAATTGAGAGGAACAATAAAAGTTCCGGAGCATGTAAACATTGGTGGGTGCAAAAAGCGGCGAAAATGACGGCACAGAAAAAGCAACAATGAAATTTGGAAACATGAAACCAAATTAGACTTTTTAATGAAAAATAAAAGAATATTTTCTAGAAACTGGAAAGATTTTTTGCATAGAAACTTTTTCTTCTGAAAATGGTAAAAGATGTTTAAAGAAATGGAGATGTTTGCAATTTTTGCAGTTCTGGGTCCTATTTGAAATTATCTGCGTCGTGGGTGATCTGAAATAACAAAAAACGCTGTCCACCTTTCTTGAATTTGTGATTTTCGTAAAGCTTGTTGTGTTTTTTGGTTTTCTAAAGACAATCTTTAAACCAACCGATATTGGAAACTTAACTTTCAATTTTCCAATCAATTTCATCAAAAACCCATTTATTTGGTAGACGGAAAAATACAAATAGCAAAAAATCATTAATACACATTTTTTAAGTACGGCTAGTTCCGGTTTGAGCGAAGTGACCCAAAAGCATTCTTGAGATGACAATACGTTGAATTTGTGAGGTTCCTTCATAGATTTGATAGATCTTAGCGTCACGCATCAATTTCTCAACTGGATATTCGCAGTTGAAACCGTTTCCTCCGAAGATCTTAAAATTTGAAATTGAATATACATTTCTGCAAAATTATTAGTGACTCACTTGTACAGCATTTGTGGCGGCTTGGTTTGCAGTATCGGCAGCAAAACATTTTGCGATTGAAGCATTATATGATGATCTGACATTGTTGTCAACATCTGTGGCAGCTTTGTATGTGATGAGACGAGCTAATTCCAAATTCACAGCCATATCAGCCAACATGAATTGCACTGCTTGATGCTAAAATTTTTCAGATGACTCAGAAAAAAAATTGAATTAAAAAAAAAAACTCTGATTAAACTCACATTAGCAATTTGAGTTCCGAAAGCTTTTCGCTCCAAAGCGTATTTAGCAGATTCATCCAAACATCTCCACGACAAACCAAGTGCTCCAGCAGCCACTCCTGGTCTAGTCATATCAAATGCACTCATAGCAACCTTGAATCCGGCTCCTGGAGCTCCCAAAACATTTGATGCTGGAACTCGAACATCTTCGAAAGTGATAACTCGAGTGTCCGAACATCTTTGTCCCATATTCTTTTCCTTCTTTCCACGAGTAATTCCTGGAGTATCTCCATCAACAATGAAAGCGGTGAATGCTTTTCCAGCTGGTGTTTTTGGGTTTGGATCAGATCTGGCAAGAACAAAGAACCATTTAGCATGACCTCCTCCAGTAATCCAAGCTTTTGAACCGTTAATAACATATTCGTCACCCTTTTTCTCGCATCTTGTCTTAACTCCATTTACATCAGATCCTGCTCCTGGTTCAGTAACACAATAAGAAGCAATAATTGGCTCTTCAGCGAGCATTCCAAGGTACTTCTTTTTCTGATCTTCATTTCCAGCAATGTAAACTGGAGCAATCGCAAGAGATGGTCCCATAATACCGAGTTGGAGTCCAGTGCAACCATATGACAATGCCTCAACAATCAAGGCAGTTTCCAAGGTTGTCATTCCTGGGCCACCATATTTCTCTGGGATTTGTGGGTTCATGAGTCCCAAACTGTGTGCTTGTTTGACAATATCCCATGGGAATTCTCCAGATTCATCATATTTAGCTGCATTTGGAACGAGTACGTCTTTCGAGAATTTCAAAGCGGTGGCTTGGATCTCTCTTTGAGTTTCGTTAAGATCTGAAAATAATTTTATTGATTTTTTTAGGTAATGGGGAAATTAATTTATTCGAAAATTTACGCACCAAATGAAAGTTGTCTTGATTGAGAAGCCAAAGTGGTGGCAGATTTTGACAAAACGGTTGATTTGCTAGCAATTCTTGAAAGCATTTTTGAAACGGTTCTGCAAACATTTGAAAAAAAACAGATCGGAAATAACTCCGTAAAGTATTCAAATGGTTTTTAAGACCAAGTATAGAATAAAAAATCGAAAAAAATATCAATAGCAAAGAATACTTTTTTTAGACATATACAAATTATAAAATACCAGTTAGATTTTGAGTATTTAGTTAATATCCACCGTTTTGTTTAACCCGCGCTAAAAGTTGACGGGCAATAACCATTCGTTGAATTTGTGATGTTCCTTCGTAGATTTGGAAGATTTTCGCATCACGCATCAATTTTTCTGCTGGATACTCAGTGTTGAAGCCAGCACCACCGAAAACTTGAACAGCGTTGGTGGCGGCTTGATTGGCGGCTTCAGATGCGAAAAGTTTGGCGATGGAAGCATAGTAAGAACCTGGGCGACCAGCGTCAACCTGGAAAATTGCAGTTTATCAATAAATCACTTTTTTTTTTAAATCTATGAATAAATACAAACCTCAGAACCACTTTTGTATGTCATCAATCTAGCCAATTCACAATTGATGGCCATTTCTGCCAACAAGAATGAAACTCCTTGATGATTATAAATTTCAGTTCCAAAAGCCTTTCTCTCTGTTGAATATTGTGTGGCAACATCCAAACATCTATAAGCGAGTCCAGTTGCCAGAGCAGCGACGGTTGGTCGAGTTTTGTCGAAAGTCTTCATGGCAACTTTGAATCCCTCTCCTGGAGCACCAACAATATTGGCTGCTGGAACTCGAACATCTTCAAATGTGATTCCACGGGTATCTGAACATCTTTGTCCCATATTGATCTCCTTTCTTCCACGAATCAATCCAGCGGAATCACCTTCGACAGCAAAAGCTGTGAAGGCTTTTCCAGCTGGAGCTTTTGGATCTGGATCTGATCTAGCGAGAACAAAGAACCTGAAAAATTGCACTTTTTGGACATTATTTAGAAAAGATAGAAATGATAAGAGGTGGACTTTGTACTATGTACCTTCAAATGTGTAGCCTAAATGTGTAGACACGTGGTTTTCTATGGGAAGAAAAGAGAGAAAGAAAAAGAAGAACATACCAGTTGGCATGTCCGGCATTTGTAATCCACATCTTTGATCCGTTAATAATATACTCGTCACCTTTCTTCTCACATTTTGTTTTGATTCCAGCGACGTCAGAGCCAGCTCCAGGTTCAGTGACAGCGTATGACTATAAAATGTGTTTTGATTCAAATAGGAATTTGTTAAACTTTGGACTTCGAAAATCACTAAGGTGATTCTTCTAATGAATTTTTTCGGGCAGAAAATTTCAATGAAAAATTATTAATTTCTAACCAGTAACTAGAAGTTTCCAAGAACCCAAACCTTATGGATATAACAAATAGTGAAGTTAACTTACAGCAACTAATGGCTCATCAACCATTCTTCCCAAGAATCGTTTTTTGATATCATCATTAGCACAAAGAATCAAGGGGGATTGCGCAAGATCGTTGGCCATCATTGCAGTTCCAATACCTGAGCAACCATACGCAACTTCTTCACTGATCAAACACAATGATACCATATCCAACTCAAGACCACCATATTTTTCCGGAATATCAGCAATCAAATAACCAAGTTCGTGAGCCTTCTTAATGATTGGCCATGGATATTCCATAGTTCTATCATATTCAGCAGCAACTGGAATCACCTCATCAGCAACAAATTTGCGAATATTGGTGCGGAGTTCTTGTTGTTCGGCACTCAATTCAAAATCAATTCCATTGGATGCCAATTTGTTTGATGTGCTGAACAATCTTGAACAGGATCGCAAATTTCTCGCCAACATTTTTACTAGTGTAGGCTGAAAATAAATTGAGAATTGTACAAAATAACATGAAAAAATGTGGAACACACAATTGTTTTTGAAAGAGATAGAAAAGTAGGATAGAATGGGAAAGGCGGGTGTTTTGTTCGGTGTAGTCGAGTAGAGATAAGATGAACAAGAGAAAAAGAAGGTAGATAAGGTTTGATAATAATAAACAACATGAAAAACTGGGCTTGGGGAGTCCTAATATAAATGGGACCAAAAAGTTAATTTGAAAAGAAAAATTATCTTGAAAATTGTGGAGTTTTCCTTGTGTTTATGTGTGGTTTGATTTAAAGCCCAAAAAGATTTCACATAATCAACAAATTCCCCGAAAAAAGTACATGTACAAAGTGCAAAATGATAAGACACGTGTGTGGTCAATTTTATCAGAAAGATATACATTTTTGGAAAATAAATGAAACACAAATTATACCACACCAAGTGTATACAATAAACTAGAAAAAAAAACAACGCCGCTTGGTTTGACCCTTTCCTACAATGTAGTGTGTCTAGATAAGCAAACTTGGAAGAGAGGGGAGAAGGAGATTTATTGATTAGCATATTGTTGAATATGGTTTAGGAAGTTAGGGTGTTGGAAAATGAAGTGTTTGAAATCGAAAAAAAAGTATTCCAAAAGTGAAAGAAATTGACAATTTTGATTGGATACACTCTAAGCGGAGCAATTTTCACTAAAAATGAGCTCAATTTCCTCTCAAATTAAATATTCATAAGTTTGACAATTACTTTTTTCCTAAGCGAAAATTTGAAAATTTATACATATACGAAACTGTGTTTTCCACTATAAAAAACCACGTTTTTTCTTCAAAAACCGCTCACAAAAAAAAGTTCAATGTGGTGAATTTATTTTCTTATTCAATTAATTTCTAACTAAAAATTTGAACAGGAAAATACAAAACTTCCTGCATAAACTAAGTTAGTGTCATATCCCAACACTCTGAAAGTTTCTATGTCTCATTTGAAGCCATCCAAAATTTTCATTCTCATAATTTGAGAAATGAAAAAATTAAAGTAATCAGAACTCTGAATTGTAAAACAATCAATACTTTTTCATAAAACTCAAGTCCACAAAAAATAAAAGATTCAATCACTCTCAAACTATACCTAGATGAATGAAAAACAAATATTTAATTAAAAGCACATGTAACCATCACCATTTTTTTCATTTACTGAAAGTAATGCACGAAAATCAAAAAAAAAAAAAACTAATATACTAATAAAACAAATCAAAATCGAAAACAACAATTTATCAACTAAAAAACTAGTCACACAAAAGAATAACAAAAAACGAACACCTCCCCCTTCTTCTCGTAAATCGACAACAAAGAGACAAACACAAACGGGTCTTGCTGTGTGACCCTGCGAGAAATTGGCTAGCTGTCGCTACGTGGTTGCAGAAAGAAGAGGAGACGAGTGTTCGATTAATGTCTTCTCTGTATCAAAAGGATACTCGTTCTTTTTCTCTCTTGTTTCACTGGTTATTATTTTTATTACAATGTTTCTTCTCGATGTTTTTTCCCGATTTGTTATCAATTAGAAAATTTGAAAGAGATTTTTGCAGGTTCTATTGATTCAAATCGAAAAAATGTCAGACTTTGGAAATCCGCTCAAAAAGTTCAAATTGGTTTTTCTTGGCGAACAATCTGGTGAGTTATTTTTCCCAATTCGATTTTCCATGTTTGTGACAGAAAATTGAAGAAATTATTTTTTTCAGTCGGAAAAACTTCGCTAATCACAAGATTCATGTATGACTCATTTGACAACACATATCAGGCAACAATTGGTATCGACTTTTTGAGTAAAACTATGTACTTGGAAGACCGCACCGTACGTTTTTGATTAATTTTTTTTGGTTAATAATAAAATGACTCATTTTTGTAGGTTCGTCTTCAACTTTGGGACACTGCTGGTCAGGAACGTTTCCGATCTCTTATTCCATCTTACATTCGTGATTCTACAGTCGCTGTGGTTGTTTATGACATCACAAGTAAGAAATTATCAGAATTAAGTTCCCAACTAATTTCTCAATAATTTTAGATGCCAACTCATTCCACCAAACTTCAAAATGGATTGATGATGTTCGAACTGAACGCGGTAGCGATGTTATCATTATGTTGGTTGGAAATAAGACCGATTTGGGCGATAAACGTCAAGTTTCGACTGATGAAGGAGAGCGCAAGGCGAAAGAGTTGAATGTGATGTTCATTGAAACATCGGCGAAAGCTGGTTATAATGTGAAACAGGTGAGAATTTTGGGATTTTAGTTAGAGAAAAGAGCGGGAAAAGCAGACGATGAATGAGAATAAAATATTGATTTCGAGCTAGAAGTTTTGAAGATAATAGAATTTTCAAAACTTGGTATTTCGCAATAAAACAGACTCTGGGAAAAACATTTTTGCCGTATTTTTTTAGAAGATATGATAACTTCTCAAGTTTTTGACGTGAGATAATTCAATTTTCAACATCAATAGTGAATTATTTTTTTCAAAATCATAAAATCACAAGAAGAAGCATTCACAAATTTGCATAGCAGATTTTTTTTTGTATGGGGAATTTTTATGAAAATTTGATGCTTCTCCTTCTCATCAATATGTTCATCCTTCTGATGATCCCCCTCTCCAATGTTCAATATTCAAATTTTTTCCAGCTCTTCCGAAGGATCGCTGGAGCGTTGCCAGGAATCATCAAGGATGATCCAGTCGACCCGCCAAACGTCGTTAGCATGGATCCAATTCGTCAACGTCAAATCGTCACTGACGAAGGTTCGTGCTGGTGTTAAATTGCAATTTCCTGCATTGTTAATTATTTTAAAATTGCAATTCGAGGTTGTGACAACAAGTGTAAGCTTAATTCGGTATCGATTTCTAACTATCTATCATTATTTTTCTATCGCAATGGTTATTTTCTCATATTAATATTGTGGGTGGGAAACAAGACATTTTGTGCAATCCAATTCCTTTTTGATGTTTTTTTTGTAAAAAAAAATTCCCGCCCCTCACCCAATTTTACGATTCTTTATTTTTTGTATCATATGCTGCTCATTTTCCACTTTCTAACCAACCAGTAAAGCACAATTCAAATTTCTAATGCATGATAATTGAATAAAAAACATAATGCTTTGCTTTTGTGATATAATGATTTACATAAGTTATTATTTTAATTTATTTGTTTTTTTATCGCATTGTTCTTTCTTTTCTTTCCTTTTTTGAAATAAAGACTGAATGTTTAAACGGGAAGAGAAGCAGATCACGAGGACAACCAACCAAAATGCAGTTTTAATCAAATATTGACTTTGTGCAGTTTTTCTTAGGCCTGTTTTTCGTTGGGAACAAAAATGTAGAAGTTTTTATTACTAACATGAAATGTATCAATTATTCAAATGATAATTGATTTTCGTACTTATGTCATTGTAGTTGGAAAGATCTGACCATTGAATGAAAACATCGCATAAATCAGCCAAACCTGTTGTGTCAGCAATTTGCAAACCAACAATGATAACCTGAAAATAAATTCAAAAAAATGCAGTTGAAAAACTATGTTGAATTACCTTTCCCTCGTGTCTCAAAATCACAGAATTATCCATGGCTGCATTTTTCTCATTAACTGTTCTGTAAAAATTAACAGGTCCAAGAAAAAACGTCGTTTTCTCGTTGAACTCACGCTCCACTTGTGAAAATAACAGTGTTCATTTTTCCATAACTTGCTAATGGTTGAGGACGAGTAATGGCAAGATTGAAAGCACTGAAAAATAATTTTAAAAAACTTTCCACATTAATTGTACAAAAATTACTCACGAAACAATGGTTGGAGCATCTTTCAAGGCATTCAGATTGCTTACAACATCATTCAACTCGTCGCGATTTTGAAGATCTCCGAAACTGTAAAATTTTCAAGTTTTTTATTTGTAGTTCTCTAAATTCACAGAAACAACTCACTTGATTGGATCAATAAATCGGACAGTTGAATCAAAACCAATCAGACTAACTCGATCAAAATGATTCCAGGTTTTTGTTAAATTTGATGTTGTCAGAAGTGATTTTTGATTGTTGAACTGGAAATGTTGTTCTGGTGAAATCAAAAAGTTTTTTTTTAGTAGAATATCATACCGGAGTTCCGTAGGCTTCTAACATGAAGAGCACATTACTGCTCTTCGGAATACAATCTGGACAATTGTTGGTTTGTGGAGTTGCTGAAAATTGTCAGAATTATTTTCAATCAAATTTTTTTTGCTATATACTTGTTGTGCTTGCGGCAGGTTGTGTGGAAACAGTAGTTTGAATTGGAACTACTGGGGTTATAATTTTTGGAGTAGATTGTGTGGTGGTAGATGTTGCTGGCACTGAGACAGTTGTGATCAAAGGCAATGGAGTTGTTGGAGAACACAAAAGATTGTTAACGACATCAATAACATCAGTGGTTAGATTTTTGACATATAAAACATTCCCAGAAAGTTGTCGCAAGGCATTTGTATCTGCTTTACCGACACCAACAATTATAATATTTCCACCAATTTGTTGAGCATATTTAACAGTATCAGAGTTAATATTATCACTTGAATAAGTGAACAAAACTGTGGCTTGTTGTCGTCCGGTTCTTCTGATGTTCAGATTGGAAGATACGTATTGAAGTGTGGCGGTGAGATCCTGAGGAGAGGCGGAGAAATAATAATCATCATAAGTAAGAAGTTCGTTGGCAAATGCTGAAGCGCTTTGATAAGCAAATGGATTTTCAACAATCATTCCACCTTCGAGCTGAATTTATTGCATTTAAAAAATATCCTATATTTTCAAAAAAAATGTTCGAAAACTACTCACCGATGAATACAAAATAGCAGCACCTTCCACTGAATCCAAAGAAATTGGCCAAGTTTTGATGAGTTGACGTGCAACATTCAACTCAGATCTATAATTCACCAAACTTCCAACATCCTTTGAAGAATCCAAAACAATTGTAATATCCGTTTTACAACTATTATCTGGAGCTTGAGTTGTAACACTGAAACAGTTAAAATTATTGACAACACAATACATTTACAAAAAACTCACGTCACAGGTGGTGTGATTGGTGTTCCATGATTGAAAATCACATCAGAAATTGAGTTTGACAATTCAGTAGAAAACTGTGAATATATCGTGGCAAAATATTGGTTTTGATTAGTGGACAACAATCCAAGTTGTTTTCCATTTGTTGTTCCGTTTATTGAAAGAGTAATAAGTTGATTTGGATCAATATTAAGAAGTTTGGCAAACTGTTGAGCACTGTCAATGTCACTCAAAATCCTGAAAAATTATGATGTTCTGATAAATTTTTCTATATATTTTACAACTTACTCTGAATCAGAAATCAGAATCGTTGTCAAATTAACTGGTCTAGTTCTTTTCAATTGGGAAGAAGCTCGAAGAGCACTGCAAAAATTCAAAATAAACTTCTCATAAATCACAAGACAGTTCAAAACTCACAAAGTAACATTTGGTGCAAATTTACCGGTGTAATTTTGACTTGTGATTACGTTCGCATATTGAGAATCATCTTGCTCATCAAAATCGAGAATAAGGTTGAATTCACTCTGAGAATGGTTGGAAAATAAAATTAGGCAAACGACAAGTTCAACTTACATCAGCATAGGTGGCAAATCCGATTTGAACATTTTGTGGATCAACAGTCCACTGTGGAATCAAGGAAGTTGCGATCCACCCTTTGACTTCATTGAAATTGAATTTATTAAGCATTGCGGTTGAATCATCAAGAAGAATCAAAATATCTCTGCTGTAATTAGTTGGAACAAATGGAATTGTTGTTGTTTTGACTGGAATGTTTGTTGCAATTGAACTAGCGGATGGTCCAGTTACAGTTGTTTGAGGTGCGCCAGTTACGGTAGTTGGCTGCGTTCCCGGATTTTTTTGAGTTGTTGTTGTAATTGTCTCAAGTTTGGATACTTTTACACATTCCAAGTTTGTGAGAGATGACGCGGTTTGATCTGAAAAATAAAGGATCATTTTTAACTCACGAGTTTAAAACATTGAATCTTCAGGGAGAGTAGAAAATAAAGGGATACATTTTAAAATTGACATTTTATTTTATTTTTTATCTACGGGTTGATCATACCAGTTGCTGAAAGAACTTCGAAATTGTTCGACTTTGAAATCTGATTTGTGAGATCTTGAATCGATGGAGTGTTTGACGATGTATAAGACAATGCATACAAAACATCAGCTGCCGATTTTCCACTATCCGAAATACCCAAAATTGTAATTGGCACATTTTGTTGTTGAATGAATGACGAACTTGAACTCGATGACAATGCTTGTCTCATCTAAACAAAATGCGATTATTTATTAATTCACTGATAAAATGGAGCAGCAAACATTTTAGGCGTTTACCTGATCAGTCAGAGTTTTCACACTTCCTGTGTAATCATTGACCACTGAAGAGTAATTGACGTTTTTCGATTGAGCTGTCAAGAATAATGAATAACCGGTAGCTGGAGTGCTCACAGGAGCTGGTTGATTTTTATAAGAAATTCCTAGGCCCAACATAACACTTCCAGCAATTAGCATTGCTAGAGAGATTAAGAAGAAGATGATTGTAAACCATTTCACTTTTTTGTCAGTTCCCTCGAGAAGATACCTGAAAATAGAATATAATGTGGTTGAGAGAGGGGGAGCTGGAACGTTGCATCATTTTGTTTTGCTGATCATTATTTTCAGGATGAGTAATATACTTTTAATAGAATAAAGCTTCAAAGAAACAAACTAGACAATTTTCGCTGTTTTTAAATTTTTAGTTGGGTTTTCCCAATTCTCAGCATGTAGATTCAGAAGTTTACTAATTATTTTTTGTGACCTCACCCTGAATCAAAACTCACCATTTGACATCGCCGTTTGGCGTATCCATCGCATCAATATTATAAGTTCGAGCGACGCCCATAAATCAACACAAATGAAATGAAAAATGCAAGAAAAGAGTTCCACGTTGAACAGTAAAGGATTAATTTAATACTATTATCAACATATTGGATTGACTGACAATTCTCCTCTCTCTCGCTCTTATCAGCTTCTATTTTTTGCTCCGAAAATTGCTAACTTGTGTATGTGCGTGTGTCAATTTAAAACGGAAATTATAGAAACAAAACCCTTTATTTAGAAGAAGAAAAAGAAGATGAAATATATATGGCAAGTGTGTAAAAATAAAAATAGAAATAGAAGTTTGAATAAACCCATCATTGTTGTTTCTTTGCTTGAGCCCATGGTTCCTTGGTTCCTCTCAAGTACAAAGAATAGTTCAAAAGTGTTGGCCAAGCGTATTTCAAGAAAACTGCAAGTCTTGCATCAAGAGCTGCCAAAACATAGTCAGATTTTTCTTGTTCGGATTGCTTCAGCAATCAAATATGCACATTGTTCCGGTGAATAGCCCTTAAATCAGAGAAAAAATATTATATGAACAATTCGTCAAATGTTATCAAATGACCTTTCATGATTTGATTCAAGAAACCAAAAAAGGTGTAATAAAATCATTGTTACGCTATCTTTGGTATTTTCAACTTATTTCATTGTTTTATTGGAAAAATTATGGTTTGGCTATTATTTTTCTCACTGATTATTGGAGTACAAGGTAGGAAACATGGCATTTTACTCTAATTACATTTATTTTTAAGATGTAATATCAAACACTCGTTATTTAAAAATAAACCCTAAAGGAATAAGGTTCATTTTTCAGCACAAAGTATTTTCAGCTCAATTTTTCTTCCAACCATTTGGCGGATTTTTCAACCAACAACCTCAGCAGCCTCAACAACAACCCAACTTTTTCCAAAATAATATTTTCCAATTTCCAACTCAACCCCCACCTCAACCCGTGACCACAACACTTGCACCGATTCCAAATCCCGATTTAGAAGTTGGAAATTGGCAGCTTCCAAATCCTCGTAATTGGCCTGTTGGGCCAGATTGGAATGATCCGAGAAATACACCACAAGAACAATTGGTGGGTTTTTTTCAAATTATTGAAAGTTAATGAACAAATATGTGGTTTTTAGGGTTGGGGTGGAAAGGATAGAACAACTACGGTTAAGCCAATTGCTCGAGCACCAACATCAAAAAGAGTTCAAAAGGCTGTTAAGAAATTGCATTGATTTTATTCTGTATATGAAACTTGGAAGTTTTGTATGTTTCATTCAATTGGATAACTAATGTGATTCAAAATTTGAGGTATCATTTCTGAAATGATCTATCTAGTATCAAACAAATTAAAAATATTTTCTAGAAAGTATACAATTTCAGCAACTTCAGAAATTTAAAAGAATTGCAAAGGCTTTAAACTATTTTTCTTGAAATTTTAATACTAATAATATTCCAGGATATATTTATGAGATGGGTTTTTCTAAAAGTTTCCTACTCTTTTTATTGGAAAACATTTCTATTTCGAAGTGTGAAAAAATAAAAATCAATGTTCTCACCTTCTTTTGATTTTCATCTTCCACACCAACTGGCTTTCCTTCTGCATCCAGAGCTCTCGATCCAAAACCAGTGTTGATATATCCTGCAGAAACACAAAGCACATGGCGAACTTTTTCTTCAGCTCTCAATGAATCGCAAAACGCCTGAAAAAATCAAGAAGTTGTACTTCTCTGAAAAACAATGAAACCTACTTGAATAGCATGTTTGCTTGCTGAATAAGAACAACGATATGGCAATGCAACTTTTCCTTGAACACTGCTTGTTGCGACGATGCAACCATTTGGATCGATTTTGGGGAGGAGAAGACGGGTGACTTCAACGTGGCCGAAGAAGTTGGTATCCATGACTTGTCTAAAATCAAGGTTATTATAAATTCATAAGGTGTATTTGAAAAAAAAATTGGGTTGTAGAGAAGGCTCCGATCTCTAAATAGATCAACATGAAAATTATTATTATGTGCTCTTAAAAATCCCTCTTTTTTCAAAAATCAATCAATTCTCTATATATATTTTTTCACATTAAAACCATAAAATTCTAATTATTATGCAATAATATGAATCACATATAATACATAAATTTGATTTGATATTATATTTTCTATCGATTTTTTGCAATCACACAAATACAAACCATACCTATGAACATTGATTGGAGTTGATTCAATTGATCCTCGCATCGATAATCCAGCATTGTTCACAAGAATATCGATTTTTGGAATAGAGTTCCATGGACCATTTTCAACCTCGTTAATATCAAAATAACTGAAAAAACATGAAACATTTTAAAAGAATTCACTAATGAAACTCACTAATAAATTGGCTCATTTTGATTGAGTGGAAAAGCAGTCTTGAGTTCCTCGCAAATTTCCTTCAATTTATTTACACTTCTAGCCAATAAAATGACCTTTGCTCCCCGTTTTTGCAACTCGAAAGCCAATGCTTTTCCAATACCCGAACTAGCACCAGTAATGACAACCACCTTGTTTTTGAAATCAACATTTGGCAAATTGTGAGCACCAGGAATGAGACGGTTCAAAGCTCTGAAAATTCAACTTGTTTTATTTTTTTTCAAAAAAAAACAAACTCACTTGTATGCAACATAGACGGATAATGGAACCACAAAAAGTGGCAAATACTCCCGAAACAATTCTTGCATTTTTTGTGACAATGCCATTGTTTTGTGCTGAAGAAATCAAATAATCTGCTCAAAAAACGGGCATACACCTAGAGGAAAAGCGTGATAAGAATTAGAAAAAAAAGAGAAAAAAGTTTTTGTATTTTGTTCGAAAAAACGAAAGGATAAAAAATGAGAGAAGAAAACAACAACGAAGGAAAAGGGGAAAATGTGTAAACACGGTGACGCGGAAATGCACAAATTATTTTTGAATGAAATTAATTCTTGGTTTGAGAGAGAGAGAGAGAAACAGGTGTTTTTTCTTCCAAAAAAAGAAACGGAAAAAAGCGAAGTGTTTGAAAAGAAAAATATACCGAGGTTTGATCGAAACATATGAAAAAAGAGCAAATATTTGACATGTTAGCCAGATTTTTTGGTCACAATTTTCAGATATTGAATCAAGGTTTTTTTGAAACCAAAATTGTAACATGAAAGTTGCCTATGAATATATATATTTCGAATTTGTGCTTCAAGTATGGACAATAAAAATATCCACTGATTTTAAATTGTCATCAACTACTCATTTTTCAATATATGATAAATTTATGAAACAATGAAAATGTCAAATAATTAAAAAAAATAAGTTTTCGTAATGAGGGAAGAAATTAAACTAAAATGCAAGATAACACAATTATAAAAGTTGAAATATAATTATAAACTGTATACAGGAAAAGTGAGAGTATTTACCATCATTCTGCTGGCATATCGGTGTCTCCAAAAATTATCATTTGCATTTTGCTATCCATAATACCTTCGATACGACGGATTGGTCTATTTAAAAACAACCCCGAACCATCCTCCATGTTTCACTGTCTTTTTGTATTTTTAGACAATTCTGGGGTCGAAGTATTCTATACCATATTTCTGAACGAGGTACACAGTTGTATACACAGTTGGCGCTTGATACTAAAACTCACATTGTCTTTTCACATATCGTATACCATCACTACCAAACAACATAAATTTGCTTTCATCGCACCAAATGACTTTGTTTGACTGATCCGGAGCCCAATGGATATGCCCTTTTGCAAATTTCGAATTCAGTGCATCATATCCGTCATAATTGTGGGGCGTGATTGTGCAAATAATCGATTATTGGTTAATACCAAATTGTTGCACCAAAAAATTTGATATTCCTTCGCTCATGAGAAGTAAAGTATCGAGTTCGAAAATTTTCCGTCTTATCTGAAAATAAAATATACGCAGTGAGAAACCATGAGAAAAAATAAACAAATGAAAGTTTTGATAATTCAAAAATCGTATACTTCTAAAATCAATAAATTTGATTAACTTACTTACATTGTGCGGCGTTGCATTGATATAACATCTATAACATCACAGCAAGCACAACTTGAGAAATTGTCGAATCAGTTGCTACTATTCCTATTCGTTTTTTTTGTGAAAATCAGTGAACAATTTTCTGTAAATATATCTACCTTTTTAATAGGCGGGATGGAAAAAACAACCGGAAACAGTTCACGTTCAAATTTAACAAGAAACTAATTTAAAAGAGAAAAACGAGAAAAACAACGTACCTCATTGTCAATAAGAAAAAAGATAAACTAAACACGCCTTATTAAAAAAAATGGCGGGAAAGGGGTTGACTGGGAAAAAGAGAAGAACGGTGTTCAAAAAAAAGCAAGGTAGAAAAAGGGAGAAAGAGGTGTGCACTTGCAAAAAAAAACAGTGTTCGTAAAGACGGGGGAGGGATCTGCAGTGTATGTATGTAGAGAAAAATGAATGAGATGTGGACGATATATTTTTTCAGAATTTTTTTGCATAAATGCGGAAGGTACATAGAAAATTCATGTTTGAAGTGACAATTGTCCGAAAAAAACATTTCTCTATATATGGTAAAGTTTGATTCAAAGGGATTAATGAAACTGTAAAAATAAACGTGTTGAGTAAAAACTTTTCTTACTTCTCCCTTGTCCTTTATTTTTTTAAAGACTATTTTTGTGAATGCAAGACTATCGTCCCTCATTTATTCTACAAATTCTCGATTTCGTATTTTTATCAGATTTTATTGAAAACAATTGGACAGCTGCAAAATTGTGGTACGTAAGATTGTGTATATAAAATAAAATATAAATATTTTTAGTATTTTATATTATTTATACATATTCACTACACATTCGCAACAACATCTGTTTGAATACTACAGTATCCATTTTGTTTTCCTTCTTTCATAAAATATGGCTGGTTGTATCTCAAAGCAGTTGTAAAAACTCTTTTGTTCTGTTGATTTATCGTGAACTCTCACAAAAAAATTGCTAGACTAAATTAATCAAAAAAGAGTGTCGGAACTCTGATGCAAGAAAAAACTCAGATCCGACGGTTAAGAGCTAGCAGCTGCTAAGTTCTGGCTGTCACTGACCATATGTTCCAATTTTTGTTCCCACTTGTTCGCTCAAAATTTTTCAGACTTTTTTTCATTGAAACAAATTTTTTTGAATGTTTATTCCTGACTCATATCGCCTCCCAATTGTTTATTTAAAATTTATAAAATTTGTTTCTTTCAATTCTGATATTATTCAATTATTTTCATTTCATGTGTCATTTAAAATGAGAAGGATGAGGAAAATTTTGCCAATAATTTTGCTCTACTCTTATTTTTATTTTAATTTTATTCCATATTTTCGACATTTCTTTATTTTTTAGGGGCAAATAAGATGGATTATCTGATAAAACTTGTAAATTATCAGAAGGATTTTGAAATGTTTTTTCAAAAATATTTTAGTACAGATTTTCAGTATTTCGAAGTGAAAAAATCTATTAATAATTTTTATATCTCTATTCTTCCTGTTTCCATTTTTTCAATTTTGTGATTCACATAAAATTACGGAGGAACCATTTGAAAGAAATCTGTGGACAGATTGATTTTCACATAAATTTTTTTTTTCAAATTATGAATCATCCAAATGTTATAAAATGTTTGATTTGAGCACAGTATACATTTCAGTATAAAATTATATAGGATTTTGTGTTTTCCAAAAATTATTCTTATTTTTTCAAGTTTATAATTGTGAGAAAAAGTAGTCGTATATTGTTATTGATGTTTTTTTGTCAGTTCTGCTCCACGCATATTGTTTTAAATGTCAGCTTTTTTGATTCTAATGTCACGGTTTCAATGCCTGCACCCTTTTAATTAATTTTTTGGAGCACATCAAAATAAGTGGGAAAGCTCGAATTTTTAAATTATCAGTTCACCCTATTTTCGTATAAAACCAGATTTCTAGAATGACTAATTTGAAAAATAAGATTTCTCGCATTTTCAGAAAATCTTTTAAAAAATCCGTGGGCGAATTTTCAATAAAATTATTTTTCACATTATAAATTATCAAATTTCCCCCCCAAACAGAAATTGGTTTCCTTTCTTTTCTTCCCTCCAAAATCCATAAATTTTGAGGACCACACAAAACAAAAAAGAACAGAAAAAAATGGGCGGACTCTATGGAGAGGACCAATGTGAACGGAGTAAAACCAACCAAAAAACCAATGGGCAAGAAGAAGAAAAAGAAGAGAAAATATATGTAGAATGAAAAAAAACGAGCACTAGTTGAGACTCTTTTCTTTCCGTTTTTCGTTTTCTTTAAAAAATATTTTTTTCTTCTTTTCATTCTTATTCACATTTTATTCAACTTTTTTCATACTCCTATTCAGCAATGGGTCCGTTCGCGAAAATTTCATCATTTTCTTCATCTCCTCGTTTTCTTTCGAATATGCGTTCAAACTGCCCATTTGTTCTGCGTCTCTTTTTATCCAATAATGCATATTTCGCACAAATTTTGCTTTGCTTTCAGTTCGTTTGAACCCCTCAAGCACCACACCACGCAGCTCTTCTATTTCTTCACTTTTCCTCTTTTCTCTCAGCTTTCCCCTTCACTCCCTCTTGTTTTTCCATGACTTTACTTGGCTATAATTGTTTTCTTTTTCCTTGTTTATACTTATTTGTTTTGAACTCTTTTCTTGCTTTTTCTTCAAAAAAAACTCTCCATAACTCATTTTAAAAAATATATATATTTGAAAAAAATAATAAAAATTCGCACACCAATTTAGCAGAAAATGTTCAATTTCTTTGTTTGTGCAAAAATAACTAATTCAGTTATGACCAATAACAACAATAACATGTCTGATTTTGAATGAAAACAAATATTAATAATTCAGAATTTGCTAACCCCCCTTCTTTTATTCAATCTCCATTTCTTTATTCTTCTTGTTTCGTTTTGACCGAAAAAAGTTCGATGATCAGCTTTTATTAGATTTTGTCGCTAAATGCACCTGAATGAATGATTTTTGAGATTTTTCAGAGATACTGTAGCTTTTTGTTTCTGAGAATCAAATGCGTCACAACTTTTTTTTGATAATTTTGTCCGCTTGATTTATCAGATAAACTTTGGTGTTTGAATGATGAATCATTCAATTTTTTTTTGGATTTTCATGGGACCTCCCACAAAAAAATAATTGTATTGTTTTTATGATGAATCATTCGACCGCCTCCAAAGATTTTCTGGCAAAACAGAACGATACAATTATTTGCTCATTTTTTAGATTTGGAATTTGTAGTTCCAAAAAAATAACGTGCGAAAATAGAACTCTCGCGTTTTTAAAGACTAGTTCTTGTAGGTTTCTTTAATTTTGTTTTGCACGGTGCCATATCAATTTTTTCCGTTTTCCCCAATAGTCATATTGAACTCGTTTTCTGAACCACGTTAAAGAAAGTTTCAAAAAAAAAAAAGACCACTATTGTTTTTTCGATGTTTCAAAAAATTACCTAGACTATCAACAAACCCCCCACAAAGAATGTTTTCCCCAATATAACTTTTTCCATTAATTTTTTGGAAACTCAAAACTCATAATTTCAAATTCTAACCGACCACTTTTTCTCTTTTCATTATTTTGTCACACATTTGTTAAGGATATGAAAAACGGAACGACCGTATTCATTTCAAATGAAAAACAACAAACAAACCCATGAAATGATGATGAAGTCCAAAACAACTCAGCTGATTTTTTTCCAAAATCAAAGTGTTAGATGTCAATATTTGCTCAATTGATTCCTTATTCCTATATCATCCTTGCTTTTTTTATATTCTTTCTCATGATACATATTTTATAAACCTTATATTATTCACAATTATCATCAAATTCTTAATTATATATTCACAAATTCTAAATTCTATTTTTATATAGAAATATACAATATGAGATCAGTTGCCATGTGAACGATGAATTGAGCAAGCACGCAAGAAAACTCAAGTAAAAATGAGAAAAAAACATGAAAAGATCTAATTTTTTGAGTGACTTCAGACTTCAAAAACATTTTTGTCGCGCTCTGTCTCGTTTTCTCTCGTTTTTCTCTCATTTATTTTGCTATTTCTTGCATCTTCAATAGCTCCACCTCCTCAGAATATTCGCTTGCTCGCGCGCGCGAGACAAGGCTCTCTTGCGCGCGCCCTGCTCTTTTCTTTTCCCTCATTAGCCTGATTTTGTCATTTATATTTTTGTGTAACCTTGTTTTTTTTGCAGATTTGCTTGAGCTGTGGTATGCTGTAAAGGTTCTTGGGGCAATATATATAACTACTTGTAGGTATGACGGAGGTATGTCAATTTTTTGGAGAGGGAAACAATATGGGAAAAAGGAAATGAGCTTTCTGTACACATGTTTATGATATGTACAAATATATGTTTTTATTGGTAAAGATGAGGGAGGAAGAAATACATTCAATTCCCAGGAAAATTTGAGAAGAGTTTTGATACAATTGAGAATTTATTGAATTTTTTGAAAAAATACCATTTGGGGCCAATTTCCAAAAAATCATTGGAAATTGGTGTTATAAGGAAACCTCAATTGTGATTCGGAAAGTATTCCATTTCATACATACATTTTTTCAAAAACTCATAAATTTTATTCAATTCCATTGTCTGCTGAAAAAACTTCTTTAGCTAAAAAAACAGCTAAATTTTCCAGAGAACAACCCTTCTAAAACATCAACACATTTTTTCAATTAATCTCAAAAATTTCCCATCTCACCCAAAAAAAAACCCATCTGCAAAAACTTTCAGTAAACATCAAATGCGTCATTCCTTCTAGTCATTAATTATAGAGTACATTCGAAAGATCAAAAATCAGCTTTCTTCTCATCTTATTTTTTTAGGAACGGGTAGAGCACAACGATGAAGCACAACATCTAGAAACCAACGAAGAACATCAAAAATTAGATGCACCATTGGAGAATGACGAAAATCCTGATATTTATGAAAGTGGGTGTGATTTTTTGTTTGAAAAAAAATTGGGGTTTTTTTTTCAGAATCAGAGGAGAAATTGAGTTGTCTTCATGGATTTTTGAGTCTTCGTCGGCTTTTTTATCTTGTCGGTTACACAGTTGGAACCTATCCATTCGCTTATCTACTAGTTGCTGTAAGTTACAATTTAATATAATATTTTTGATCTTCTATACATCGTTAAAAATTTAGCTATTGATCTCAATCAATTCTCTGGGAATGTACAAAATGGTTTTGAAAGATCGAATTCGAGACGGGTATACGCCAACAAATGCGCCATCAAGATACGAGACTGACGTTTTACGAGAATATTATAATATTTCCGGTGATCCAGCAATGACAATTATGATTTTGATGCCAAAAAATGGAACTAGTATGCATAATAAACAAAATCTTGACGAAGCTGAACAATTGTCAAAGTTTGTTTCTTAGTTCTGTGTTAAAAATAATTCTTATTTATTTTTTTTTAGATTCTTCTTTTCCAATTTTACGGTTATGCGAGACGGAAGATCAATGAAATTTCAAGATCTTTGTGAACCATATTGTTCAATCAACAAAGTTTTCGAGTTGTATAAGGTGATTCATCAAAACCGTGCCAACAAAGAAGCTATGAAAATTAGAGTTTATGAGTGCTAGTCACTCAAAATGAGTATACTGTCTAGAAAGTTTAGTCAAACTTTCCAAACCTAACTAGAATTTTTTGAAGATGATGAATTCCGAAACTGAAATTTTCTATTTTTGTCGCTACTCCAGACATTTTATTTCATAAATATTTTATAGGAAGCATATGATGAACAATACGAAAAATTCATACAAGCACAGCCATTTTCTTCGAGCACAAATCTGTCATATCCATTAGCCAAAATGAACGGATTTGATATCCATTTGGAAAGAAGCTTTTTCGGTGTGCAGATGAATGAGAATAATACTCAAATGAAAGCGGATAAAAATGTGCCGGCCCATCAAGTTATTACAAATATGAAGCATGTTGAGGTAATTACTGGGATTTGTTTGTTTTTCAACGTATATATATTTGACTTAAACAAACGAACTATTTGGTTTTGACACTACAAATACTACAGTGTAGTTTGAGCAAAAGCAAGAACGATCAACGAAAAAAATGTGGTTTGAGAAAAATTGTGAGATGCGGGTGAATGAAAATATTAAAATTAAAAATATATGAAATATTAATGAAATACATTTTTCACTGTTTTTAGGAGTCCAATTTTTAAATTGTTTTTATCTTGCAGGTTATCGTTTTCATCTTCCGCGGTGATCGTCATTCTGAAGAACGTGAGAAAGATTTGAGTAAATGGGAACTCGCTGCATATGAATGGAGCTTAAATGAGCATCAAAGCGATTATGTAGAAGTTCAAATTGTTGGAACTGATGTGCTAGACAATGAGATGATGAAAGATGGCAGAAGACTTACTCCATTTTTTGCCGCTGGTTTTGGATTCGAAATTACTTTTGTGACTGTTTGCGTACTTCTCACTGCAGTTTATCATCAATGTTTAGATCGTGGAAAAATGTAACTTTTTTTTGAAGGAACAGCTAATTTTTATCTATTTTTGTTTTAGCTTGATAAGTCTTGGCGCTGTTCTCTGTCCAATTCTTGCAATTACTTCTACTTATGGAATTGTTTCATGGCTTGGAATGCGGACCAATTCATTTATGTTGGTTATGCCTTTTTTGGTTATGGGAATCGGTATGTTTTCGAGTTCATAAAAAAATTAAGTTTTTTTCAAAAAATGAAAATTATAGGTGTTGATTCATGCTTCTTGATGATCCATAGTTGGCAATCAGTAAGATCTCATGGTTGTTCAACTGGAGATCGACTTGGAATGGTATATGAATTGGTGGGACCATCAATCACAATCACTTCACTCACTGATTTCCTTTCATTTGCCATTGGCGCACTTGCACCAACTCCGGAAACTCGATTATTCTGTATTGCATCATTTATTGCATTGGCTTTGACTTATATACTTCAACTTGTTCTTTTTGGTCCAATCCTTGCAATTGCAACCAGATATGAACATAAAAAGTCGTCGGCAAACACAAGTAAATGGAGAAATGGCTTGAAGCATTTCTGGAAACGAACAATTAGAACTTATTGCAATATTCTTGCAAACAAATTCTTCTTCTTGATTGTTGTTGTTGGAACATTGGTTTATTGGTATTTTGCAATTTATGGATTGGCTACAATGAAAACTCGATTGGATGCGGTGAAAATTCTACCAAAGGATTCGCCACTTCAAAGACCAAATCTTGTCTTAACAAATCTTGTTTGGGCCAATTATCATCCGGTCACAATCATCGTCAATTCTCCTGTTGATTTAACAAACAGAGATCAAATGAAACGTGTTTGGGATATGGTACATGATTTTGAAACTCTTCACAACTGCAAAGGAAGTGAATCAACACTGCTTTGGCTGAGAGATTATATCAAATTCTATTACTATGGAGAACCTTTCGATCTTTTCGCCTATATTGGTTGGACCGAACCTGAAAAAAATCCCGATATCGATCCATATTTGGCGAATATCACCACTTCAAAGATTCCAGAATTTTTAGTATCACCGTTCTATCAACATTGGTCAAGTTTCATTCATTTCCACTATGAAAATAAGTTTGTGCATTTTTCTGATATGAAAGATAATAACAAAATTAAATTTCAGCGAGACATTGAAAATTGATCGATTTATGATGAATGTGGCGTATGATAATACGAGTTCTTGGGATACTCGGATTCAATTGATGACTGAATGGAGAGAAATTGCAAAAAAGTAGGTTGCAATATTTCGATTCCAAATTTTTATCAAGTTCTAAATATATTTTTTTCAGTTTCTCTGATTTGAATGTCACAGTTTGGGAGCCAAATGGAATGTTTGTGGATCAAATGTTGAGTTTGGGTAAAACCGCCACTCAAACTGGATTATGGACACTTGCGTGTATGGCAGTTGTTTGTGCAATCTTCATACCCAATCCTTGTAGTGTTATCACAGCTACAGTTTCGATTGCATCAATTACAACAGGTATCAAAATCATATACGATACTTTCTAATTGAATATTTCAGGTGTTATGGGTTTCTTGTCATTATGGTCATTTGATTTGGATCCGGTTGTAATGGCAGCAGTTTTGATGTCAATTGGATTATCTGTAGATTTTATTGCTCATGTCGCTTATCACTTCCAATTGGCACATAAAAAGGAAATGAGAAATGGAAAGGTCAAGAAAATTCCACTCAAAGGTGCAACTGAAAGATTAGAACATACTTTGGGAGCTGTTGCGTGGCCAATGTTGCAAGCTGGAGTTTCGACAATTTGTTGCATTTTGCCCCTGCTTTTTAGAGCGGTTAGTTTAGACATTAGTCATTTGGAAGTGAATCATAAAGAAAAACGCCGATGTGAATCAGCGGTTTCCGATTAATGTATAAGAAAAATATAACGAATGTGTGAAGAATGTTATTATACAAATCTTAATTCACAAGTTAAAAAAACAGTAGATTGAGGAGAATTATTTTATTTTATGCATTTTTTCGAGATATGTCCTGTTTTAAACCTTTCAACTATTTTTTGAAACCATTTCAAAAGAACTAATTAGTTTTAAAATCCCACATTAATTAAGTTCTAACGCAAATTCAATATGAAACACATAATATTAACCAACACTCATTGAACAGATCATTTATAAAAAATCGTGATTTTCGAAAAAAAAATGTCATTAATTTTGCAGAGTTATTCTCCATCTGTGTTTGTCGCTGCGATTTTCCTCGTCGTGTCACTCGGAATGCTCCATGGACTTTTGGTAAATCAAATTTCCGCATTTTTCTCATTAACCTTTTTTTCTAATTTCCAGATTCTTCCCACTTTTTTGGCAGCTCTTCCAGAAAGCGTCACAACAGCCAATTGTTATCGTATTTTCCTTTCATCATCATCTGAAAGAAGTTGTAGATATGTGGCCAGAAGTGATAGTGTAACAAGTATCGAAATGCAAAAATGTGAAACAAACAACTCATTGCTTCACTCACAATCCTAGTTGTGTTGCTCTTTTTCCTTATTTGTATATACAAATTTATACATTATATTCATTTTGTATATATACTTTCTTTTTCTTTCTATTTTTTCTTTTTTTGATTTTTTGCTTGTTGCCGCTTTTTCGTGCGTCCCGGCCCGCCACATGTGGTTCTCTCTATGTATTTTATTTTTCTTTCTATTTTTTCTAGTAGTTCACCACTTTTAACAACAATAGAAAGAAAAATTGCTCTTCAATAATAAATAATAATTTGTCCCCCTTTTCTCAAAAAAAGTAACAATTCTTCTTCTGTTTTCTTCTTTCTGTGATCTTGAAATTTTTCATTCCGGTATTTTTTTCTTGCATGTTTTTTTTATTTTTTCTTGATATATATTTTTCGTTTACATAAATAAATAAATAAAGTTTTGATGAGTGCGAGAAAATTAATTTAACCAATTTAGAAAATCCATACACTTTCTTTCACAAATAAAATATGTATGTATGAAAATGAGAAAAATATTGAGCAGGTGCTTTTCATAGCTATGAATATTGTACCAACTCATTTTTCTTCCTATTTAAAAAGAACTCTCTCTTCCGGGCTGGCAAAAAGGTTTCTTTTGCGGGAAATTTAATTTAAATTCAATTTAAATGAAAAATCTTTATCTGGTTTTTCATCTCTTTTTATTTTTAGATGAAGAAAAACATTTATTTTCAGATTGAGAAGAACCACTTGTTCTAAAATCTGATGATGCATTTGTTTCTCTCTCTTATTTCTCAAACTCAATTTTTTATTCCAATGTTTTTTCCGTTCCATTTGCTCAAAAAACCAAACTGATCCGATCCCAAAAAATATATTGTATTCAATCCTACTAACTACAAATATACAGTTTTTCTCGCATTTTCTTTTATTTGTGTACTTTTTGGACAAGTGTTGGACTTAAGAATATTATATTGACACTTGTCTTACTTGTTTTAGTAAACTAAACCTTTTTTTTCTCTATAGGTTTTTCACATTACTAATTTTTACAGAACAAAAATTCGTTTATCTGAAAATGCTTGTTGTTTTCAAGTGTTTTCGAGAGAAAAAACTTTTTTTGTATTTTCCCATAAACCCGCGTTTTTTGTTAATAACAACAAATTTCTGGTATATTTGAGGTTGACAAACATGGAATCTTATGACGTAAGATGTTTTTTTTCTAGCCATATACATATGATATCTCGGTATATGTAGGAGTATGTTATAACGGTTTTTGACAGCACTTTTTCTTCTCACAAGTCTTGAGAAAAATGAGTAATCGGTTTTTGAATAGGGTGCAGGTGTTATGTCTTTTTCATTCTAGGTTTTCCGTTCCTTTTCTTTAGTTTTTTGTTGAATTTGTAGGTTTTTTATTGGGAATGAAAGAAATTGGCACTTTTCAAGATTTCACCTTGAGAAAAATTATTTTTTTGGATACGTTTCACAATTTTCTGCTATTGAAAAAAAATTTGCTTCAAAATCATGAAACTAAAACGATTGGTTTCAGGCTTCTAAGGTACTGGCTTGCTAAGAGAAACAGGCCCCTTGTTTTATAAGTCAGACGGTCTGACCCAGACCAAGCCCTTCCTTGTCACTCTGCTCACAATTTTTGCGTTTTGCAACTGACCCAAGTCTGCGTCATCTACGAAGCCTGAAAATTCAAAAACCAAAACTTATTTGAATTTTTCTCACATACATTAAACACCATTTTTTTTTCTTTTTTTTCTAAATGAAACCTACAGTATTCTTTCCTATAATACAATTTTTCGAAAACTTTTATCCGCTCGATATTTTTTCATCTGGAATTTATCTGGAAATGTATATTTTTTTACTAGAAAAACTGAGCTGATGTAGTAGAAATTTAGAAAAACAAATAAAAATTTTCACACCGATTATCTAACTATTTTCGCTATCCACCTCCTGCTCAAACAATAAAAATTCTTGCTTATATCACGCCCTAAACATATGCGAAATGGAATGCATTAATTTTCCCATAAATCAATACATTTGTAGTTTTATGTTATTTTTTTTTTGTGGTGCTCTCTTTTTTTTCTTATTTTTCTCGTTCGATTAAATAGAATAGCGAAACATATATATGAGTCATTTATATATTTTTTGAAATTACATATTTTTCATTTCTGAAAATTGTACTAATTCAGAAATGCACTTTCTAGTGGAACCAAATGGGTTCAACTCTTGAGAATGGTGCATGTTTTATGGTGTGAACTTGAATTGAAGAGGTGTGAACTATGTAGGACAAAAGAGGTCTTCCAAGTATTTTTTATATGAATTCTTTTTGTTTCCATATTTAAAATTGTGGAAAATAGATTTCAATTTATTTTTTGGTGAAAAATTAGTTATTATCGGGTTCCAAGACTTTGAAATGTTTTAATAAATCTAAACTTAAAAATTCGTCATTGCATTTTATAGTTTTAGAGAATACGTCAATAGAATAATTTTGCATCATGAACAATAATTGAAAGTTTCATACAGAACTGTAAACTATCGATCAAATATATTTCATTATAAACGAAACAGCAATAACTCTTGGTTTCTTAATGAAAAATCAAAGTTTCTGGTTCTGAATCTAGCTCATACAGAAGTTATTCTTAATCGACACGAATCAGGCATAATGTACACCAAATTGTATTTTTTTCCGAAAAGTTTAAGGTTCTTCAAATGTATGCTCTGAACCAGGACTTATGTGAGAATAGCTCCCCAAAAATGCAGAACTCTAATCAAAAAAGACCCCCACCATATAACATTAATCAAGTCCAGATTTCCATTGAGTGCATAATTTCACGATTTTCTGGAGACCTACTCTACAATTTGCACTGTCTAAAACCTATCTCTCTATCAAACATTGTTCCAATAATAATTTTCTCATATGATAGATATGTAGCAATCTTTATCAAATAATAACAAATGATAACACACACCTGAGAACCTCCTCTTTTCTTTTGCTCTTTTTTTGCTCACCCGCCCGCCCGCCCGCCAAACATTCCACCATGTTCAAAAACCGTGAATTGTGTAGATGCATTATTCGATGTGCATATATGTACCTTGTTAGAGCTCTTCCTTATTTATATAGTTATATCATAAAAATAAATATGTTTATCATACGTTCTCCACTCTCTCAATGTCTCACTATTTTTGTTTTTATTTGCTCTGTCTTTTGACTACTCTACTTATTTTCTTTATTAGTATATGTATGTAGATGACATTTTTTTTGTTATATTCCGTTCCTCTAGACCACCCGGATTATCTGAATTTTTCAATAGGTAATAATAATCCACCACAATATATATTACTTTTCTTTTCTTATTTTATTTTATTTATCCGTTCTATTTTCCTACTTTTGGTAAATTTTAGAAAAAAAATCAAATATGACTCAATTTTCGGCTTGATAGTTTTTTTTCTTATCATGGCACTTTTATTGTTTTCAATGTGTTTTCTATTTTTCCATGTATTGATTTTAGTATTTTTTAGATTATGCTTATTCAACCAATATTTTTGTTGCTTTCAATTTTTGTTGGATTCGGAGAATGTGGAAAATCGCGACGAATCAGCGATGACGAGTATTTCGGAGTGTCTTCACCAAAACCACCACCACGTGAGTGTTTTTTTCAAACATCTTTCATTGACATCAGAAAAAATAAGCCGTTGAGAGATTATCTGATTGTGAATTTTAATTTTGAATATTGAAAAATAAAAAGAAGAAGGAATTGAACGATTTTCATAAAAAAAGCATTTTGGAGTCAAAATTTGGAAGAATAGCGATTCTAAGAAACTGAAAATGATTTTTTAAATGATTTTTTTGTTCAGTTTCTTGAATCCAATTTCCTTTGAATCCGAAATCAACAAAATAACTACAAAATTTTTTCGATTTTTTGCATAGTATTTAAAAAAAAAAGATTAAAAATGGTTTCGACTCTCAAAATGAAATTGTTACTGTAAATATTTATTCATCGGTCTTTAGAACTCATTTTTAAAATACTTCAGAGTTTAGTGAATTTTTCTTCACAGTTTCATTAGAAACAACAGTTCCTTTTTTGACAATATCTGATAATTTTTCAGAAACTCATACATATGATAATTATGCACTTTGTGTTGATCTCTGTGAGATTCCGTGCACCCAAACAATTGTTCATTTTGGATTAGAAGAAAAAACGTGGCATCAATGCACACAATTGAAAAAACCAGAAGAGTCATTTATGGATGCTATGAAAAGTGGATCTCTACTCAACACCTTAATCATGATTCTTATTATAACAATTGTCTCGATTCTTCTGATTATGTGCGTTTATTATTGCTGCTGTACTAGACCAAAAATTGAGAAGAAATATGGGGAAGTTGGACATGAAGAGTTTATGTATGTTTTTTTTTTCAAAATTCATAATATGTAACTGAATGAAAACAATTATTTTCATTCCAGTGAGAAATTGGATCCATATCACCCACAAAATCATCACAATCATCATCATACTCGAGACGATCGACAAACAATTAACAAGAAGAGTAACGTTATTGAATGCTAAACCTTTCCAGAATCTCATTTTTTCCGAATTTTAATTAAAGACTTCTTTCTCTGTCATACGGTTCTTATATTTCCTATTCCTATTTATGTTCTACTGCAGATTATCACCGAATTTCGAAAAGAGTTATTCCCCCATCACTGGTTTCTAATAAACTATTTTGCAACAATTTTCAATTGTCGGCTTTGAGTATTGAAGTTATTTAAAAAAAATTTCATTTAAAAATCAATCGAAAAAACTCAATTTTTTCACATAACCACTTCCTAAAAGTTTCAAAAATTGTTCATCAATCAAAAATATGTAAAATTGAAAAGTTCAATTTAATATTTGACATTTTTCAAATTCTATATATGAGAATGAAATCAAATATCTAATAACATCTCTGCGAAAAATAAATTCCACCAACAGTTTGCAGGAAAAAAAACAATTTTTCAAAATAAGATTAATCGACTATTCTTGAATAAATTGTTATCAGTTGGTGCATATTATTGATTTATTTTGTGATTTTTTCTAGAGATTTTTGAAAAATGCGGGTTCGAATTCTTGGTGAGTTTTGATTTATCAGTTCGGAAGTGTAAAAACTTTGAATTATTCTGTTCTAATGATATTTCTAAATTTTCATGACCTTGATTTCTTTCCACCCACTAATATCATCAAGATTTTGCAAGAAGTTGACTCATTTTTTCGAATTACAATTCCGTAACCATCATCGTTCCGAAAAATATCAAATCATTATTCCCATAATTATTTTTTTCAAGTTCTCTCCAATTTTAGATTTTTTTCAAATATAAAATCCCATTTTGTATAGTATAGTTCACACACATTATCCCAAAAAAATCTTTGTTAGAATAAGGAAAGAAAAACAGCTTCATCTTCGAGTCAACTCATAAAAATTTGTGGTTATTTCAATACATCCATTAGCTCTTGGTGGGCTCTTTTTCCTATTTTTTTACTCCATTTATTCATCCTTTCAAAATGGGCACATCTAAATTTGGCGTTTACCACGCACAATATGGTTGGTTTTTTTGTTTTATCAGTATTCTGAATAGCAATTATTGATTTCTCGAGAAGCATCTATTCAAAATTCATCAAAATTTTTCTAAAATTAATTAGAGTCTGAGAAAGTTCATATTTCAAAACTGTTGGGCCCAATTTTTAACCTATTTTCAGGCATGGATATGTCATTGTGTATGATTTTAACAATCTCTGCTGTAATTTGCACACTTCTTGGCTGTGCTCTTCTTCTTTGCTGCATCCGCGTCTCAACCGAACGCGAAGATCGTCGTCGTCAAAATCTTGCGTGCTCTGTTGAAAATGAGAGCAATGCGAGCTCAACAACTCCGATGTTACGTGCAAGAACTGGGAACCGCGATGATGGCGACGAAGTCTAAATTGTTGTACTTTTCTTCTTTTTCTGCCAAAATCTGCTTGAATGTTGCTTTAATAAAAGAGTTAAATGAAAAAAAGTGTGTAAATATTGAGTGGATAAAAATATAACGAAAATATTTGGAAAAAAATATATGGTAATCAATGTACTTGATAACTAGATATGATGTGAATCAAACATAAAATAGAACATGTTGTTTGGAGAGTTGACAGAGAACGGTGAGCACTTTGTTTTTGTGTTGCTGTCAAACAGAAATAGATAGCGCGACTGACTGATTTTTTTTCATCATCGGAAATCTGTCTGGTTTTTGATCGTGAATATACTCATTTTCTCCTCTCTTCAAATGAAAACAAAATTGATGGTAAAATTTTGGTGACGTTTTTCTCAGACCTTCAGCTTGAGTTACAGTAGTTTTAATTGCGGACTTTCGGAATCTATCAAAAAAGTAAGATTTTTCCCAGGCGAAAAAGCAATTTTAGTTCAAAGTTTTCTTGAAAATGTATCTTTCTGACTGGAGTTACAGTAATTTTAATGACAAATTTCTGAGAGAATGAATAATTGATGTAGGTTTTCAATTTCTGTTGAAAAGTATAAAAGCTTTTTCTCAGGTTAGATTTTTCACTTTGAACAAAGATTCAGTTAACAATTTGAAACTTCAAAATTAGTTACGTAAGTGTTAATGTAACTGCAGAATTTGAGATTTACTCCAAGTGGGAGAACATTTTAGCAGTAATTTTGATGATGCATTTTTCAGAATCAGAAAAAAAAATAATGAAGGTTTTTGAAGTCTGTTAAAAAGCTATTGCCCAGCTCTAAAAAATTCAGTTTAACCTTTTTTGATTTCAACTTGAGATCTAGTAACTTTTGTTGCAGTTTTCTGATAAACCAAACATTCTTAAAATTGTTTTTCAAGCCAGACATTTCATTTCTCAAGTATTTTAAGAAAACTTTTCTCAGGAAATATTATCCGAGATCCTGCATTTTCAGGACAGAAATTCCAATTAGCGAAATTATTTACATATAATCTTTTTTTTCAATGTGACCTTTTTTGTAACTCGATATTATAAGGAAGTATTGTTTTCTTTAAAAGTCAGATCTAAACAAAGTTTTGAAATTCAACTGACCGGAATGAAAAAAATTTCCTCGATTTTCATGTTTTTTTTCAAATGTCAGATTTACCTAGAGTTTTTTGAGCATTCATTTTTCGAATATTGCATATGTGAAGCGTATTTTCCAATATAATAAAAGTTAAGATGCTTTGTGAAAAAAGTTCGGAAAAGTGAAAAGATCCTTTTTTCCCAATGATATTTTGAATAAAATTGAATATGGTAATTGAAACTGAATTGAAAAAATAACAGCTAAAAGTTTGAATCTTTTTTGTTGTCGTTGCTTTGATATGATTCTTTTTGAAGTAGACCTTACTTGCTTGACCTCAAAACTCAAGTAAAATTTCAAAAATCCAAGCTACTTTTTTCAATTATCCAGATAGATAAACTCTGAAATATTTCAAACATCATCCTGAATTTACATCATTTTCTGTTTTTGACATGTTCACATTTTGTTAACATTTTTTGTCTATGAAAATTTTTGCCACTTATTTTGGTTTTTTTTTTATTTTTTCAAACTTTATTTTTTTCTGATTTAAACAAAATGAGACTAAACATAATCTATGGAACAAAACTATGAGGATTTTTATTGAGATTAGCACTTTAACAACGTCGATAATCCTTGCGAGAAACGGAATATTTTGGAAATAAATTGAATAACATGGAAAAATGATAATAATACAGCGTTGATCAGGTTTTCTTGAAAAATAAATCCAAAAAATAAGCTGTCATAACATTTTTGTTCATATTTCTGTTCTCGAGCATTTTTGATGATACAAAAAAAAACAATTATTATCAACGGTAAAATAATCATAAATCAATGTTTTTTCATACCATTTGTTATTTTTCTCTTGTTCTCTTTCGCTTTCATATGATTTATATATATCTATCTATCATTTTTGCTATTTTCCAGCGTTTTTCCTTCCTTTCACGCACTTTTCCTTATGTTTTTCTCATAATTATCTCTCTATTTTCGTATACATTTCCCGTTCGAAGTGAAGTGATTAAAAAAATCTGCATATTGACATGTTTTTGTTGTAGTTTTTTTTTCAAATATATTTTTCTCCTTCTGGAAAAATACATGTATATATAGATATTCATTTTTCTTTTTCTCGGAGCCAGGAAGAAAAAAAGAAGACCAAAAACAAAATAATTTCAAAGTTTTTTTGTGTTCAAGAAGCCAACTTTTTTATTCATTTTGTTCCTGTTCGCCATGCAACTTTTATGTATTTCATGGCGAAAATAAAATAGATCTCCTGTTTTTTGCTCATTTATTTTCTTGGATCCAGACAGACAAATAGTGCAAAAAAAACTTGATGATAAATTTCCTGCTGTTTTTTTGTTCTAGCTTTTCTCAAAGATAAGGTTTTTTCCTTCAGGAGTGTGAAAAAAAATAGTTCAAATTACATATTTTTTGTTTTGTTTATTGTTTTCTTTTCATTCTCAAATCTTTTTCTCCAGTGCTGAAAACTGAAAAATTCTTGAATTTCCTTGTCCCGAATTTGTGTATGTGTGGCTGTTGTCAAGCATAATACAGATGAATAATTAACAATCTATTCTGTCAAAAATTCCACAAAAATGCGTCAACAAAAAAATACGTAACATAAAGTATTTTTTAGTTGAGTACGTGACCAAATTAATTTTTTTGAACTCTTTTAGAGGGATTAAAATTTGATGGGAAAAATGATATCATTAATGAGCAAACATTTATTAGATAATCTGAAACACTTCAAGATTTTTTTTCTTCATGATTCAATATTATTTTTTTTCTTCTGTTGATTTTTTCGAACTCTTGAATTTATTAACTACGGTGCTTTTTTCATATTCTCTGAATTCGCAGGCAATGCAAAAAAAACTTGTAAAGTTCATCGAGAAACAGCTGAAATTATGTTTTTTTTTCTTAAATTTGAACTACCGGAGTATGTAACAAAAAAACAGAGCAATTTGTTGAGTGTAGGCTGTAGTGTTTGTGTGCAGATATATTCTGTCAAAAATCTAGATTTCTTGAACTGTTCTTTCTTTCAAATTGTTTATTTTTATTCTGTTAATAAAACATTCGAATTAGAATAACTCCGCATTGGTGGCAATGATGGATGCTCTAAATAACAAATTGAGAGGTTTAGCTTGCTTACGGTCAAAAATTTCCTCATAATTCGAAGATTTGGTGTTTGAAGTTTTCCGAAGTTTTCATAATCCTTCAATAGCGGTAAAATTTTGAAAATATGAATGTAAATTCTGATTTACAGTAACCCACCTCTCCCTTTCCTTTCAAATCCAGAAAAAAATGGATGAACTCTATTTTCATAGGCTTCAAAACAAATAGCTGTTAGTTCCACTGAACTTTTCAACAACAATAACAAACGCGTAGCGAATTAGTGAGATACAGTACACCTTCATATTTCCAAACACGTCATTTTCAGGTGCTAGTAATTGTGTGGTCGGGTTTGTTAATCTATTCTAGTCGGCGTGATATTTGATACATATCAACATATCTATGATTTATTCAATGAAGCTCAAATATCAAAGACAATTATTTTTTGTTATTTTTTCGGTTTTTTGTTTGAGCATTTTAGGTTTTGAGCAAGAAAAAAGGTCGCGCAAAGTAATTATATCTTTCAGTTCCTTTTATTTGTAACGATTATCTTGTCAAGTACAATTTATACATCAAGAAATTTGCATTATTTTCCCTATAATAAATATTTTCCTAGAACTATGTATAGGATATTTACACAAACGTGTGAAAAACACCAAAAAAAGTTCATTAAAGGGTCTTCTTTTTCTTATTTTCCAATAAAGAAGTCATACATTTATTTATTATTTTGTGCTTTTAATAAGTTCGTAATAACAAAACAATAATATTTTGTCTAATTGTAAGAGCTCCATTTCTCACGCTTGAGGTCTTTCAGTATTTGAATGTTTTTTCCTCAAAAAAAATGATTACATTGGACTATGTGTCTAACATGAATAACTCGAAAAACCAACATGTGTGGGTTTCTAGAAATCTCCAATTATTTTTAATTGACACAAAGTCTACCGTATCTGCTTGCAGACGAAGAAAATTTTAATTAATGCCCACAACATTTTCTATAAAATATGAAAGAAGAAAAAAGATGATCAAATTTTGAATATATGTATGTTTTTGCTCAAAAAAGAAATTATCCAGCATTATTCTTCTTTTTTTTCTTTTACTCAATTTCATTTGCGTGTTGTTGAGAAGCGAAAAATTTTGTACCACCCCGAAAATACTCCAGATTTTTTGTCTGAAATTTTTCGGAAGATTTTTGGTGTTAGAAGTTTTGGTAGAAAGTATACACATTTTTTTTGAATTTTCAAAGTTAATATAATTTTCTTCCGACAAAGTTACTTATTTGCATTTCTCACCTTCATTTATTTCACTTTTGCAAAAGTAGACTATAGTTTTTCCAATTTTTTTCTAATTATGTTTTGATACTACGGAAGTAATTAAAAGTTTTTAATTTTCAATTATTTTATTTTCATAATGAAGTTCATCTTTTTATAGATTCACTTCACCCAATTTTTTTTGAGTAGTCAGTCGGTCACTTTATATACATATACAAACATATATTATATAGATGGGTTCAGAATTGTATCATCTCATCTTGTTTTTTGCACATACTGCCCCCTAAAAAATTTGATTTTCTCGGCTTCAAGCTTTTTTCTTGATCGTTTTTTTCAGGAAAAAGAGGTCAATTTTTGCAAAAGAACCTCTAAAAATACCTATAAATCGCAAACTTAAAGCGAGAAGAAAAAAGATAAATAATTTAGAAGGACTGAACTTTTCAACATATTCTTACATGTGCATTTGTAAACATGTGAACTTTTTTCCAACGCATTTTATTTTTTGAATGTTTATATGTATATATTTCTGTGTGTGTATATGTGTGTTTTTTGACTGCAATGATACTTGGTATAAACACGATCGTTAGAGAATCTGACCGGAAATTTTTCTCTGGAAAAAAAGAAAAGCTTTCTTGTTGTTTTTTTTTCGACACCAACTCAAATATTTTGTTTGGATATTTAGAATTAGTACATGGTTTTTTGTTTCGTTCATTCTTGATTATATTATTCGCAATTTTCAAACTGGAATGAGAAAAATAATTGAATTTAGAACAGTTTCGACCTTTTAAAGATAGGAATTTGATTATTTGTCTAGTTGGTTGTAAGCTCATAAGGACTAAAAGCTAAATTTTTCAAGCGCTAGAGATTAAATTCGGGTTGAAGAAATTGCTGCCTTAATAAATTTTTGACTTTGCGTATTTCTTAAATTATCGAGAAACTTGTTATAAACCAAGGTTTCTTTGAAAAAGCTCCATTTCTGTAATTTTGATTCATTTTTCAATAATTTCAAAAATAATAAAAACAATTTCGAATCAAAGTGAGAAAGAGATGAAGAACACTGATTGTGAGTAACATTTTGAAGTATGTGATTTGCTACCTCAAATAGATTTACCTCAAACTTTTTGAAATATCTGACTGTTTTTTGAAAATATGCCATAAGCCAACAGATTAAAATCGGCTTTCTTCATGGAGAAAGCGAGGCCATCAGACCTAAAATGGTAATGATTATGCGTGCTCTAATTGTAAGATAATTTATCCTTTCAATTTTCTGAAACGTATTCATTTTAAATTATAATTTTCATGTTATGAGCGTGCCATCAAAACCGCATTTTTTCTTTGAGATGAAACCCGATCAAAGTATTTTTTCCCAAAGTTTCTGAATGTGAGTAACATTTTTAATTGAAAAATTTTCCCATTCCATAATTTGAAATTCAACTACACTTTCTCGAACTCCGCCCATTTTCATCGCGCACAAATATGTAAATACTAAGAGAGCTCCGAGATCTACAGTATTCCATCTCGAGCAAAGACATCTGAAAGGTCTAGACGGTTTCTTCCTTATTCCTTTCCTTTCTCCACACCCATTCTATTACCAATTCATCAGGTGTTTGTTCATGAAAAAATAATATTCTGTTCTGCGCCGCCCGCTTCTCCATTTGTTTTTCTTTATATATTTTCTTCGTGTGTCGGTTTTGGCTTCTTGAAATTTGTCTAGGGATTCTCACTGGGGAACTTACTATACTCGATCTTTTTTCAAACTTAAATCTTTTTCTGTTTTGTCGTTGTTTTTTGGTGTTACAAAAGCAAAAATATTTATTTTTCAAAAAAAAATCTACCCAATTTTTCACTATTTTTTTCTCAGAATAGTGTTTAGGTCACGGCAATTTATCATTGAAAACAAGTTGATTTCGTTGAAATTTATGTCATGGGTTTCAGGAAAAACTCTATAAATTTCATGTTTGGAAATCTGAAAATGATAGATTTGAGACAGAAGTAATTAGAGATGATGGCTGAAAAAATAGATGATGAAAAAACAAAAATCAAGTTGATTAATGAAACGTTTATAGTTGTTTTTGTGTTGTTTTTTTTTCTATCCGCGTTATTCTTCCTTCATGTTTTCTTTTTTCTTGTCTTCCTTTTTTGTTTGCTCACTTCCGTATTCCTCGGGGGGACCACTCGAGTTCATTTATTCTGACTCTTGATGTTCCATCAAAAACTGTCAAGATATTCTGTGTTTTTTGGCATTTATTTATGTATAAACAAAAAAACACCTGAATTTTGTAGATTTAGATTTTTTTTTTGAAAAAAAAATTCGAACAAAAATTTTAATGTTTCTTTTTTTCGGTAATAAAAAGAACCACTTTCAGTGAAAAACACGAACGTCAAAACAAAACAAACTAAAACTTTTTTCCTTCTTCTTTTAACGAAAAAAGTCCCAAATATTATTTTTTCTGCTTCTGGAGTGGAAAAAGCAATTGTCGTTGGTTGAATAATTGAGTTTGTCATAAAATTAAACTTTTTTCCCACTTTCGTCCCTTTTTATAACCTATAAATGATCAAAAAAAGTTCCAGAAAATTTTAGAGAACTTTTTTATGAGTCTCTTGTGGATTTTAATAAAAAATATTTTCATATGAGGGCGAGCGAACTTCAAATAAGAAAATATCTCTATTTTTTGAAATGAAGGAAAAATGAAAAATAGTTAGCGTAACATTTGTTCTCATTTTAAACACATGTTCGATTTTTTAACAATCTGATTTACGATTGAATTTTTTTCAAGTGTTCAAAAGCTCAAAATGTTCTCTTTTTTCATATTATTATCTTCGCTCGCGCGCGTAAGTGAGAAAAAAAACGACAAAAGTTCAAAAAACTCGCATGCCCTACCCCTTTTTTGATTTTTCTTCTGCTTCACGGCGAGGGGCATTCGTAATTGATATGCGCATACATATAAATAAAATCTAGAAGCACTTTACATCTCATTTTTTGTTACATGTTCTTATTGAGCCACATCCACAGTAATCCTATTGGTTTTTTGGAATTTTTAATAAGGAAGCCAAGATTCTTTATTCATTTCGTTGAAAATACTCTTTGAAGAATTCAAATTTGTTTTTTTTCACATTTTTAATACTCCAATTTTCCAGAATGAACTACACAGATCAACCAAATCCGGTTGAAGTTTTGATGAATCAATTGACAAACATTGGAGCAGTCACAGTAACATTTCTATCAGTCGTTGCACTTATTGTCAACTTGTATTTGTTGAATGTAAGTCTAACAAAACACAGTTTTTCCCAAGATTTTATTTTCCAATCGTTCGTGATTTAATGCCCTTTTTCCATTTAAAAGGACTTAGAAACGGATTTTCAGAATAAATAAATGAAAAAGACCGTTAAATAGAATTGACAATGAGATTGAAATTTGAAGTGGGAAAAAAAATCTTTGATCTCACGTTTTCCTTTCAAAGAAAAATGGAAATAAGGGCTTGGGAAATTTTTTAGGTTGATTGAGAGAGAAACGTTTTCTTCTGATTGTAGGGAGTTTAGTTTGGACTTCAGCAACATTGTGAGAACTAGAAAATACATTTATAGGGTTTCCAGAAAGTTCTATGTATAATTAACTCAGACTTCAAAACTTCATTTGTCATTCCAAAAAAGTTCCAAATTTCGAAAACAAGTTTCTTGCTAGTTCATAAAATATCCCAAGAGATGCATTTTACCACTAAAGTACACAACTTTTCAAAAATAGTATGACGTGCGTGGAAAACTTGTCATTTCAAAAAGCACTGTTGCTGCAGAGAAAGATTTGTCATAGAAAATCGCACTGTCTCTAGCAAAAAGCAAATTACACGAATCATAATTGAATTTGTATATGTATTTTTGGAGTGCAACACTTTATAGAAAATAGTGACGTGGTAAAGTTCATACTGTAGCTTTTCAGCATAATTTAATAAGATTTTTGCTAAAAAATATGTCATAGTAGCTTGTGAGGTCCTAATCAAACTACATTTACACACATCATATTTCTTCAGTGTTCACGATATCTGCGTCGACCAATCGGAGTGAACCTTCGGTTATGTGTGACATTAACTGCATCAGACGCCTTGTGTGCAATCTGCTATATTCTGACATATCTCATCAACATCTTTTTCAGTGATTTCTCGAATTGCACATCACTTTTGCTCGAGGTACAACATATTTAATTAGATATATTACATTGCAGATCAAATGTGCAAAATGTATTTTGTTGCAGGTTTTCAAGCTGACAACATTTACTGCATCAGTTATCACATTGCTAGCCCTTGCTCTCAATCATTATGTTGGAATTGTTTATCCGTTGCATCGAAATGCGATAACACCAAAAACTGTGAAATGCACCATTGCTTTGGCGTATATTATACCACTCACCGCGTATTTATTGATATTTGTCGTTTTTCCAGGAGGTTTGATTTTTTGGATTCAAAAAAAGAAACAATACAAATTGGCTTTCAGGTTTACGAACATCGCCATTCTCATTGATCAATTCTGAAGGTTGCAAAGGAAATTTGATTTACAGTGAGGAAGAGCTTGACTTTCTAAAACAAATCTGATTTCTTTCTTTATAGGAAATGCGTGGTTCCGAGTGACACTCACAACACCATTCATTATTTTTGTTGGTTTGATTTCATTCCTTTATCTTCATATTCTTATTCATATGCGAAATGTGTCAAGAGATCCATTGTTGAAAAATAACAAAAACAAACGAAGTAATCGGAAATTATTAATCACTTTGATGATGTTAGCTGGATCGGCATGTTTAGGTTTGTTTCATACATATTCATAAACATTTTCAGAATAAGAAAAAAAATGAACATACATACATAGCTAAATGAATGCTAATTATAGGTTGGTTGCCGACGACTTTGCTGTTTGTTCAACCATTATTTCCGATTATTATTCCACCCATTCCAAGATTATGCTTGGGGTAAAACATTAGTTGAAGAATCAAAAATCAAAATGTTGATTAATGTTATTTTCAGAGTGTTTGCGCAAACCCTTCATGTATCAAAATTGATTGCTGACGCGTTTATTTATGCGAGTCGACTTGTCGAAATTCGTTATTCCATGTGGATTTTCAAAACCAAAGTGACAAAATATTTCACAAGAAAATTTGACTCAAGTATGTTTTGACCTTGAAATCATTTGAATTTAATAAAACCAATTGAGTTTTTTCCTCTTGTTCAGATAATGATGTGTTTTCGCAAGATGATGAAGACAAAACACAGGTGATGCCACCGGAATTTTTGAGATACTTGAGTGAAACAAAAGAAAATCGATCAGTTCGATCGAAGCGGGTGAAAAATGAATTTGATTCCGTTTCAACTGAAAATAAGAAAAGATATGGATCAGAGAAGCAAAAAAGAGTAACAAGGCTCACTGAAAATAGGGTAGGCAATAAATTGTTTCATCAAACCGCACATTTCAATCTATTTCTTTCAGCTACAACCTCCAAATATTCACCAACCTGTGAAAAATATCAAATCAGTGCCACTGAGCAAACAGAAATCACTTGATACTCCGAAAAAATTATCAGCTAATAATAATTCGATAACTAATAATAATAACGATGATCAATGTTGATACTTTTTGAACACACCCTGCTTTTCTTTTTATGTATGTATAAATATTGTATGTTCCAAGAATGAAATTGTTTTTTGATGTTTTTCCTTAATTCTTGATAAAAAATCTGAAAATTCAAATTATCTACTAAAGATCTTGCTCTAATCCGCATCCAACTTCTGAACATTTTCATGTGCCATTGAAAAGGGGCGGTGGCGGCAAAAAAAGATGACAACCACACAAATTGACAGACTGTCAAATACCTCTTGAAACCTGTCCGAAAAACGTAATTATTATTATTGTCATCTTTCATTTTGCGGTTACTACCAAAAACGTTTGAATGATCAAGTTCATATTACTTTTATTTTTCTCGATATTCTTTATTGGTGTTATTGAAACCAGGAGGAGTATAATGCCAAAAATCGAGATAAGTATGTTACTTGAAGAATTGAATTCTGAAGAAGCTGAACTATTTATGAAACGAGTTACAACTAAAGTTAATAATGAGACTGTTACAACAACAATGAAATCTGCGGAAGTATCAAGTGATGTTGAGAATTCAACGAAAGTCATTTCAACAACTACCATAAATTCTAGTGAAAATTCTACTACTGAACTGATTAAAGATGTCAATGATTATGAATCTGAAATATCTGTGAATCCAGAAATAGTAGAAGATCCCAAGCCAATGCTTTTATCTGAATTTGCAAATCATCTTGCAAGTGGTATCAAATCACCTAATTCAATAGCCACCACTCAACCACCAACACCAGCACCAATGGTTCCAATTTTTACCACTCCACCTGATGACACTTTCCCATATATGGTGTCTGCTGCAAAGGTTAGTTGTACTAATTCTTGTCGATCAAATTCTATGCACTTTTGACAAGTCTCAAGTTTTTGACACTTTTTTTCTGAACACTGATCGATGGTTTCTGAGATTTCGGAACTGTCTTGGTTGAAAGTAATTTAGATTTTTCCGTTTGTTTTAATTTGATAAGATTCAAGGATGGGTTCGGGTTGAAATTTGACAAAAAAAAGAAAGGGGAGGGGTAGATAGTGTGTTCTTGAAATCTTTTAGATGTGGTATTTCGAAAAACTAGAAACTTGTGAAACCTGATAAATGAAATGTTCTCTTAACCTTCATATTAAAAAACATTATAAACAAGATATCATCAAAATATTTTTTATATTAGGTTGAAGCTTTTTTTTTAGAAATGCATGTTCCCGATAGGAAAACATGATCTTTAATTATGAATTCTAAATTTAATATTTTCCAGGAATTCATTCGCCGATATCTTTCACCAGAACAATGGAGAAAACTTCGACTTCTTCTGAAAACCATCAAAGAAGTTGGAGGTTCACGTATTGATATTCATCGAGCAGCAACATTATTCATTTCTAAAGTAAGTATTCTGAATCCGTTTTAATTATAATTTAAATATAAAACTTATAGGTTATTTCTCGGTCTGAAATGGATGAAATTACAAAACGAAAAAGTGAATTATTCAACACATTTAATCGAAGATATTTCAACAGAGCAAATTGATTTTGTACAAAAATACTACATAATAAAAATGTTTATTGATATCACAACAAATTTTATGCTTTTAACCGTATATTATATTTTAGGAAAAATAAAAGAAAAATGTTTAAAAATAGGAATGTTCTTTGATGGACTAGGAGCCTAAAGCTTGAATATGATTGTTATAAGGATTTAATTGATTTTCTTGTTATCTTCTTGAATTTTCGCTGGGTTATCCAATTTTTTGAGGAGAATCAATGGGACAGTCAACATAATTGCGCCAATGGTGTAACATGCAGTGGCTCCAAGCAACCAGAAAACTGAAAAAAAAACACTGTTGAAGAGTTTTTCAGTTGGAAAAACTTACAGGTTGATGCAATGATTGGACCAAGGGCTCTTGCCAAACATCCCAGACTTCTGAAAATTCCGGCCAAAACTCCTTTTTCATTTTCTGGATGAACGATGTGCACCAAAGATGTTAAGCATGTCACCACAGTTGCTGAAGCTGTAAAAAAAAGAAAGAATATGTATGCTTATAATATTATTATACATACCGATAGCATAGAAAAAAAGGCCTGCATAGAGGACAACCGGAGTTCGAGCAACTGCGACTAACAAATATGCAGGTATTATACAAGCAATTCCGAATTCAGCAACTGCTTTTTGTTTTTCGATGGGGGTTTTTCGAACATATCTACCTTGAATTGGTAACATTAATAAACCGGTGAAAAGGTAGAGTTTTCCTTGTTGCATGCTGAAAATATTTCATAAGTTTTTTTGAATTGATTTTTGAATTGAATTCAAAAATATGTTTCTTACCTTCCAAAATCGAATCGTAAGTGAGTCAAAAATGGCAATGTGAATTCCAAACCGGAGTATAGAAATAGATAAATGAAGTAGATGATTCCAATTTTCTGCATCTCAAGTTTTTCTGAAAAAAAATACGATGATCCTCAACCCAAAATTGAAAAAAACTAACTGTTAACTGGAGCCTTGACAGCAGAAAATTGAAAAAGATCACTAGGAGTTATCAATTCTTTGCGAGTTTTCTTAATGGATTCCACACTTTTTTGCTCTTTGAAATGTAATGTTTCGGGGAGGAAAAACAAGAAACCAAATTCAATAATTGTTAGAACAATCGAAAAAATAGCCGGATTTGCAAAAGGCTCATTTTCCGGAGCAATACTTGAGAAATATGCACCAATCATAGGACCAACAAGAAAACCAACAGAATATGAAATTCCAATCAAAGCCATCCCTTTTGGATGCTCTTCTGGAGTATAAACATCAGAAACAATCGAAACTGCAACATTTACATTTCCTTTGCTTAATCCGCCAAGAATTCGAGCAAGGACAAAATATGCAAATGTATCAGCTTTGAGCCAATTCTGTAAAATGTGTTTATTTTTGAGAAGGTAAATATTGACAAGTTTTTTTTCGATCGAAGAACATGGGTAGGAGGGGAAGTATGACGTTTTTGAGCAAACATGATTGTATTCTTTATCATGTTCCGAATTTTTGAGGTAAGAAGGAAGGCAGAAAGGAAAAAAAGTGGGGATTAATTGTAATTTGAAAATGAAAAACCCATTCATACTTGTATAAAAAATAAGCAGTAATTTCGAAAGATTCTAGACTTTTCAAAAGTTTTTGAACGTAGGGCCCTCAATTTTTGGAAAACAAAGATATTGAAGATACTGTATTGTTTGGTGGATAAATCAATAGAAAACAAAAGAGGGGTGAGCTTTTTAACAAATTTCGTTTGGGAGAGGAAGGTAACTGAAAAATTCTTGGGCCACTGGTCTGCCAGATTTCAAAAACTCAACTCACCATGTACGAGATCAAAGTCACCACACAGCACAAACTAATAATTGCTCGCCTTCCATAAATATCTGACAAAGCACCCAAAGTTGGCGATGAGATAAATTGAAGAGCACTGAATAATGAGCCAAGAAGCCCACCGAAAAATACTTTATCATATCTTTCATTATGTGGTACACCAATTGATTCTTGAAACCATTTCAATCCCTTCACACTAATATCATATAACCAGTCCTAAAAATTTAAGGTTTTGAATAAATTTGATTTAAGTTGTACTAACTCTATGTCCATCTTTTGAATAATAATTGAGGATTGTTGGAAATAATGGCAAAATAGATGTAAATGCAATCATATTGAATACTAATGCTGGAATTAGTAGACGCATCACTTTTGAACGATCAATCGGACCGGAAGCGCTCATTTTCCCCCAACCTACAAAAATTGAACATTTGTGAGAAAAAATTACTAACAAAAAATGGAGCAAAAAAGCAAAAAAGTTTGGTGAATGGAAAAAAAACGGCTGGGTAAACATGTTTGTGGGAGTTTAAATATTTATTTTTGATTATTTCACTCTACTAATCGAAAATAAAATGCGAGAAATGGAAATTGTTGTCTTTGAACTCGAACTCTTATCAACCAAAAAAAACGATGACAAAATTTTGGTTATTGCTTGATGAAATTGAAAAATTGAAAGAAAATGAAAAATGTCACGAAAATAAAGCGATGACGAACTTAGTTGGATTTGGTAAACGACCAAAAATACGAATAGTTCTATAAAAAGTCCATAAGAAATTGATGAGAAATAAAAATTTTACTGAACTCCGGCTCTAGAATTGAAACTGAAATATAAAACATACACATATGAGAACTTTTTCATTGAAAATGTTCGAGAACATTTTTATGGACTCAAAAAATGATGAATGAATATTTCAAAGCATAAAAAAATCTAGAAATCGCAAAATCTATTCGAGACTATTGGTGAAAACTTAGAGCAGCTTGACTAAAAATTTAAATTTGAAATTTAAACATACATTTTCAATTTTTATAAATCACACACAAGCTTGAAATGAATATTTTCTGCAATCGATATTCAAAAATGTTTCCTACCAATCTACAAAACCAGAATCAGAATTATATCGAAAATTCCTCAAAAAACATCAGTTTTCAGATTGCCGCTATTTTAAATAATAAAAATAGTATTTGTTTGAAAGAGATAAAAAGAACAGAAGATGCAGTGGAGCACACTTTCCTTATTTACCTATTCCAGAAAAAAATATATTCTATCAAGTCATATTTTATATTTTGTGAGAAAAGAGCAATTTTTGGGATAAGAAGGAAAATAAAAACATAGAGAGATATGAAAAAACTGACATTAAGAAAAAAAAAATGAAATAACGAAGCAGAAACAAGAAAGAAACAGACCGGTTGTGAGGTAGTGGCGATTTAATGCAAATAGTGTGGCGAAATTGAGAGATTCAGAAAATGGGCGACCAAAGGATTTTGCATTCATAATTCAATTTCACTTATTCTTCTTTTTGTTCTCATATTTGAGACATTTTTTGGTTGTTTTTTTATTATTATATTGAAAAATAAAAGTGCTTCAGGAAAAAAACGATTTCAATCGTTCAAAAAAAAAAACAAATAAAAAGCTGGAAAGATTTCGGAGACATCAAAAATCTCTGTTTTTCTCATTGATACGATGACCTTCTGGTAATTATTGTGTTGTGACTATCGATTGACCCGATTAGCAAAAAGATTATGTATACTGCATAAAAAAAGAAAGAGAAAATGGTTCATGTGCATAACAACTCGTAACAGTATTAGAAAAATAAGAAAATAATGAAAATGGGTAGGAAAAAATAAAAGGAATGTGTGAAATATTGATGAGATTCGGCGGATGATTGGAACAGCAGATTAGAACTCGTCTCTATCGGTTCTGAAATTATTGAAGGTTTTGTGAGGTTAGGAAGCAAATAAAAATAAAACCAAACTTGAGCTTGATAAAAATAAAATGCTGAGATTGCTTTTAATAATGCATTTTATTTGAAACCACTAGCTGGAGAACAAAACATTTTGAAAAACGTTTAATTTTACTCCAAACGATAAAATTCTTGACTCAAAATAAAATATATATAATAATAATAGTTTATTTATATCACATCAAGCTAAAATATTGCTGCTGAAAATGATCAATCTCAAACCTATTTGAAATCTAAATTTTCTGGTTTTGGATTTTCAAAAAAGTGACTTGATCTTGAAATTTATAAAAAAGCATTTTGTCTAGAAATTTCAAAATATGTTCAACTAACATTTAGATATTAAAATATCCTATAAAATATTAGATTCTCAATTTTTTTAATGACAATGAATTTTTATCTCGGAAACTTCATTTCTCAATCTTCAGAGAACTATCAAAAAATTCTTAAATCAAACATCAAAAACTTGATTTCATTAGAAAATAATGTTCCAGTTTTCTTGACTCTTTCATGAAGTGAATCACTTTTTCTCCTAAATATATTTTCCTATGGAATTTCATTCCAAAAAAATCAGACCCCTTCCCATTTTCATACGTACATTGATTGCAACAAAGTATAGAAAAACATTGATAAAACCAAAGAAGAGCATAATAACAAACAGAATAAAACACATGTTTTTCACTTTCATTCAAACAAGAGGTTCTGTCGAATTTCTGGAATTTTCTCATTTTTGTTCAAGCAAAATCATTTTCATGCAATTGTTTTATTAATTATAAATAGTTCATTCTCACAATTATGTACAAATTGATATAGTAAAAACAGTCATGCAACAATAACTCACGCACCGTTGACGTGAACCCGGTTAGTGAATCTGAAAAGACATTTCAGATAGGTGGGTGAAAGTGTGTGTGGGTGTGTGGGTAGGTGATCATTCACATGCAGTAAGAAATTTCATTTCAAACTCACAAAGCGTTGGCTTTTTCTAAAAGTGGTCGCAATTCTCCTTTATCTTCGATTGCGCGTGTTTCGTCGTGTCCACCAATGAATCTTCCACTGATGAAAAGCTGAGGAACAGTTGTTCGACCAGAGTATTTTTTCAGAATTTGCTGAAAAAGATTATTCATTTAATAATGTTCTCGTTGTTTAAAAAGTGATCATCGAAACTGTGACAAAGTTGATTCTATCACGTATATTTTCAATCAAAATCAAAAAAAACTCTGAAGTATATTTCAAAACCGGTTCCCAACCTCCCTGATCTTTTTAGAACTAACCTGCATCTCTTCAGTGTGTCCAGATTTATCAAGTTCCACAATTTTCAAATCATCAATCTCATAAGTGGCAAGAATCGCTTTCAATTTCTTACTGTATGGGCAATATGTCTTACTGTACATCATAACTTTATGGGTCACAATATCATTCACAATTTTGTCTTCTAAATCTTTGATGGTTTTATCCTCTTTTTCTTTGGATAATTCGCAATGGCAAATCTTCAAAAAATAAATTTTTTAAATTCGAATTTCTGATGAAAATTACTTACAGTGATTGCAAAAATGAAAACTAGGAAACGAAGCATTTTTTTTTGGAAATTCGGAAAGTGAATCTGAAACAAAAAGTTTTTTTTCAACAAAACGAGTAAAAATGAAAATGAAAAGGTCACTCAGATTTCTATCAATTTTCAATTAATGAACAATAGTCCTTTTATAGTTGACTGAGATGGTTTTTACTGATAGACACATAACAATAATTCGTAGTATTTTATCGATAAAATGGGCGGTTCAAAACGGTATCTTTTTTGGGGTGAGATTAAACCAAGGTCTCGAGAGTAGACTGTGTTCCTTGTTTGATTTTTTTGTTTTGTTTTGATTTGATACCAATCCAAAAATGTCTTACGTATATATTTTATGAGAAAGAATTGAATCAATGATAGGTACTGAAATTCCGGCTGATCAAACATAAAAAATATGGTTTTTTTTCAAACAAAAAGTGTACAATTCGGCGATGACAATAAAAACATAATAATATTTGTTGTTTCATTCTTCTCTATTCAATCAGCAATGTTAACAATAGTGATAAAATTTATGTAAAACAGTTTATGATAAACAAAAAAATTATGTTCAAGTTTTTATACACAACTGGATAGATCTGCTGTTTTTTTAGTTTGTCTTACATGAACCAGATTCATTTTTTTGTTCTCTGTTTTTTTGTTTTGGTCATTTTAAGACATCATTTTTCATACATATATAGTTACTTAAAATAGAACACCTTATGATCTTCATCGTCATCATCGAGAGAGAAAAAACAAAGAATTCACGAGTTTTGAACCATCATGTGAAAAAAAAGAACAGATGATCAAAAACCTTAAATCATTTTATTCACAATTAGTGGACCATAATGAAAAAAACATATGTGGAGGGGAGCAAAACACAAACAAAGGTATGTAAGAATAACGGTAATTTTGGCGACTAATGACATTATGTAAAAGGAAATGTGCTATAAAAACGGGGAAAATTGTACACGGTGAATGAAGTGTTTAAGATTTGAAACAACGAATAACGTCGCGAATTTGAGCTCGACAAATTGGACAACATGGAAGGCGAGTTTCTAGAAGACGTTGTGCACAATTGTAACACATACACATGTGACCGCAAGTGTATAGAACTGCGTTCACTTTGGCTTCCATACAGAGCTGAAAAAATAATTGTTTTTTTTGAAAAAGGTTTAGCTGGGTTCATTCATCAACTTTTACCGGAATCTTTTGGAACTTTTCTGAACCAGGGCTGGTAATTTTTTACAAATATTTTTCGAACCAAAGCTGGCAAAAATCTAAACCCGATTCAATCTGAAGCTTTATCATAACTTACCACACACTCTCCATCATTTTCTGGTCCATCATTACTACTTGGTGTAGCTTCTTTTGCGGGAACTGGTGGTCTTGGTGGCGGACAAGTTGGTGGCGGAGCAATTGGTGCTGGTCGACTTGGTATTGCAGGTGGTTCAATATTTCGGAATGTTGGAGTAATTGGTGTGATCTGAACAGAAATTATTATTGTTTTTTTATTCAACACGAGAAAATGTTTACATTTTGAGGTGTGATTGGAGTTTCCAAAATTTCATCGACACTCATCGTTGGTCTCGTGATCCCGTTATATACAGGAGATGTTCTCGTTAAATCAACTCTTAATCCATTTGCACCTCCTGGTGTCTCTCTGAAAAAATAAAAAATGAAAACACATGACAATCATAAACTTAACAGCTGATCAGGAAGGAAAAAAAGTGCATTGACCCTATATCAAAAAAAAACACAAACCTAGCTGGTCGAACAGGAATTGATGGACAGAAATTGCGATGTTGTTCTGTTCGTGTTGATGAGGATGCACTTGTTGTTGCGCTACTTGCGGCCGTAGCATTTGCGTCGCACCAACCGAGAAGTTTGATTGCAGTTGTTGCGCCATACACATCAAAGTACATATATAAATCAATTGTGTTGTCGACGAAAAGGACGGAACGAGGTCCACGATTGTCAATTTCAAAAAACACCTCTCCTGCAAAACGATGAGATTTTTATGCTGAAATTCTATGCAGGACCCCATTGTTTCACAATTAGTTTTTTTTTATTCTCTCCTTCAATAGTTTCAGGGAATCAGGATAGCTTATTTTGAAGATTAAGAAACAGAATCTAACGCAATCTTATATTTTTCGATAAAATAAACCTTTTGTTTCCAACGAAAATCTGAAAATTACCTGATTCAGTCATCCAAAATGAAAGTAAGCTATCAACTTTTGGTTGAAGTGCAATATCCTTGATTCCAACCCAATAATCCGGCATTTCAATAAGATCGGAAGAATCATCAGGAAGTTCGGTGGTTCGCAAATTTGATGGATCGCAACATGTGAATCCAAAAGCAAGACCTCCCTCATACAACGGTTCGATGGCGTTCACCTGAATATTTTCATCTTGCTAGAGCATCAAGGTGTTTTTTCTTCAGAAACGGGAAAAAAACTAACCATCACACAAACTTTCTCATTATTTTTCATCGGTCTTTCAGTGAACACATATCCTTGCGAATATTCAGCCGAATCTCGAACTGCCATATCTTTCATACTGTTGAGGGTGATGTGACGGCCAGTAACACGGTGAAAACGTAATGGTTGCAACGGCACTGAAAAATTATTGAATTTCACAAACTATGGGGATCAATGAATTGATTTACAGTATCCCGTTTTGAATAGATCCAAAAAAACTCACCATTTCTCATCATTCGCAAATGTCTTCTACTTGAGCTATCTTCAGCGGTTGGTGGCGTTGGTGCAATTCTAGGTGGCGGAACGTGAACTGGCGGCATAGTAGATGGTGTTATTGGTGGCGGTTGAGTTGCTGATCGACGTGGACGAAACTCGGACGCGTCTGAGAAAAAATAAACATAAAGCTCGATGAGTCATTTTGAGGAAATAAGGAAAACAGAAAAACAAAAACCGGTTTCCGACTGATCGGTCACTTGAAACAACATGGGTTTATTGATTTATCGGGTTTTATTTTTGAAAAAAATGGGTTTATTAAAATCCCTATAGAACATTCTATTTCAAGTATTTTTATCTGATGTTGTGAATTTAAAAATGTTGGCTATCGAAAAATTTTTTTACTGTAAGCAAAAAACCAGAAAATCAAAAAATCTCACCTAGAAACTCGAGAGCAACTGAATTTCCATAAATATCAACAATTAACCACATTGGAAGAGTTGTATTGATAGTTGAAAGAAATATTCCTTTTTGTGAGCCATTGATACCGTAATACAATTCTCCAGCTCGATTAACATAAAAATGCAAAATATTGCCTTCAACAGAATATCTTTCAGGAAGCGCTTTTGCCCAATAACCATCTTTTGTTGTTAAATCGGGACATGCAAACCTGAAAACAAATTAATGAATATATTTATTTCTGAAAACAATATTGATTGTTTGTTTATTTACTTTGGCACCGGAATATTTCGATATGTATCCGGATCGAAATTTGTTACTCCAAATCGCAAAACTCCTGACCAATTTGTTGCCACTTCGCTTAACTTGATACATACATTTTCGTCAATTTCAACCGGTCGATTTGAGAATGCTAGACCTTTACAAAAACTTTCGCGTCGTCGTGCAACTCGTCCATCTAAAAATTATTCATCTCGATTTTTCATTGAATATTCTGATCATGTTGTAATAAAACTCACTTCGTTGTAAAACTACGTTTGCGCCTCGAATATTATGAAATCCTAATGGTGGACGGGTTGTCGGTGCTGAAATACATTGTTTTATGTATAGAAAAATTTTACTTTAAAAAATAAACTAACTCTGATTAATAATTTCCTGAGTTTCAGCGTCTACTTGAAACATGTTTACCATATCTGAAATAAAAATTATTGAATAAGAGGAAAGTGTTGGGAAATGTGTGGAAATAGAAATATGAATCGAAGCTCATCTCATCTCCACCTGCTCACAACTATTACAACGAAAAAATATGTGGATGAACGTTTCATGAAACAGATGCCGCAAATTTCAGAACTATTATGATGTAAATATTTTTTAATGTTTATATTTCAGATTTTGTCTCCAAGGTAAACTAACAAATTTTGATAGTTTGTTTTGCTCTAAAAAAAGTGTTGATACATACTAAAATAGTGCATGATAAAAAAGCAAATATGAATTATTAGTCACCTCGAACATGTCGATGATAACGTGTAAAACGATCACATAACTCGTCAATCGAGTTACAGTTGTTGTATGGACCAAAAAATGGTGAAACTCTAGATGATCTTGATGGAATATCTCGTTCTTCAGAATATCTGGTTAATCGAACCATAATAAATAAATAAGTTAAATATATTAACAGGAGTAGTTTTTTGTAATTAGAAAAAAAAAAATGAATGAATGTTTTTCGAGAAAAACGCTCGTGCTTGGTCAAGTCAAGTCACACGGTTTTTTGACTGGATATGAGCAAAAACAAAGAGCAATATGTCACGTTATAGGGCTGATCAAGGACGTGTGTGCTTTTCGTCTCTATGTGATTTCGAACGAACAAAATTGAGCACCACAATAACATCCGTAAATAGTTTGCAAAAAGAAGAAAATATTATTGTTGTTGTTGTTATATACTTCAAATGTTTTCTTGTTGTTGTTGATTTTGCTCAGCTCACGAAGAAAATGAAGTTTTTTTTGAAAAAGAAAATAAACTAACCGTTCATATCTCGTGAAGATTCGTTACCCATTTCACTAATTTTTGTCGAAGCTAGCTGAAAAAAAAGAACGTTATCAATGAAAGATGAAAAAACAACAGCAACAGCAAAAGGTTTACAACAGAAAAAAAAAAAGTAGGTTGGCATTGGGGCGAGAATGCAATGGCAAACAAAACGAATTGGCAGGGATAGGGAAAAGGGAGAGGGAAAAGATGAAAGAAGGTTATGTGCAAAAAATGGGCAGAAAACTTTTGGAGACAACTATTTTGAGAAATTGTTTGTTAGTGAATCTATCAGTTTTTATTGAAAATAAGATAATGTTTGGTTGAATGAGGATAAAAAATACACAAGGAATATGTATAATCTTCAGAAAAAAAAACAAAAAATGATAATGAAATTCAAAGAATTTAACTGTTAACCTTCAAACAATCATGTGTTTCAAAACAACACAACTTTTCCAATTTTCAATTAGTAATTTTATTAAAGCAAAAAATGATTTTTCCCCCAATTTTATCAGTATTTATAAACTTGCTAACTAGACCCTCTAAGCAACGTTGTGAAATTGAATTTAGAAATAATTTCTCTATGTATTTACTAAAAAGTTCTTTTGGCATTATTTTAGAAAAATCGCTCCTAAAGAACTTCTTTTAACTCCAAAATTGTTCTTCAATCTTCCAGATTTTGAAAGCTATTTCAATTGAAACTAGAATTATAGGTGAAGTTGCAGTTTTTAATACTCCGTAGCAGTTAATTCAAAAGAGTATTTTTCACGATAGCGAAACAATTTTCAATTTCCAGAATTAGATAATAGAAATATTTAGTTGGTATGGAAACTTGACGCATGAAAAACTTTTATGCGCTTTGTGGGAAAATAGAGTTTATATTAGTCTCATAGAAAAATATTACTGGAAACGAGTGGTGTTTCAAAGCTAAAATACTATTTTTTGGAGCAAAATGAGCGTGAGTGTTTTTTTTATTTGGGATTTTGCAAAAAAATTCCTAATGAGTTCTTTCTTATTAAAAAAATTGGGAGAAGAAAATTTTAGAGTAGAGATCAATAGAAACATCGGGTGAATCGCTTTAGTTTCTCACCAACAATATTTCTGACCATAAAAAAGGTGGGGACCTATAATATTCCTGACTAGTGGGAAAAAAATGTTGCAGCCCCGGCACAATTAGGTTTAAAAAAACAAAAAAAGTTAGTAGTTATTCAAAATCTTCGTATTTGAATCTAGGATATTATCTATAAGCCGTTTTTCTGAACACCATGAGGCGGAAAATCACTACAGATATCCGTTAAAAACAAATTATGCCCCTTTGATACAGTACACGCTTTCTTAACTGAAGTGTATTTGAAAAATTAAAAGCTAAAAAACGTTGATAATAAGTTTTTTAAATAACATTTTTGGGAAAAAATCAATCGTGAAGTTTCTAGACTAGAAAAAGTACAAAGATACTAAACTCTCGAAGAGAAACAAAAAAAATAAACCAAAAATGAAACACACACAAACACTCACAACTTGCGCTGACACAGGCAAAAAAAGAAAAAGAAGACGAAAACCAGTTTTCTACTGGCCGCTCGTTTCTTCTCAAAAAAAGTATGTGCATTTGTGCGTAGCGGTGTTTGCATCCACGCTGCCACTCGCTTGTCCATACTTGCAACCTGATTAATTGGAATGAGGGGAGGCATTTCGTGCATTCTTTCATCTCTCTTTTTCTCTCTTTCTATCTCTGTTTCATTTTGTTAGAATACATAATTAACAGATTTTCTTTTTAGACATTCATAATTATATATTGTTTTTGTTGGTTTTTTTGAGAAAAAATTCATATATAATTATTGATTTAAGGCTGTGGAAGTGATAGAGAGCGAAGAAGTTTATTGTTTCGAGGTTGTTTTTATTCGCTTATATGTTTGTGCGGTGAGTTTTTTTTTATTTTTTAGAGAAATAAATGTGATAACATGGATCAATAAATTGCATTTTTTCAAATAAAAAGTAATTTAACAATATTTTTCAGGATATTTTAATGCATTTACAACAACCGCCGCTGATTCAGGCGCAAGTTCAATTAAATCATCAGCAACATCTTCAGCCTCAACAATTAATACAATCACATCATGCGCCACAACTTCATCAACCACCAATTCACCATCAACAGGTTAATATGCCACAAAGGATACAGCATCAAATGCAAAATCAACAGATGCAGATTCATATGCAACAGCAACAGATGCAACACAATCATCCAAGGCAATTGCAACATCAACATCAAGTTCAACAATTTCCATCAACTTCAAAACAGGAATTCGCAAGACCAATGCATATTCCACAATCTAGAATGAAAATGGATCAACCACATCAGATGCAGTCTCATCAACCTATTCAACAACATTTGCAACATCAACAAGTTATTCAGCATCAGCAGCAACTTCAAAACCAGATGCAGCAACAACAAATTCAAAATCAGATGCAGCAACAACAAATTCAGCAGCAGCAGCAACAGCTTATTCAACAGCAACAAATTCAGCAGCAGCAGCAGCAGCTTATCCAACAGCAACAAATTCAACAAATTCGAATGCAGCAGCAGCAACAAAGAATGATTCAGGTGGAAGATAATAGTGAAAAAATTGATGAAAATGCTTCACAGTTAATGCAACTGCCAAAACAGGTAATTTTTGTTTTTATGTTATGATGTGACAGTTTGAATCATTTTAATCATCGTTCTGCTTTTAAATTTAATCTGCTGACAAAAAAAAATCTTACCAAAAATTCTAATTAATTAGTTTTTGACGCTTCAACAATTTTTTACTCTGCAGAAATGCTCGTTAGAAAATCTATCTAAAAAAAATAGTATGTGTAATTACAAAAACAGGTAGATCTTTTTAATGACGTGGCAATTTTTGGCGTGACTCATTTGATTCATAGATCAAATAAATATATGAATGATATGAGTAATTTACAAAAATTAGAAAACATTTCATTATTATTTTTGAAAAAAAACCTATCTCTGATATTCTTTGAAAATCATTACTTGAAAAAAAAACAACAAGAATAATAACCGAAAATAGGTTTGGTTTTGATGACGTAACAATTTTTCGTATGATTCATATGACTAATAGGTCAGCATAAAGAATTAATCATATAAGTAAAATGATTCATACTAACATAAGTTTCCCAGTTTACGAGAGCCATCTTGTTGATTTTCGTAACGTCAGATTTTTTGTATAATTAATTTGAATGTGAGTAATTTCAAAGTTTTGTAAATTGATCATATCAGCCTAATGAATTCCAATCAACAAGAACTTCAAATGTTGAAGTGTTTGATCAGTTCTTCTGAAAAACAAATCAATTTTTGTTTCAGAAACGTGAGCGATATGTCGCCCAACTGCAAATTGCTCTTCGAAGTATGGAAAAACTTGGATTGAAAAACGAATCAAGATATGTATCACTTTCTCGATTGCTCATGTTAATGAAAGGCGAATCAGAGGAAAAAGTGCGAAGCCTCACATATACACCAAGATATGCGAGAAAAGAAACTGTCAATTTGACTGCTGATTTTAAAAAGAGATTGAATGCGCAGGTAAATTTTTTCAATCAAATGACTGATTAATAAATAAATAATGATCGCAGATGAAAATATATATGTTACTCAAGCAAGGAAAAATGATTCCACCTGAGCTCAAAGCCATTTCTGATGGACCGAGCAACAAGAAAAAGGATGCTGGTCATCCGACAAATTCTTTAGATATGTTTAAAGTAGGTTTCTAATATTTCCAATGATTTCAAAAAAATAATCTAAAAGAGTTTTCATTTTCAGATTTTTGATACTAAAACACATCGACTTTCTAGTTATGTAGGACAACCTTTACCAGATGATGTGATAACTTCAGAATATAGGAGATTGTGAGTTTTTTGCTTTGTAATGAAAATAACACAATATGGAATGTTTTCAGAGTTCGTGATGAGATGATAAATCGAAGAGAATATCTAGCCAGAACCGAATCAAAATTGACGCCAGAATTGCAAGTGAAATCGAAAATCGAGCAAATTGCACTAAAACTTGTTGATTTTCAACAGAAACTACGGGGTGAAGTGATGAGCACAATTGTTTATACAGTGCCCCAACATTTTCTGATCAATCCATATTCGATCCGTCGGACAAAAGAGCAGTATAATCGAGAATTACGAGAAAATCCGGCCAAAATGCAATTAGAACGACAAAGAAGATCGAAAAATCACGAGTTGATGCATGCGTTAACAAAACATTGTCGGGAATTCAAAGAGTTTCATAAGTGAGTTTTTATTTTCGATTGATGGGAACTGAAGGTAACTTGAAAAAAAAAAACAATTCTAAACTGCAGAAATTATTTTGAATAGAGAAAGTTCGAAGAATTTGTTTAATAATTAGAATTTTGTTTGATTCATCCAAAATTTTAAAAAATATGTCTGAAAATGTTTGATGCTAAAAATTTCAATAACATTATCTTCAGACACTAAACCTTTTTTGAATAAATTGAAAATAGAGCTCTTGAAACTCCAGATAACAAACATTTATTTTTCAGGCAAAACGGTATGAAGTTTGCAAAAGTCCGAAAATCCATGAATCTTTATCATCAAAGTATTGTTCGAGAGAGAAAACGAGATGAATTGAAAAATGAAAAACTTCGTATTCAAAAATTGATACAAGAAGATGAGGAAGGTTATCGAGCAATGTTAGATGATAAAAAGGTTTGTGCTTATACCGACAATTAAATTGTATATAAATTTTTAATATTTTTTAGGATCAAAGATTAGTGTATCTTCTTCATCAAACTGATGAATATATTGATAGCTTGTGTGATTTGGTCAAGCAACAGCAGACTGGATCGACAAGCCATTTTAATAATCATCGAAAAGATGAATATGAACCATTGGATCAACGAGACAAATCAAAAATTATTGAAAAAGCTCGGAACGAAGAAGATGAATATGATGAAAAGGTTCAATCACAAATTGAGAATTATTATTCGGTTGCTCATCGACATCGTGAAACTATCACAGGTCAACATAGAATGATGGGAAATGGAGATCCGACACTTTTGTTGAAACCTTATCAGATTAAGGGATTGGAGTGGATGGTTTCGTTGTATAATAATAATTTGAATGGTATTTTGGCTGATGAAATGGGATTGGGAAAAACTATTCAGGTGAGAATAAAAAAAATAAGTTTAATGTAACTCACCAACTCATTTTCTTTTTCATTTCGGAACTTGAATTTTCAGACTATTTCATTTATCACATATCTCATGGAAATCAAAAGAAACAGCGGACCATATCTTGTTATTGTTCCATTATCAACTCTTCCAAATTGGTTACATGAGTTCAAAAAATGGGCACCGGTTGTTGAATTGATTGTTTATAAAGGTCCAAAAGAAGAGAGAAAAGTGTATGAACCTCAAATCAAATCCGGAAAATTCAATGTTCTCTTAACTACTTTTGAATACATTATCAAAGACAAGAGTATTCTTGGGAAACTGCGATGGAAATATATGATAATTGATGAAGGACATCGATTGAAAAATCAAAATTGCAAACTCACATCAATGCTCAATACTCATTTTCAAACACAACATCGCTTATTAATCACGGGTACACCATTACAAAATAAACTTCCTGAACTTTGGGCGTTGCTCAATTTCCTGCTCCCTTCGATTTTCTCATCGTGTAGTTCGTTCGAGCAATGGTTTAATGCACCATTTTCAACAACTGGCGAAAAAGTTGAGCTAACTGAAGAAGAGACAATGCTCATTATTCGGAGATTGCATAAAGTTTTGAGACCGTTTTTATTGAGAAGATTGAAAAAAGAGGTGAGTAATAATTTAATTTAAAAAATCAATTTCAAATTCAAAATTAGGTTGAATCACAACTACCGGAAAAAACGGAATATGTGATAAAATGTGAGATGTCGGCACTTCAAAAAATCTTATATCGACACATGCAAAAAGGATTGCTTCTCGATGGAAAAAATCAAACGGGAAATAAATCGGTGATGAACACAATGGTTCATCTACGAAAATTGTGTAATCATCCGTTTCTATTTCCGAGTATTGAAGAATCTTGTCGGGTTTTCTGGAATGTTGTTATCTCTGGTTATGATTTGATGAGAGTTTCGGGAAAATTGGAGTTGTTGGATCGAATTATGCCAAAATTAAAAGAATCGGGTCATCGGATTTTGATGTTCTTCCAAATGACTACAATGATGACAATTGTTGAGGATTATTTGGCTGTTAGACGTAAGTTTTGACTTTTTGAATATCACAATCTCACTTTTTAATTTACAACTTCACTTGTTAATTAACAAAACCATTTTCAGAATACAAATATCTTCGATTGGACGGTAGCACAAAGCCAGATGAGCGTGGTCAACTTTTAGAAAAATTCAATGCTCCAGACAGTGAATATTTTCTATTCATGCTCTCCACTCGAGCCGGTGGTCTGGGACTCAATCTTCAAACCGCAGATACCGTTGTGATTTTTGATTCGGATTGGAATCCACATCAAGATATGCAAGCACAAGATCGAGCACATAGAATTGGGCAGAAGCAAGAAGTTCGAGTCCTACGATTGATCACCGCTAATTCCATCGAGGAGAAAATTTTGTCAGCGGCGAGATTCAAATTGAATGTGGATGAAAAAGTGATTCAAGCTGGTAAATTTGATAATCGATCAACACAAGCGGAAAGAAAAGAAATTTTGGAGCAAATTATTCGAGCTGAATCAGAAGATGATGAACAAGATGAAGTGCCTGATGACGAAACGATTAATCAAATGATTGCTCGAAATGATGGAGAGTTTGAATTGTTTCAAAAAATGGATGCTGAACGGAGACATATGGAAAGAGAATTGTGAGTGAAGTTCTGGGAGAGAGACATTTTATGATTGTTTTTTTTTTCAGAAAACCCCGGCTATTGACAGAGGAAGAGATTCCAAAAGATATTACTCGCGCAGCAGATGAGACTGATTATCAAGAAAAAGCAAAGGAGGAAGGGCGACTTCCATATTTGGAAGTTATGCCAGGATCAAGAAGAAAGCGAAAAGAGGTTGGTTTCAGAATCTCATGGAAGACGCAAAAATGAAATATTTTTCAGGTTGATTATTCTGCTGATTCAATGAGTGAAGATCAATTTTTGCGACAAGTGATTGATGGAGAAGATATTTCCGAGGAGCTAAAATCAAATGGAACTGTTGTACAAGAACCAATTCCACCAATAATAATTCAAAAACAGCCACCAATTCCACCACTCATCATATCAAAAAAACCAATTCCGCCACCATTGCCAAAAATCACATTAACATTTGATAAGAAGAAATTGGGATTGGGGGTGACACCAATAACGGCGCCGGCGCCAACATCATCAACAGAAATTGTGATTGAAAAAGAAAAACGAAGTGATGAAGAAAAAGAGAAAAAGAAAAAGCATAAGAAGGAAAGAGAAGAAACAGAGGAGGAAAAACGAGAGAGAAAAGAGAGGAAAAAGGAGAGGAAACGAAAACGAGAAATGGAAGAGGAAGAAGAGGAGAGACAACGAAAATTAGCGAAAAAAGCAAGAAAAGAAAGAGAAAGATTGGAAAGAGAAAGAGAAGGATTATAAATTGTATTTTATATATAGATGTATTTTATTATATGTTTTCAAAGAGTTTATATGTATTTTTAAAAATTTCAAAACCCTACCCTAGCTTATCGGTTCTACATGTGATCTCTTTTTGTATTGATTCATTTTCATCAAATCAATTATTCAAAATGGCCAGCTATAGATCAAAAATGTGTCTTTTATTGTATTTTACTGTATTTCATTTAGCTAATCATTACTTTTAACATTTTTAATTTGTTTGTTATCAGTCTTTTTTTTGTCATATCAAAATAACTCACTAAATCAAAATAAATAGTTTAAGCAATGAATCAATGTGCTTTTTGTGTGTTTTTTGAATGTATGTCTAACCAATCTTATCCGAGTTTGATATTTTTGTCGAGCGAGAGAAGAAACGAGACGAATTCCCAGATGAATAAAAAATGAAACGCACTCATTCGAGTCAAAACGTCAAACCGAAGCCAACAAGATTTCCTCTGTGTTCAAATTCAACATATTTTGTTGTTTTATTGCCGGTTCATTTGAGAGCAGCGCAAATCCTTTTTTATTCAATTCGTTCTCTCTTTTTTTTTGCCGTGCTGCAAAAGAGCACACATTTTTCATGCCCTTCTGTTTCTCTTTTTTTTTCTCATTGAAGCTCACAGAACATTTGCATTTTAATAGGCTTATGGATCTAAGCCACCCCAATAACAATTTTTTCTATCCTATCCAATATTTTTTCTATCCATTTTGTTCGCCCCGCGGAAATAAATGCTCTGTTTGTTTTGTCATTGGCAAAATAAAAAATGAACTTGAAAGACACCAACATTACGAAATGAGATGAAATTGTTGTTTTTGTGTTTTTGTTTTCCATCTATCCATCCAACTTTTTATTTCATCATGTTTTTCAAATTCATAAGAAATGTGAAATTCTCTTCTGAATTGTAGCTGGAATGTAGTTTTTAATCGGATCTCAAACCCCTTTTCTTAACTTCACATTTCAATAAATCTGTTCGATTTCGAAAAAACTTAGGCTGTTTGTGAAGCTAATTCATTAGAATATATTTTTCAGAGAGTGAGAATGAGATCTGAAGACTGTTTTCACGAATATTTTTTCCACATTCTGATTTTCAGATCAGTTTCCTGAAATTTTATCAACTTTTGTATCTTTTGTTATAGAGTGATTTTTGAAATGATTATCTTTAAACGCGCCACTAAAATTTTGAATTTTTGAATATCCGACAAATCATTCATCGAAACGGAAACATCGGTTCAAGTACGAAATTAATTTCAATCTGAAATCTAGACGGGATCTTCCTCGGCATAAATAATATCATGAATTTTGTGTATGTCAAGGTACAGGACACGCCCTTTCCCCGATTTTTCTGCAGTGCACGTCTTTGCCATTTTCATTTTCCAAAAGTTGTTCTCCCAAAATCGAACCATATTTTCTCTTTTTTCAATCGATCCTTTGATCAATGCTACAATGTAGCCAATCTGGTACTTTGTGCGCCGTGTGTTTATGTGTGGTACACAATTGTCATCTCATTCGTTAAAAAAAACAGAAACACACTTTTTTCTGTCTTCACAGCAAAAAATTGTCGTTTTTTCTTCCTGCCGCAGTTTTCTTTTTTTCTTTCTCACTCTTCCTTTCATTTTTGGTCCCTTCTGCAATTTGATTTGTATGTTGTTTTTCCAGGAAAAATGGGTGGTTATATCTCATCGCCTCATATATTAGTACGTAGAAATGGTGGTGAATATGAAGTGGGATGTGAGGATTTGATGATTGATGGGACGGTTTTAGGTGATCGAGGCATTTTCATGCGATTGTATTATCCAACAGATCAAAAAGTAAGGGTTTTTTTTAATGAAGTTGCAGCATTTTCGGTTTTTTATTGGGTTGAAAGAAAACTCGTAAAACACTCTTTCTTATACATGTTTTGTTGCAATAATAAAACGCACATAAACATGTTTCAAACAGGGACGCGAGCGAATGCGCTCTATTGAACTGATGTGTGTCTAACACTCTCTCCTTTTTGAATAATGTTTCTCTCGTCAGTGTTATTTTTCACAGGAACTGATTCTGAATATTATAAAATAGTGTTTTTCAGTGATTTGTGAAGAATAATTGACCAAACTAAGATTTTGAATTTGAAAATAAGTGAAAATCGTTTCAGATTTTTGAAAGTATCATTCAAAGTTAGAAAATTTATCCATATTAATTTCTGACATGTGAAATGGGTTCTTTGTTTTTTTCTGAAATCAAGTTTATCAGCAATTTACACACATTTTTCAGCCCGAAAACTTGCAATCTCACCCATTATGGTTACCAAGACCACAATATGCTCATGGTTTGGGTGAATATCTCGGACAATCTCCTCAGAAAATGAACTTGATGACGTGTACTGTAGTTGGTGAGAAAAGGTAGGTATTCTTAACCCATATTTCTTACCCATATGAACCTTTATCATTTTCCAGAGAAGATTGTATTGAACATGCACCATTATCAACAAAATTGGATAAATGGCCAGTTATTGTGTTTTCACACGGACTTGGAGGTTCACGTAATTTTTATTCAACTTATTGCACATCAATTGCGTCACATGGCTATATTGTAGCTGCTGTTGAACATAGGTGAGAACAGTTGTCGGGGTTTTTTGCAGAAAACATTGATTTTTCAGAGATCAATCAGCTTGTTGGACATTTAACTTGATTGAAAAAAATGGGGAATTAGTTGAGCAACCGATCAAAATCAAATTGATTGAGAAGAATGAGAAAAATGAGTTCAAAATTCGGAATCAACAAATTAATAAAAGGGTCACAGAATGTGTGAAAGCTTTGAATGTTTTGGAACAATTGAATCTCGGAAAAGTGCCAGAGAAAATTTTGATTGGAAAGAAATTTGATTGGAATCAATTCAAAAATAAATTTGTGATGCAAACTGCGGCTGTTGTTGGACATTCTTTCGGAGGAGGCACTGCGCTTGCGTCAACAGCTTATACAACTGATTTTCAGGTGAGTGATGAATTTCAGATCTACTGAAAATTCGAGGGTTAACAAAATAACGCTAGTTTCATTTTTTCCAGAAAGCAATTGTTATGGATGGTTGGATGTTTCCTTTAGATGTAAATCAACAAGAACAATCAAATCAACCAACAATGTTCATAAATATCGGAGATTGGCAATGGAATGAAAATTTGGATGTTATGAAAAGAATATTCCCACACAACGACAAAAATGTTCTTTTCACAATTAGCGGAGGAGTTCATCAATGCTTTTCTGATTTTCCATTTATTTTTCCTCACTGGCTCGCAAAAAAACTTGGAGTTCAGGTATATACTAATTTTTATAATTTTTTTCTAGAGAAAACAAACGATTTTTTAGGGTCCAACAGATTCAAATAAATGCATTGAAGCTGCAGTTGCTTTATCATTGGCGTTTTTGAAAAACGGAAAAGAGGAGGCTCAAAAAACGATGGAACAACATTATTCGAGTTTTATGAGCAACGAGGTTTACGGTCGCGAAAAATTCAAGCTCTAATATATTTTTTTATTATTTGCAACGTGTTTTCTTCTATTTTGACGGATTTTGTCTTGCTTAACAGTATTTTTAACGGGTACCCTCATGAAAATAAATGTTTTCTTGCTAATCACATTTTATTGTTACAAAATTAAAGAAAAGAAAAGAAACCATATTCAAATTATTGCAAGTTTTCCAAGAAGTTTTTGTGTTTGAAGTAAAGCGAAAGTCTGTCTTTTCCATAATCCTGAAAATATTTTTTTTCGAAATAAAATTTTGTAGGATTGATTTTACCGAAAAATTGAATCCAACTGGCGACAATTCACATTGCAACAAGCTCCAAACACCCCAGAAAAAGTGAGATACTGGGATAAATGGCAGAGTTTCTTCGATCAAACTTTCAGCCTTGGTATATAAGTTGTCTTCACGAATTCCACCCTGTTCACGGAGATAATTGACAAAGAATTCCAACATCTGCAAATAAAATTTCTTTAGAAATTTTTCATCTGGAAAGTCATACCATATCAGTTTCTGGGAAGTTTTCTGATTGAATTTTATAAAAAGGTTCCTCGTCAATATCATAATCAATGGTCCATTCAACAAAATGATTAGCAAAGTCAAACGCTCTGAAGAAATGGTTTTAATTTTACCATTTTCATAATTTTTCAAACAAACAATACCTGTAATTATAGCTGGCATACTCGAAATCAATCAACACCAATTTTGGATCAGACGGATTGAAAGCGGATAAACTATTTCCCAAAGTTTGAACTTCATCAGACAACGAAGGCATACGAATATTTCCAGATGAAGCTTTTGGAAGAAGAATATTTCCTTCTTGCAAATCATTATGACAAAAAGTGACTGGCGAAGTGCTTTTTGAAATGTGAGCTTTCACAAACTCCAATTCTCTTGCCAAATCAACACAATTTACACTTATATCGTCTTCAGGCAATTCAAAACGTTGTTCATTCGAAACTGTTGATGTCAATTGTTTGAGCCATCTTTGAAGAGCTTCACACAAATAATCTGGCTCTTTCCAAATAGGAACTTCTAATTGGTGAACTTTTGCTAAACGCTTCGCTATTTTTGTAGACATGTGTGAAAGTCCGATTTCGCTACATGAAAGTGGTCTCGACTGGAAAAATATATGATTTTTTTCAAATATATTATTGTTATGATAGAACAACTTACTGGAATGTATTCTTCCAGACGTCCACCACTGAAAATACCATACAATTTTGGACCAAGATGTCTTTCTGATAGAAGAGTAAAAATAACGGATTCAGCAACCAGATGACTCTCCGTTTCAGGATTGAAATATACACGCAGCAAAACTTTATTGGGCTCATTTCTAATGGGTGGATAGACTTCAGATAATCGACAAAGGAATAACATGTTACTCATTCCACCTCTGAAATTATGCAAAACGTCAGAAAGGTTTCCCACACCTCTTCACATTCCATAACAAAAAACAACTCACTTGATTCTGCTGATTCTTAGATGCTCGAGAGGAACAGTTTTCCAAGCACCCCCAAGAAATCTTGCACACAACATATGAGTTCGTTCTTTCAATTCTCGCACCGAATTCGCATCTGTGTCCAAATCCATAGAGCTCAACAACTCTTTCATGCCTCTGAAAAAAATAATGAAATTTGTTGTTGTTTTCTCATGGCAAAATGAGATTTGCACTTTCCAGTGTTTATGGAAATTTTTGTTATATGCACTTTCTCTGAAATTGGAAAAAAATCACATGAGTTATTTATTTTTTCGGGGCGTCATTTAATTGTGGGATAATAGATTATTTTTTCTGTTTTTTTTTCTCGAAAAATAATTGATTGCAAATTTATAATTGTATACCACAATTTTTTTCGAAAATAAATGAAAAATGTATACCTGAAATGTCCTTCAGCGACCAAACTCATATCTATAATTGGAGCCGACTCTTCGTCGTCGTAATGCACACGGGAAACTCTGAAAAAGCTTTGTTTTCAAAAACCAACCAAATCTCGAGGGACCTTTTTATGAATGTTCCAGGTTTTGTTTTTTTCTTGGTTTTTTTTCAGAATTTTTTTTTCATAAAAAAACTCACTTTCTTGAAGACATTTTCAGAACAAAGAAAAGGCGAGAAGAGGGAAAAAGATGAAATAAAATTAAAGAGAATAAATGTATGTGTTGAAGAGATGATGGTGGTGGGAGAATAAAAGAAATCCACAGGCCAAGTGTATGTGCTCAAATGAGCGTGTATGTGTGTGTGTGTAAGTGAGCGAGATGTGCGTGTGTGCACCTGGTGCCTCTTCTTTAATGCTTTTTCACACACTCACTCAAACACTCATACACTCATACAACATCTAAACGATGTGAAAAAACATTGGCATACATATATTGGATAAATAGTGGTTGGTTTGTAAGTTGGGTTGGCCTCTTTGAAAGAGTACACAATCTTCAACTAATTATGATGTGTTACTCGTGTTTTTATAAGGATGATATTTTTTGTAGCGTTTAACCAAGCTATTGGGCGTCCAATTATGAGGACCACCCAAGAAGTTTATTATTGCTTACTAATTTAAAAAAAACTAGTGATTTCAGTGACCTGGAATAGATTGCAAAACTATAACAATCAAAAAAAAAGTATTTTAAATTTAGATCACTCATAAAGTCATTCAAATTTAAAAGTTAAACAACCCACGACGTAAATCACTGAAATTTTGTTTGACATTAACACATTTTAAATCTAAAAAATTATGTATGAGGTCACTCATGTCAGAGATATCACAATGAAGAATTAAAAGTTTCAAACTTCAAGACCAGCCACAATGTTTTATAATGTTTCAGTTTTTGATTTTTTAAATCTTTTTATTCCATATTTTAACGCCCTCCTTTGAAAAAAAAATTATCATGAAATCAAAAATTCCCAGGCTTTATATTTTTTTGCTAACGGATTTTTCCATAAAGTACAATGAAGAAAAGAAAAAAAATCAGTACGAGATGAAAAAAGTGGAAAAAAGTATGTATACAATTCGACACTCTTCGAAAGAATGTGTTCTTTCATGCTTTCTCGATCAAATTGCAGAATTGAATTTCAGAATTTTTGTAAAGCTAAACAAAGCCAAAAAAAATCAAAAGAGGAATCTTTTTTGGTTGCAATGTTTGTTTATTTTTCTCGAAATCTGATTTTGGAAAGCTTCTTTCGTTTCCTCCAAAAAAGGAAAAAATAAAAATGTGATCTTCATCAAAAATATTATTGGGAAAACACCCTAGAAATAATTATAGATGAGAGAAAACAATACAAAATTAGCTCGATATTGATTTAGGCATTTTTGAAGGCAACACAAAAAAACGAAAACGGCTTGAAGAAAAAGGAAGAAAAAACAAGAAGCAGTGAAAGAAGACACTATGTTGCTAGACAAGAACAAATTTGTTTTTTTTTTGCTGCGCTGCATTTTCACCCAACATGACGGCCGCTCCTTTTTGGAGCACATTGTGTGAAAAAAGAATTGGCGCAGCGTTTTTTTTTTTCGGAAGGCGAAAAAAAAGATAACCAAATTTTCATGGAAGGCAAGATTTTTTGTAGAAAGAGTGTTTTGTTGTTTGACTTTTCATGGAGAAATGCATAGTCAAATCAGAAAATAGGACTTTTCTTCAGAACTTTGTTTTCTAAATTAGGGTTTCCACAAAAAACATTTTCAATAACACATGTATTTTTATTATTATCGCCTGAAAATTTAAAACGTTAGTTATTGATAATATTTTTTTTAATTCAAATTTTCAATCTTTTATCCCAGAAACAAGAATCAATGATTGAAATTATCATCAGGCAAAGGTCGAACACAATATGCATAATCCAGTAGTTCTCCTAAATCAAATCCAGAATAAAATTGCAATTCCTTCTCTCGCAAACGTGTGAAATCATATATATCATTAGCTGAAACGCTAATTATTTTTGATTAAAAAAATATACATAAAAACATACAATCTGCCCAACAATTTCGAATAGCTTGGCTCTTTGTCAAAGCGGAACGAAATAACAATGTGATTTCCTAAAGGAAAAATGTGTTTTGTTTCCTTACAACTAAATTGTTAATAAAACCTTATCAGTGAAAATGAATGTGTCATTTGGATGATAATACAATAGTGCCAAAGTTTTGAAATCAAGAATTTTGAATCGTAAACCATCCCCAATAAAAGTTACAATTTCACAAGCTTTCGGTTCCATTAATAATCGAAATATGAAAGACCACAAATATTCAAATGCTGAATTTTGATCTAGTTAGGCTGACTTTATTCAATGAAAACTCACAATTGCGTCGCAAGCAAAATACTTCATCGTAAAAATTATCCCAATATTTCAACATATTTGAATTTTCAATAAAAATAGAAAAAATAGAAATAAAAATTAGAAACAAGAAAAAAACATATTTTTCTTGAATCATCAAGTTTCTGTTTGTTCTATAGCTTTGTGTTTTGTTTTGCATTGTTTTTTGTTGCTATTTCGGCGATGGCATAAAATTATTTTTGAACTTTTATGACAATGAAAAACAAAAAATAAATAAATAGAAAATACCAGAAACAAATTATGAGTCGTCAGTTGATTCCAAATCCACATAATTTCTACCAACTTCTTGAGCATAAATTAAAATCTCATCGATTGTTTTGTTCGTATATTTTTGCAAATCCTCATAAGCATGTTCAGTAAAAACATAGGAATAGATTTTTGTTCCCTTTTTCAGTTTTCCAACTTTTATCACAGCTCCATTCACCGGATCTCGTTTTTCATATTTTTCTCTGATCGCTCTTGATAGTTTTAAATAATCCATTTCCTGAAAAAAAAATTAGATGGAAGTGATAAAATATTTGAAAAATGTACCATTGTATTATGTTTTCGATTTCCCCACATTTTTGCGACTAATTCTCGTTTTTTCAAGATAAATTCTAAACCATTTCCTGTCCAAGTTAATACTCGATGAGCTTTTTCATTCATCGCTATTGTCCCAAGAAATCCAATCAAACGGGATGGTCCTCGCACTGAAAATTGTTTTTTCATGATTAGGAACTGAAAAAAAGTGGAAGGTCTTTATTTTTGGGAAAAAATCAGATCCTTTGAATAAACTATAGTTGTTTAGAAGACCACATGAGTAACCAATTCCCATTAAAACTATACTTCTTATCAATTTTCAAATTATTATTTCAACATTGAACTTACTTTTTACTAATTCCTCATCGGTATACCCCAGTGGTGCTTGTTGTAAAGATTGAGCTGAAAATTCCCGATTTTTCTGAACTAACATTCAGTTTGTCAAAACTCACTTGCTAACGCGTTAATTAAACTTGGACTTGGTAGTGTAGGTGTTAACAATGGGTGAAAAAGTACAGGACGCGGTGAAAATAACTGGGGATTGACAGGAACAGCAAATGGAAATGCAAATGGTTTATTTTGAAATGATTGGTTATTTATAAATTGTTCGACTTGTTGATTCTGAAATTTTTAGTGAATGAAATCATCAATTTCAAAATAAAAACAATACCCTGAAATTTAGAGTCAGTGAACCTTTTTCAATTTTCCGATTTTTTCTATCATCGATCCGAAAATCTATATTTGGACGTTTGCGAATTGGAACTGTCATCTGAAAAAAAACTATACAGTGAGTGAAAAAGTGAAAAAAATGAAATAGGGAACTGATTTTTTTTATCAGATGAAAGTATTTATTTTTATTCAGTTTGATATAAATAACTCACTTTGTCTACATCGTTAGAAGTGGAAACTAATAATTGAGTACATTGATCAAAAATGTCATTTGTATTTTGCATTTTTCCAAGAAATTATTTTTAAAATTTGACTAATTTCCCAAAGGTCTGAAAAGAAATTACTTGAAAAATATATTGATTGGAAAAAAATTTGGCGAAAAAAAAAAGATGGCAACAGAAAACTGTTCCGTTATCAATATGAGCCTGAATGTATGTATGCATGAATGAATGAAGAGAGGATTTATCAGTGGGAAAAAATTTACAAATCGATGAGAAATAGATAACAATAATGATGTTTTATTGAAAGAATATTCGAGACTTTTGACTATATAGACGGTGTTATTCAGGAAAAATAGTGGCTACAAATTGATTTCAGTTTCTATGAATTAAAAGTACTTTTTTAGAACAGATTATGATTTTTGAAAAATTCAGATAGCAGAACATTTGGAAAATAAAAAAAAGTATGAGCGATCAGTTTTTCAAATTTTGAGGAATCGTGGATTCTTTCTGCGTTTAGTTGGTGTCTTTTACTCGATCCTTGTTTGATTCGAATCAGGGCCTGAAATATTCGAATAATTTTTAATTTTTTAATTTTTTAATTTTCAAAAAATGTATGTTACTGAAAGCGGATTTTAAAATTAAAATAAATCTTCGTATGACTAATATCATAAGTATTTGTGCTATTTTGAAAACTTAACAGAAATACGCGTGATTTCCGCGTGATCTACCGCCCAGCGAAAATTAATAAACGTATTCAAAATTTTGAAAACACAAATGAGAAACCAGTAATTTTCTAGTCTACCTTTTTTCATTTCAGCTTTGGTTTTATTATTGAAACATTATTCAAATAAAATACATACTTGAATTATCAAAATCCATTTCAGCTTTGGATTTTGATAATTCAAGTATGTATTTTATTTGAATAATGTTTCAATAATGACCAAAGCTTTATTTTAATTTTTATTCACAATGATTTTCATGTCTGTGGTTTTAAAAATCTTCTTTGTTTTCATACCCTCAACGGTTTTTACTCCGCGAATGTTTGTTTCTTCCTCAAAAAATAGAAAAAAGTTTATCACCTTCTCATTTTACGGACATTTTGCGTACAACTGTTTAAAAAAACAACAAAGGGTTTTCATTTCAACATGTTCAACTCATCATCTAAACATCAGCTGACAAATTTCAACAGCAAAAAAATTGGAGATGAAAAAGATTGGCGAAGCAAAGCCAGTTGTTCATTCGGAATCTTTTTTTGACACACTCGCCTCTGGTATCCTTGGGTTTTATACATTTTTTGAAACGTCTGCAAAATGTATACACATAATGTGGCAGATGGTTTCGATATGGTCAGTTTTTTTTAAATAAAACGTTGCTCGGAGATTATCTGTAATATATTTTGAAACGATTCAGAAAAATAAGAAAACGTATACCTGTAAATATTGGGATCCTTGAAAATTTTGCAAGTCAAGAGAGCTGAAACATTCAAATTTATATTTCATGACCTGAAACTGGAACAATGCTTTTTTCAGGGCTCCGCGGAGAGTTCAATATCTTCGCTCAATGAAATTCCGATGGAAATGGACTTGACTGCTTCTGGACCACCTTTATCAGACGATGAAACGGAAATGGAAACCAGAGAGCGAAAATATATTACAGTAGGTTCATTGTTTTCTGAAATATTTCAAAAACTCTTTATATTTTCAGTATGCTAAACGTATTTTGCCGCATGTCGGATTAGTTTTACTTCTGTTTGTATATCTGTTTGTTGGAGCTACTATTTTTCATGCAATAGAAGGGCCAAATGAGCTTTTGGTATGTTTGAAAATCAAACAATTTTAGGGAAACAGTATTGTCATGTTATAGGCAAGAGAAGCGGAATTGACAAAGATTTTTGGATTACGAGATGAATTTCAAGATCATATTTGGAATATAACTCAAGATGTTGATAATCGTATATCTAGAGAAGCTTTCAATTCAATCAATCAAGAATATTATGAACAACTGGTTAAAAGTATTTGGATATCATATCGAAATCAGTATATTAATGAACACCATTTGCTAAACAATACAGCAAAAGCAGGGTTGTTATGGACATATCCGAACTCAATGTTCTTTGCGGCCACTGTTATTACTACAATTGGTTTGATTAATGAAACACTTGCTAATAATAATACATATTATTTTATCAGGTTACGGTAATTTGGTGCCGACAACAACATCTGGTAGAGTTGCATGTATTATTTTTGCACTTTTCGGTATTCCACTTTTACTTGTGACGATTGCTGATATCGGAAAATTTCTCTCCGAATTTCTTAGTTTTCTTTATCGATCTTATAGAGCATTCAAGAGAAAAGTGAGTTTGAAATGATGTTATTGTTATGATATATGTAGACTACGATTTTATTTATTTAAATATACAAAATAATAAATAAAGTTCAGTTAATAGCAAGACGACGAAGTAGTGTTGCCCACGCGGTAAATTATTTGAATGCCATTTTTTGAATACTAACTGCTTTTTTAAAATTTGCGATTTTTCTCATTCACGCAAAGCAGCACACACCACACACTAATTTTTGACAAGGGAAATTTTAATTTTTTTTGAATTATGAAGTCTCAAGAAATCGAAATCAATCAACAATTTTATATGAAACCGAAAAATTAAAATTTCCTTTGTTAACCAATCTTATTACTAATATCGAACAAATATTCAGCTTCGAAGACAATCAAGAAAAATTGCGACTCAATATAGATCACATTCTCAATCAAGGTCTAGCAGTGTTATGGGGTCCTCAAAGGTGAAACACATTAGTGATTGTGAAAACTTTGTTTTAAATTCTGCTTTTTGATTTAGGCTGGCTCTTTGAATTTACATGATATGGATACAGAATCTGAAGATTCAATAGAAGACGAACTTCGAATTCCAGTTTTCATGGTTTTGTTTGTCTTATTAGCTTATACTGCAATTGGTGGATTTTTATTTCAAGTAAGACAAAGAAACAATGAATTTTATGTATGTATTTCACAAACAAACATTTTTTCTAGTCTTGGGAAGGATTGCCGTATTTTGAAGCATTTTATTTTTGTTTTATTACAATGGCAACTGTTGGATTTGGTGATATTGTTCCTACTGAACAAGTCTATATGTTTTTCACCATGGCTTATATTATATTTGGTTTATCTTTAGCGACAATGTGTATTGATTTGGCTGGTACAGAATATATTCGGAAAATTCACTATCTTGGAAGTAAAATGGAAGATGCCAAAGGAGCAGTGATGACGTAAGGGATTTTGCAAAAATGGACCGTGAACATCTTGAAAACCCCCAATTTTTTAAAAATTTCAGAGGATTACAAGTCGGAGAGCATATTTTGAAACACACAGGAATTGAAGTTATCAAAACTGCCGGTGGAAAACTTGTACAAGTTCGAGGAGCAGTTCTAAACTCGAAGCAAGCAAGAGAACTTGGAGTTGAATATATTCTTGCTGATCTACAATATCATCACAAAAATATCCTTTATGAGCCATTGAGTCCGAATGTAGCAAAACTGGTCAAAGAGCAGAATATCAAAATTCTTCCTGATGATATTACCGAAAAAGATGGATATATTGTGCAAAATAAAAGTTATGATCGACCTTCGGAAGGAGATAGAGGATTTGTTAGGATTAATGGAAATATTATTCGAAGGATAATGGTGCCATCAAAAGGAAATCAATCGATAATAGTGCCATGTCTTGTATTAAAAGAAACCGATATCTAGAATTTTTCAATACATATAATTAATGTTTTATCCGGGTTAAAAACAACAAAAACAAATAAATCATTTTAAACTATCTAGACTTTCAGTGTAAATTATTGAATCTGTTGGAGAAGCATATGTTGGTCTGAAAATTTGAGTTTTTTTTGTTTAAAAAGATCTTAAGATACTGTTGTGATAATTGAACAGCAGTTATTAGTTCTTCAACAATCCATGTGTCAATATGGAGACAATTAATATGAGTCATCGATTTGGATCTGAAAATTTTCTAGAAAATATTCGTTGTCTGAAGGTTTTGTTTTTGTGTAATACCGTTGAAAGGAGCATTTGCATTTTGCAACAATCACAATTTGCGCCAACCTGTCCAAAAGTTCTGCAGACGTTGTAGACATTTGTGCTGAAAGGATTCCAATCTCAAAAATAAGAAATTTCATTGATCCATCAATAATACGAGAAGAAACATACTTCCACAAACACAAAGACGAAAAAGAAAAGAACATTGACCAACAATATCAAGATTGCATGGTAAAACATTGATGGGTTGAAACAAAAAGAGCATTGGTATGCATTTTGAATGTGATATACACAACACACACACACACAACTTTTCTCATATTCATTCGCAATTTTTTCTGAAAAGAAGAAACACAAACTTTTGTATTGTTTTTCTTTCAAGCAAATAATATTTTTTTAGAATGGAAATACAAAATCCTTTTCAAATTGCATGGGATAAAAATGCGTCCCAATCATTTCCAGAATATTTTTTTGCAAAAATTCCAAATCATGGAAGCAATTTGGCGATTGTGAGTTTCATTTAACTTTCTAATTTTCTAATTAAATCTCATAATAACATATTTTCCAGGTTGATGTGGATACTGGAAAACAGTGGAGATATTCAGAATTACGAAACTGGTGTGAAATGTGTACGAATCGTTTGAAAGAATTACAAGTTACAACAAATAGCCGAGTAGCGATTATTACTGGAACTACTGGTCAATCAATTTTTGTACATCTTGCTTGTTCAATTATTGGTTGTAGTGCGGTAGCAGTAAATGGTTGGAGTAATGTTGATGAAATTTGGACATTGGTTGATTTGTCCGAATCAACACATCTTATAGTGGAATCACAATTCATGCAGAAGGTAATTACTTTTAACATTATCCAGAAAAAAAAATGAATAAATTCTTATAGGCTGATGATGTTCGCAGAAAAGCGCAGATGAGAGGAGGTGGAAGAATCAAACATGTCAGACTTATCGAAGATGTTTTAACTTCAGAGAGAATTAATGTAGATGGAAATAGAAAACGATCAATTGATGTCAAACAAAAGTCAGTTCAAAGATCTTGAAAACATTGCATTTTATTAAATTCTGTTACAGACCTCCACTTGTTAAAGAATTGTCCTCTGCAAAAATGTGAGTGTGATATTTAAAAGAAATTGTGGGATTTTTAAAGCGAATATTTTTAATGGATTTCATAACTGTTTTTTTTAAATTTCAAAAACAAAAAAATCGTCGATTCAATAATATTAAAATATTTCAAAATTAAAACTAGCACATTACATAGAACATCATGAAATATCATAATAATGTCAAGAAATCTATTTATTATGTTCAAAATCACTGCTTACCTACAGTTCAAAATATATTCATGTTTAGAAATGTCGCATCTACACTACCCGAAGATGTATCTGAGCTAGTCTCTCCAATTTCGGAAATGTCAGTTGGAACAAAAGATTTAAATGGAGATGCAGATGGTAATTCGCAAGATCAAGATGAAGCTCAAACACCAATTCAACCACCAACTGGAACAAATCCATTTTTAATTTTATTCACAAGTGGAACAACTGGTCTCTCAAAAGCCGCTGAATTATCACACCGTTCACTAATAATCAATATTCAACAAATAAGCGTCTCACTGTTTGGGCCAGTTCAAGCAAAAGAGAAATTCTTACTTCCACTTTCTACTGCACATATTTTTGGCGTTATTTCTGCTTATTATGCGCTTATCAATGGCGCAACTTTGTATCTTTTGTCAAAACAATCAAATCGATTGTTTATGGAAACTCTTGTTAATAATCAAGTAAGTTTCATTTCGAAGTTAGACAATTCGTTAGATTTGAACAATAATTTTAATAGATAAATGTAATGCACATCACTCCGGCAATTGTTCATTGGCTGGCTACAGATCCAATTGTTGAAGAATATCGAGCTCCACAACTTCGTAGTGTTTTATGTGCCGGAGCCCCAATTGATTCAAATTTAGCAAATATTGTGAAACAGAAACTTGCAATCAAAGACTTCCGACAATGTAAGTCAAGAAGCACAAAAACCAAATAAATTATAATTGTTTTCCAGGTTTTGGAATGACCGAACTTGGTGGAATTTGCACAATGAGCCCATACCTTGATGATAAAATTGAATCGGTTGGAAATCCACTTCCTGGTATGCTTTTCAAAGTGGTAAACTGGGAGACTAAACAATTATGCGCTCCAAGACAACCGGGGCAAATTGTGGTTCTTGGCCCGCAAGTTATGCCAAGTTATTATAAAAATCCAAAGTCTACTTCAGAATTGCTAGATGCTTCTGGTTTTGTTAGAACAGGTATTTGAAAAAAAAATCAATAAAAAAAGGAAAAATTAATTTAGGAGATGCTGGTTTTTATGATGAAGTTGGACGAATTTATGTGCTAGATAGAATAAAAGATATTATTAAATGTAAAGGAACATTGGTGAGTGTTTTCTTTTTCTTTTGAAAATAATATGTTTTAATTTTGTAGATTTGCCCTTCGGAAGTTGAATTGATATTGCGTGCACATCCAGGTATCGATGATTGTGCAGTAGTTGGAAGACAAGATCATGTGACCGGCGAGGTCCCGGCTGCATTCGTAGTTAAAAATTCGAATAGTCCTCTTCTTGCTTCGGCTGAAGTTCGTCAATATGTATCGGGAAAAATTGCTAGTTTCAAAGAGCTTCGTGGTGGTGTCTTCTTTATTTCGGAAATTCCAAGAAGTATTTGCGGAAAAATTTCGAGAAAAAATTTGCGGCAATTCTGGGATCGTGAACGAACTAATTCCAAGGTTCTCAATTATTTCCAAGAGAAAAATCAAACAAGTTTATTTTAGGTTGACAACTTGACGAAAGACACGAAAAGTGCAGCGGCGGCTTCAAAAGCAACACCAGTCAAAAAAGTGAATGGCAACGCAGCTGGTAACCGTCGTCCGCCATCAGCTGGTAGACCACCCAAAAAATGATCCATTCATAAATACATAAGCACACTAATTGCTTTTATTAGGAACTGTTCCATTTTCAATGCTATTTGCTTTTTGTCTTTATTCATTTGAAATAAAAATTTATCTATTTACGTTTCACCTGAAACAAAACCTGACAAAAAGAAAAACAAAAACAAACAGTATAAAGATATGAAAAATCACAGAAAAATATATACATTTTATACAACTTGTACTTTGTTTATGAAGAGCTAGATGTGGAGCTGGCTGGTCGACGACGTTTTGGCACAATTATTTTTTCCTGGAAAAAAAATCTATGCATAGAAAAGAAGATTTTCGTTGTTATCTCACATGACTCCTCATCAATTACAAATGCATTCTTCTCATTAGCAATGAATGCTAGATTATCTTATGTTTTTATTGTGTGAAAACGACAGGTTTTTATTTCATCTTCCAATTTTTCGCGCATCTTTTTTTTAATTAAATTTCATTTTCAAAATTTCCAAAAAATGAAATCAAAAAGAAACAGGTCCTGGCCGGGATCGAACCGGCGGCCTTCTGCGTGTAAAGCAGACGTGATAACCACTACACCACAGGACCACATGTCTACTAGAGAAGGAAAATGTTTACATATGAACAGCGAATGTTAGAGAGGCAGAGTTTGTTTTCTTCTTTCTTTCCTAGCAGAACAGAAAAAATAAATATTTTTTTTTCTTGGCTGCCCGAACGAACGAACGAAGGAACGGACGGAAAACGCAGGTGGAATATACATAATTGTGGCTTTGGAAATAAAGAACAAAGGCAGGTCAAATAACCATATTTGGGTGTTTATTTGTTCAGATTATTGGTGTCAATTACCTGAATCATAAAACCATCTCCATCTTCGATACGGAAATAGTTTAATTGCATATTATAAGTACTGGAAGAAAAATCCTCGCATCGTCCGTCTAATCGGAAAAGAAATAGTTTCATCCGTGTATACTTGACATGCACGATTGGCTCGAGAAATCTAGAAAACAAAGTTAATTTAATATTCGGATGAAAAAGTAAAAAAAGAGTAAAAGAGGATGAAAGAAGAAGATAGACTTTACTTTTTTCTTTCACTCATGAAACTAATAAAAGTGTGAATATGCAGATTTCATTTGGAGATAGTGTCGAAAATCTTGGGAAAAAATGTATTTAATGAGGTTGAGAAAAAAGGTGAAAATGAAATCTTTGAATTATGAAAAAAATAATAAGGATTGTTTTTCTGATCTGTGGGTTAAAAACTATTCGAGATAAAACCCAGGCCGGTTAAGAATATCAAGTGTAACCATTAAACTCACTTCATAAAATCTAAAACCGTTCGATTCAGGCTGATAGACATTTCTTGATTCACATTTTTTTCCTCGCACATAATTTTCACAATTGCCGAGTTTACGGGTGTCAAATCGATATTAACCAATTTCTCAAGTTGGCCATGTTTATCAACAAGACTTTGATACTGTATCGGTTTGTCTTTTTGCTCCTTAAACAAAGCAAAACATAACATAGATAAGTAGGGTAGTAGTCAATATTTACCTGATAATAACGTATGAAGAATCGTTCAGATTGCTCTCTTTGCTCGGCTGTTATTTTTGAGCCATTGAGCACTTGTAAATGATGAACACGTCCAATGATAAGATGTAAACGTTCTTCATCGGTCAATGAATCGAGTAATGGAATATTTGGAATACGTAGATCAATTATTGTTTTCATTTTGTTTAAATGATCTAACGAATCCCATGATTTTATCTCGGTCTGAAAGTAAATATTTGCCACTTTATTGTTTCAAAAATAAAATGTCTTACTTTTGCTAAATTTAAAAAATTCCATTTGTCTAATTCATCAACAAATTTACAATATTCAACATTTTCCAATGGATTTTCGCAAATAAAAACCGATTCAACATTTGGAAATCGTTTCACAATATTCATCACCGATGACCATTTTACAAATCCGCACCTGAAAAAATCCCAGTAGTGTTTTATGTTTGTATATGTTTGCAAGCTATGTAGCAGAAAATTATTTGACCATGTATAATTACATTTTCCGTTTCACTTTTCAATACGCGCTTCCGGCAGAATTTTTATTATTATTATTATTTTGACTTTTTCATTTCGGAAATATGTATACTTTTATGTAAAAAGCAAAACGAATCCGATACTTTTTTCCACATGTTATTATTTTTCAAATATGAAACCAAAAGAGAGGGGGAAAAAGAAAGAATCTGGAAGAATTGAAGGTCGTTCTTTAACCAAAAACCCAAAACAAAAAGAAAGAACCTTTGGCCTGTCATATGATTTTTTAGAAGAGAAATAAAAAAGTTCGATTCCCATCGTTTTTTTCTTTTTTTTTCTAAACACATTGGTGCCTCTATTTGTTCGAAGAAGAAAGAATCATACATATATATTATTTTTTTCAATTCCGGTTCTCAAACAAAATGAGAAAGAGAAAGATGACAAAAATATGTGAAGCGCAGGAATGAATCGCAAACATTTGGAAAAGGATGAAAAAGTTTATTTTTTGAAACTCACCTGTTGATATGAATTGTTTTGACAGATTTACTGATTATATCATCATTTTCGATTTCATCATTCTCATCAAATTGATTGTCTGATAGATGAAGCTCGATTATTTTTGGTAAACATGATAAAAAACGTTTCAATGTGGATAAAGGAAGATGTGTACCATTTAATATGATAGTGTGTAGTGTTGAGACTTGAGGTAACTCGTGATCAATCGAATGATTCAATGGATTGTGACCCAAATTTAATACTCGTAAATGTGGCAAATTTCGTAAAATACAAGCAACATCCGACCATTTTGAAATTTGATTCCAACCAAGGTCAGCCTCTACAACATGTGAGGCTAATGTAGCGAGCTTTTCAGAATCACCAATTGTCCCAATGTTCATATTATTTAGCACTAGAAGTTCTAGAGCTCGTTGAGAAGCCATTTTGCAAGGTGAACATCCTGTCTGCAATAAAAAAACGTTTTTTTTAATATTTTTATTAAGGGATTTCACTCACAAAGCCGGTAAAAATAATATCTTTGACAATCGAATCATCATCATCATCCAAATATTTTTGTTCCAAACTTCGCACTAAAGTACTGCAATCTTGTGCCATAATGGTCTTATTTTCGCTTATATTTATCTTGTGTGTGTTTTCAAGCAACCAGCCCAAAAAAACAACAACAAGAAAAGCAAGCACAGCAAAGACGTAGACCAGCCCACGGTATGATCAGCTGAGTGTCTTTAGTTTTTCTCTTCCCCGTCTCTCAAATGTCTCTCTCCCTTCCGCACTATTTCAACACTTCAGGTTGTTTGTGCGTCTGCGTCTTGTGATGTCTCGATTTTTCACACAACCTTTCAGATTCAGTTCCCGCCCACAAATTTTCGCTTGCTTTTTCTTCTTCACTTCACTTCAGAATAAATTTTTGAGAAACTAAAAAATAGGAGAAGTAGAAGAAGATAGAAAATGAAAAAAAAAAAAAGAAAAACGGCACTTCAAAACAAATTTGTGTATATGTGTGTATGTTTTGAAAATGAAATGAAATGTTGTAACAATCAGCTGAAGAAAGTTTTGATTTACGTGATGGAAAATGAAGAAATGTGTTGATCAAAAGTGAAATTGTGTGTTGTTTTGTTGTGATTTCAAATAAATCAATTAGTTGGACATTTTTTTAAAGAAAACATGGAGAGTTTCACAGAACGTCAGAGAAAACTTGCTATAGCATCGACGAAATCAACGCAAAACGGAGAGATTCGAAGATGAATATGTTTGATCCACTCCATAAAATTTTGAAAAATACGAGGTCTAGCGATTTGGGATAGGAAATCACAGACTGTCCAGCAGAAGCTTCTACTGTGGACCCACCCAATGAAAGCAAGGGAACAAATCGATATCGGCTTTATCTTTAAAAGGACTTATTTTTATATCTTACATAATTGAAAATTGGATCGTTTTACCCTACTTTTTCCAATGTTTTAAAAAATGTTTATAAAAATTTTGCGTTCGGATAGAAATATCATAAAATGAATTATTATTATTATTCCCATCATAAAACATAGTTTTACAATTACCGCAGTAATCCGACACCGGAAAAATTCAACAATTCAACATATTTCATCATCCATTTGAAAAAAAATTGTTTATTTCTCTTCTCAAAAATGATATGCATCGTCCCGTCCTGCAAACTGATTAGAAATGCATTGCTATAGCAAAAAAAAACATTTTTATACCAAAAAAACATTTCCCGGACAAAAAAGACTTTACAAAAAACAATCACAAATCATGGGGGGCAAATGAGAAAACAATAAATATTTCGGAGATGCCACTGGAATATTATTTGTCCATAAAAATGAGCATTGCATTGCAAAAACAGTAGACTAACCGTATTGCACTAAACATTTTGGAATTAATAAAAATTATAAAGGCTTTTTGACACACACACAAACATATAAATTATATGAATTAAGAAACAAATTGATTAAATGACGTCGCGAGCATTTTTTTGTACAAACCAAGTTATAGCATTTTGCTAACTTCAAGTTGTCGAGACTCAATTTCATCGGGATCTTCGAGTCCTCCAATTAATGTATCTGTCAATGTTGTTGGAATATTCTCTTCAATCCATTTCAAATCTTCCTTTATCATTTCATCTTGACGATCTTGCTCTTTTTCGGTTTCTCGAAGTCTTCGATATTCTGCTCCAGCTCCTGAAGTTCGAGCTGTCAAAATATCAAATCCAGGTTGGAATGCGTTGAATATTTCATCTGAATAAAAAAACATTGAAAACTTTGAAATTCATTTAAAGTTGTATACCTTGATCATTCTCGTCTTCACTATCATCCAACAATGGGGTAAATGCATATCGTTGATTATTCTGCGATGGTCTCCAAAGAATCACAATTACCACCAAAATGAAGCAGAACAACACATGCCAAAATGCGGTGTCAACCCAGCTAAAAATATAAATTTGATTGTTACTAGTAAAACAGAAGTTGAAAATCTCTTACAGTTCTTTCCAATCAACACGACATGTTGGGAAAATATGATAAATCATACTCCATAACATAAATATCACTGAAGCCACCACAGCAAATACCAAAGTGTTGGTGAAATGACGATAAACATTTAGTTTCACCTTAAAAAATGGGAATTTCTAGAATTGAAAATGTGAAAAAATATTGGTGTTTTAATTGAAATGGAAAACGATTGGAAATGAACCAAAAAAGAGAAAGCAACTTTCCCATTTATTACAGATTTTACAGTACATATTTTTCTCATTTGAAACTTCGCGAAACTTGTTCAGAAATTAATTGTTCATTCCATTTCTAAATCTACAATTATTTTTAAAGAATATAAAATTTTCGTTTTCTTCACCCATTTTGTTTCATTTTCCTTTTGAACGCAACAAAACTCACATCATTTCTTTTTAATCTCAACATTCGAATAGTGGCAGTAAGCGAAGTGAAAATCCAGTAGAAGATAACCATCTCAGTCAAAACCAAAGGTAGCGCAGCAAACTGTTTTTGTTTCGTCGCCTCCACAGTATTCTAAACAAAGACGTTCGTTTTCTCATTGTTCTCAAAATAAAAATACCTTGGAAACCCGTGCAATTCCTTCAATTGAACAGAAAATGAAATAAACCAATCCAACTCCAGCAACTTGATTCAATGTTTGACCTAATCGCGGTTTGACAACACCATAACCAACAGATACTATGATGACTAGAACTCTTGACATTGTTTTTTTGGCACATGATACAATTTCGGCTAACTCTAAAACACCGTCAATACTTGATCCTTCATCATTCATTGTAGCATATTCAGAAAGGAAAAATCCTTTTTCAATCATTCCAAGAACAATAACCGCACCAATCCAGTATTGAACTCGCAAAATATCGCGATAATATTTTATACAGTAGTAAACCCAGGTTAGCGCTAAAATCATGTAGAATATTCCCATAATTTTGTAGAACCTGTAAAAAGTTTCATTTTTGTGTTTTTCTGTGCTAATAATGTGTGCGGGGTTTGGTCGGAAGAATTTTGGACTTCCGTATGGAAATGATTACCCCGCAAAAAAAACGATAAAATGCTGTCGAACTCTGATTAATCGTTCAAATGCATTTTTCCGCGGAGTGACTCTCATTTCCATACGGCCAACAAACATAAAAACAAATCGATTTTTGAGAATTTTTTCAAAGGTATTCAATGAAGCTGATTTTCAATAAAACAATACCTCAAAAGTGGCCAATCAATTGCAGACAAATATCCATATGGGGCTTTCCATTGTACGGAAACAGTAACATTTGTGTTGGCTTCTGGATTACTTGGAAAAGCTTTGCCAACAATTTTGATGATCATGTAATAAATACCATCGAGGGGAATGGTTTGTGTTGAATGAAAAGATCTGAAAAGATGGATGTTGAAATATTCAATTCATAAAATCATAAACTTACGCCAAAACATCTCGTTTAACACGATCTACATGAACTGGAGTAACGTTTTTTATTTCCATAGGAATTTTAGCATTTGGAAAAATGAATCGTCCCTGTGAACTTTTGCATTTGATTGTTTGAATCGGTGATTTGTAATAAACAATTTGTGAATAATCGAAATCGTCAGGAATGTGGTTTTGATTCGTTTGATTGAAATAAAAGACAAGATTTTGACGACGACGCGATTCTGGAGTGTTGAAGAATTCTTTGTCGCAAGGAGATGAACGGAGAACATATTCAGCCTGAAAAAAAATATTTTTGAAAATGATTTTAGTGAATTCAATAAAAAATTTCAATTTTTGACGCGATTTCGCAATCTCTGAAAACAATGTGACTTGAAATTGAGAAAAAAATCAAATCTCAATGACAGAATTTAGTTGTAACCATCAAAACCAGGTATAATTTTTGCTTATCTCCATTTCTCAGGATTGCTACAACGTGGATTCTAAAGATGAAAAAATGATGCATAACACCAATTTTTCAGTTTTCTTCATATATTAGAATAAGTAACAAATTTTATTTAATCCGATATCATTGTTATACACACTCGCAGAAAAACCTACATCGAATTCCAAATCAACGTCCGGATCGCATGTGAATTCCAATTGAACTTCAGTACCGTTCAGCGCAGCTTGTGGAACACCAATCAATTGATACTAGAACAATTTTCAAGCGATTTTGATTCAAAAAACAGATGACAAGTTACCTTTCCAATCTGCAATTCGATCGTTTCTTTATAAATTCCAGGCATCAGAAGATTCGCATTTGTTTGATGAATTATCACCAAAAAGGCGAATATGGCTATCATACCTGTAAAAATATGTCTTATTATTGTATATGCATGAATAAATGAAGTGTTATTCTCACGCAACTTAGAAAATATCATGAAATAAAAAAACAAAAAATAAATCTATTAGACAACATATGAAACGTTTGCGGACAATACAAACAAAAGCGAACAAAAATGCACAGACACACATTTTATTTGACGACTATTTTGTTTGTCTCGTTATCTGTTCTCTCTCACTTTTTCCTGATCTTTTGTTTTTTGCGCTTCTTCAAATTATTGTTTTTTTAGTTTTTACTCTAAATTATGGAATTTTATACAAACAAGATTTATACGATAAAACAGAAAACTTAGATATTTCACGAAGTATGAGTAAAATAGAAAAATAACATAATACATAAAAACCTCGCGGTTTTTTCTCACGCTTGTTATGTATATATCATTTTGTAGCATTTTCTCTCATCATTCTGAATATGTCAATCATTTTTCATAAACAATCCAAAAATACAGTACGTTTTTCAACAATTTTCCGTCGAAAAAATCTACAAACATATGAAATGACGAGCAAATGCACATTTATCCAAGAATGTTACTTTCTCGTTATTAACTGATGATTTTGTGAAACAATTTACACCATTGTCTTTGTCTTGAAATGTTCTATCTTCTCATATGAATCTTTTTTTGTTAAAAATTAAAAATTTCAGAGAAAAACAAGAACAATTAAAAAACAAGAAAATAGTGGCATATTCTGAAGAGACGCAGAAAAAGCGAAAGATCCGAAAAATAGAGAGAACAGACAACGAGACAGTCAAATTTGTCGTCAAATAAAATGTTTTGATTGTGCATTTTTGTTCGTTTTTATTTATATTCTCAGGAAATTTTGGGCAACGATTTAGCAAGTTGCTGCCCTCTCGCAACTTGCTATCTCCTTGCTGCACTTTTAGCGACTCGCTCGATTCTTGCTGCATTTTTAGGTTGCAATTTGTGTCATGAATTTGGTCCAGCAAGTTGCGAAATTCTTGCTGGAACCATTTTTATTGAGATGGATAGTAGGCGGAGCATCTCTTTTGAAAGCATGCCAATAGGCAAAACTCATTTTTTGTCGGGCAGAAAATAATTATAAATTGGTCCCGAGGACATCTCCACAAGTTATTGAGGGGTATTTTTATTTCTATGGCATTACAATGCTACAGTACCACCAATAACTAAATTAATTTTGATCTCGACAAACTTTGTCTTTCATAATAAAAAAAGTATGAACCTCTAATTTTTTTTCTCGAAATTTGTTCGGCGACTTGCTGTTTTCTTGCCGTTTACGAAAAAAAAAATCTCGCTTGTTATAATAGGCGATTCCGCGGCAAACTAGTGTCCGAACCGCATGTTTTAGCAAGCAGAATCGCGTATTCGGTAAAGCAAAATTGCGAAAAATCTCCTGAGTTGTACGCAAAAATAATACTTTTTGTGTAGAATTTATAACAAGGAATTATAAACAACTGAATTGTTCAAGATTATCAGTAAAATTGATAACATAAAAGAACATTGAAATTGAAATTTATTGATGAAAAATGGCAAAAAATGTACAAAGACATTCATAACAAAAAACTGTTGAGAATTTTTGAGATGTTTTCATTTTATGATAAAACCCTGATATGGAAAATTGTGTTGATTCAATAGTTGAGTTGATAAATTACAATAAAAGTATCAAATAAACTGATGTCTGAAATTACAGATCATTTACCGGGCGAGGTGGTCTGAATTAATTAGACCACCCTGCGACCAGGTCGGCTGGCAAAATTCCGGAATATGTGGTTGTGCGTGTCAATTTCAGATGAGCAGTTGGTCTCATTTAGTGCCAGCGAATCTTTGAGTTGGAGTTCAATTTTGTTTGTATTGTACGTAAAAGTATGTTGAATGGATTTTCTTGGAAATTCCTAAAACCCAACTGACAAGACTGTTCGAGAAGTATCTCAAAACAGTATAGATTGGAAACAAATAGAAAATAAATAAATTTATTAGTTAAAAAATAAATTCATTATTATACGATTCCAGTGATTATTTTGTCATGAGACAGATTTCCAAATAACATAAATTAAAAATATATATCAATGTTCATCCCAAATCAAGGTTCACTTCTTGAGGTTCCACGTGTCATTTGAGTTGTGCCATGTCTTCCAAGACTCATTGAAGCTTCATCAAGTTTGAGCGAGCTTAAATATTTGTATTAGTGATTGAATAATTAGAATTTTTGTCATACAACCTTCTGATGAACATTTTAATGTCATAAATCAATTGTTTTCGTAGAACAGATGATGTGATCAAGAGAACCCAAGGAAAATGTGAATACATCAGATCGTTCAGAGGGTACCTAATAAAGTGTGAAACTTGGAAACTTGAATTTTTTTCAAAACTCTTACGAAAGGTCATAAATTGTGAATATGTTAGTAACAGCAAGCCATGATGTAATTACTTTTGATATTTGTATTGAAGTGTTGAGCATTAAAACAAAGAACGATAAAACAGCTGAAATCAAGAGGCCTTTTTCAGCGCTCGATTGTGAGGTCGATTTTTTGAAAACTTGGACTGTCGATGTTTTTTTCAAGTTTTTTCGAAGCAAACCACAAGTGAATAGATAACAAAGAATGCAAAAAATACATGTAAATGTGGAACAAAAACCATCGATATAAGCAATTATCTAAATTTTCAAGTTAATTTTAAAAATTAAACGCAGTTTTAACCTACCAATGTTGAAACTTCATCATTATTCAGTCTAATAGAGGTAGCAGAAACAACAAAATAAAACGTGAAGCTTGGTAGTCCGTGACTAGGAATAACGGCGAAAATGGGAAAAATCCACTGAACAAGTTTGACACGAAAATGTACCTTTGAAGACCATACGGCATAACTTTCTCTTTTCATTGAAGTTACATTTAAAGCTATTAAAAGTCGATTTAGACCAAATAACATATATCCAATGTATACAACTATCTTAAATACTTCTTTTGATTTGAAATATTTTTATATACATATGAAATAACTCACTTTTATATAATAGTGAATAGCTGACAAAGTCCGAGGAATAATTCCATACAAATAATCATTTATTTCAAACAATGTGTATAAGTCAGAATATTTTCGAAATCTCATAGAAATTGAAAATTCAATGAAGAAAATGAGATCAGCATAAAACTGAAATTTGAACAAAAATAGTCTGGTATCATTCATTCAAAGAAAAAATTACCTGATAAATAACAAGCCGAAAAAATGTTCCACCAAGCATAGCATCAGTTTTATGTTTCATGAGTGTTATGATGATTAAAGAATATAAAAAAATAGACACAAATCCGAAAAGAAAAAGCAACCATTGTTCAAAAGGCATGAAACACTTTGCTCTGTAAATTCTCTCTCAATTTTTATTTATTTATTTCTCGCGCAAAACACAATTATAAAAGAGCAAGAAAGCTTCAAACTACGGTAGTTCAAATTCATTTTTTATCAATAAGTGTTTTATAAGCTTTTTTCTCCGTGGAGATTTGATTACAAATTGTTGGTTTTTTCTGAACCCGGGATAAATTTGTTTATCTCACTTTTAGAAAGGAAATACACCTGGGAAAACTGAAAAAAAACATCTGCAGATTCACATAGTTCGTGACAAATTTTTTTCAGGCAAAGAAGAAAACACAAATTTCTCACGAAGTTTTGATCAACATACAGTAGTTTATCGAAAATCTGTGTAATTATGTGACATTTCATATGGGAAAAAAGTTTATGAAAATTATAGAGTTCAATTTTCGAAAAAAAATTTGAATGATGATAAAAGATATTTTAGGAAAAGTTGATTTGTCAAAAAATCACCTGGGATTTGATATTTTTTGGAATCAGAATACTTTGAGCACGGAGGTGGAAAACCATTAAAAATAGGAAAACAAATATTCATGATTCAGAATTTTCAAAAGAGTTCATACATGATCTTTGAAATCAAGAAACCAGGACATTTTATGAATATTCCCAAATAATTTTCAAAACATGAACAGCTATCTGGTTTTCTGTTTTTTCTACCCATCTTTATAATTCCCTTTCTGCCTTATTGTCAGCTCTGCAAATCTAATCTTCAACCTAACAATTTGCACAACACCCAATTTTTTGTAAATTTATTCACCTTAATCAATTTGCATCTAAATAAACCAATAATTAGTATTCTTTTCAGAAAACCCATGACTAATCAGATCTCAAGATGTTTAAAGCTTTGCCTAATTTCTGTGATTGTCATTTGATTGATGCTCGCATTGTTGTCATTCGTGTCATGGGTGAGGTTGTTGGTCCAACACGAATGATATTTACAGATGCGTCATCCAGCTTGAGAGTTCTGAATATAAACTCATCACACCAGTTAACTTGATAAACTCACGTTCTTAAAAATTGTTTGATATCATACGTCAAATGTTTTCTCATAACAGATGACGTTGATAATAATGCCCATGGGAAATGTGAATACATTAGATCAATCATCGGATATCTGGAAAACAGTATCTTTTTTTCGAAAATATGGTTAAACGTTTTTACTCACGATAAATCTTGGATAAACAAAAGATCTTGCATTCCACCCCAAGAATTAACAATTGTTACCACTTGAACAACAGTATTCAGAGTTAGGACAATGAAGGATAAAATGGCAGATATTAACAAACTTCGTTCTGCAGATGCTTGTGCCAATGTTTTCTTTAAAGCCTAAAGTTAATACTCGTGATAAAATCTATCATGCAACAAACAGTGTTCTAATTTCTAGTCTTTCTACAAAAATCTAGTGTTCATTACATTAAAAAGAACAAAAACCAATCACATAAAATGTGTAATAACATAACCCATTTGCAAAAAAATGTACAAATCGTGTTTTACTCACGGAATCAGTATTGACACGCTTCCAATTTTTTCGAATCAGAATACATGTGACCAAATAACAGATCATACAATAAATGCATGTTGAAAGACACCAGATTCCATCAACATAGGCGACGAGAGCTGTTGATTCTTCGTCGTTGGCTAGTCGGATACTTGAAGATGTTACAATAAACCAGTATTCAAAATATGGCCAAGCATGGGTTGGTAAAACGAAAAATATTGGGAGAATCCATTTGATCAATACTATTTTTTTCATCAGAGATGGTGTCCATAACTGAAATATCAAATTGTTTAGATGAGTTGTCGTTAATAGTTTCAGTTTGCGGATTTTGGAATTACAAAAACTAGATAAAATTGTTCAAACCAAGCTTCGCTGAAATTTTGTGAAAAATCAAAAAATTGTCTTGAATAATAATTTTCGACTTAAGATTAGATAAAAAACAAGTGATCTAATTTTGAACTCATGTCAGGAAAATTTGAAAATATTCCTAACAAATCCGCAAACTTGTTTGTTCTATTCCTATTTAGACAAAAGAAGTCATCTAAATCTATTCACAATTGTGAAAATCTAACTACAAAGAAAGTGTTGAAAAAATGGAACCAAAAAATGAAAACAAAACGCATACAGAAATATTCACACTGTTATAGGCTGAAATATTAATAGCGGATGACAATCGATTTGTTGCAAATAGTAAATATCCAATATATACAACGATCTGAACATTTTAAAATTTGAAACGACATAAACATCACGGGCATTTGAGTATCGGTCAAACAAACCGCTTGTGCACCCGTTTTTGTGTACCTTGATATAATAATGAAACCCAGATACACATCTTGGAACAATTCCAACTAGTTTTTCATTTGGCTCAAATAAATAATTGATTCCACCGTATTTTCGTAACCGCATGAAAATTGTGAATTCGATGAAAAATGCAACTTCCGAATAGTACTGTAGAAAAAACAGGTTAAAAAAACAGAAAAGAAAAAAAGAATATCACCTGCATTCGAACAATTTGAAAAAATGAACCACCCAGTAGAGAGCTTGATTTTTGTCGATTTATTGTTAGCACTATAAGTGTGTAGATCAAGAATGAGATCAATCCAAATAAAAACAGAACCCATTGCAAAAAATGGCATAACAATTACGTATAATCAAAAAACAGATCGCCTGAAAATAATAAATCAGGAAAAATGAGAAGTTGTTTTTTTGGGAAAGGGAGAAATGAGGAAATGGGATATTATTTGGTATAAAGTGCAAAGTTTGATAATCGAATTGATTAAATGAAGTTGTTCGATTTTTTAATGGTAAGAAATTAAAAATAAGAATTCTTTGAGTTCTTGAAGCAAGAGCCGAGAAAACTAATTGTATGTTTTTCACGTTCCAAGAAGGGAACATAATGAAGAATGATCTCACAATAAAAGCATTAAGATCAATTCATCAGAAATTGGGTAAAAAGGAACTATTGTGAGTGACTAGCTATACAGTAATTCGAAAACAGCGAACCATTTGGAAATATGTTTTGATAAGGTAAGAGTGAGCAGTCCCCAAAAGTTTCAAATGAGAAATTTATCAATACTATGAGGTACGTACTATGAGAGAGAAGATCTTGATTTTTTTTCGTTTTTGTTAGAAGCCTCTCCTGAAGAAGTTCCAACAAATGAGCCCAGAAACGGTAAAAAAATTCATATAGTTTTTGAAGCTGAAGGTTTTTCGAAAGATTCTACATTTTTTCTCACATTCAGAAAATGGGTCCCGATCATGGATTAGGATTATATATGGATTATTTAGGTTATCAGAAAATTTCATTTTAGTATAACGATATCGGGGCAAATTATTTCCAACTACACTATCTCATTCACACAAACTCCTTCTATAATTGCAGTTTCAAGTAAATTAATTTTCCTGAAATTAACATTCAGTGAATCTCACTTCAAAAGTAAAATACATCTGATTACAAAACTCGAGTTGAATTGTTTCTATGATTAAAACTAGAAAACTGAATTGCCCACATTTGTATTAATGCAGAACTACCAACCTAACAATTTTCAAAGAAAAACAAAAATGAGCATTTTTCTCCGCTAAACCTATAATATAAAACCAAATGGAGATGTGGACTTTTGATTTTCGGACTCATAGAACATGTAGCGTGAAAATAAACACATTACATATTTTATCTCGTTTGCGCAAAAAAACCTCGATAAATATTTTTGCATTGGTTGATAGAAAAAGGAAATAAATTCATTTATCTTTTCCAAAAAAATCCAATAATAATACCGAAAAAACAGATTTTCTAGGTAATTGGTTCGATTCCCAAACGACGCCATTTTATCCATCCGAGACGAGCTAGTAAATCTGAAAAACAAAAATTTGGTTGGTATTTTGAACAATTTGAAAAACCAACCACTTGTACTCCACGATGGTGCTCCTGGATTTCCAGATCTTGCCAAGTTGATACATTTTCGAAGATACATTTCTGGATCTTCTCCGGTTCTGAAAAATGAAATTTGTGTTGAAATATTTTCTGAGCATCTAACAAACCTCAAAACATCATTCAACATATTAATATAAGCAATCGCCAAATTTAATGTATCTATTTTTGAAAGTCGTTTTTCATATGGAAATGTTGGAATGAAATTTCGCAATTCCTACAAAGTTAGATTTTTTCTGATTAAATAAATAATAATTTAACTTACTATAAACGCCACATTTATGCTGCACATATTTGTGAGAATGAATTAAAAATGGGGGAGAAAATATATAATGAAAACAATTTGAAGTGTCAATTGCACAAATGTATTCGCATCGATGAATTTTTTCTAATTTGTTTTTGGCGGCTTTTTATATTAGTTAAGTGGGATAAAAGTGATCCTACTTATAACGGAACTAAAAATCGACAACAAATGAAAAAAAGTTTTTTTCTATAAAAAAAAATCGTTGAAATTTTTAAATTTGAAAATCATGTTTTTCAGTAGTTTGCAGAACAAATCCTCACATCTTCTCCTACAGAACAGAATCACCGAATAATGTTCAATCCATCGCAGTTCGGTATAGAAATTACGTTATTCATCATCATTTATTTCTTATTTTCCGTGTAATTTGATTTTTCTTAAGATGTAATTATGTATATAATTGTTACCGGGTAAAAGCTAAAGTTAAAATGATCTCAATTATCTATCTCTAATAATCATGATAAAAAGTACAAATAAGAAATATCAATTGCACACTTTCATTTTTCAGAAAAAGTTTGTCCAATTGTTTGATTAAGGTAAATCTTATCAATCTTACTCTGATTTTAGTTATTTCTGTTATTTCATTTTTTTTCAAAAATAAAAAACAATGATAAGAACTTTTTTATTAATTTGGAAAATGCATCAATACTTGAAAAAGTTCATGTTCCTACAATGAAAGGGTTCCTTGTTACCAACATCTTCTCAGAACTTTTGTTTATGAAAACTATTTTACAAAACAAAACCGGTATCTCTCTCGTGATTTTCAGAATCATGCACTTTTTGTTCATTGTCCTTTTATTTCAAACAACAACGATTTATAGAAAAACAATCAAATTTCAGTTTTTTCAGGTTTGATAAATGATGTCAACTTCTTTAAACTTTTGTTTTAATGAACCTTCTTCAACATTTTTTCTTACAATAAAAAACATCAATTTTAAAGTTGTTTGTTTGCACCACACCACCCACCAAAAATAATCAAAAAAAAACTTGACAGAATTTATTTGTCCAGGAAAAAAGACCACGAGGAGATTGATCATTATCTAAGAAAAGGCCAAAAAAAGAACAAATAAACAGAAAAATCTAACCTCAGCCAATGACATCATAACCCCACCACAATGAAAAACAACACAAAAATAGTACTCTTTTTGCCCCTCTTCCACCCTACCTCTTCTTCTTTTCCTATCTGTTTTCTATTTCTCGACAGTATACTTTGCCCTTCCAAATTGGCTCCACCCATTTACAAAATGACTATAAAAGCAAATGCGATGGTGTAGCTTCAACCAAAAACATGTCGTCTGTACCAAAAGTTGTTCGTGCTGCTCAAAAAGCTGTCATTAATCAATATATGACACGGGAAGCGTGAGTTTTTTCTTTAAATCTTTATGAAAATATATTTTTAAATAAAATAATTTCAGTGTCACCAAGGCGGCTTTCCAACCAACCACTCAAATTCCAATTCAACAACAACAACCTCAAAACATTCGTCTTCACGATGAAAGTATTCATTTGAAATTCGGTTTTCCAAATCTTGAAAAATCCGTCGAAAATCAAAAATTGTAAAAGCACCCGACTTTATTTTTTAACTTATTATGTTTTTTCGATTTATTTGGCCAGGCCTATTCTATTTTGTATATAAAAATTGTAAATAAAGCAGGATTGTTTCTTCTGTGTTTCAAAACAGGATTATTTGTTTTAAAAATTTGACAAAATCTAGTCTAACCATGGATTCAAATGGTCAATAAAATTCAGGTTTTGGAATTTGGAAGATACAATTTTGAATGATGGGTTAGCAAAACGGATAGCAATTTATATCCAGCTTTGCAACCCTTCAATATCGACCAATGTAGATGAATATTTTGTGATGAGCTTCAATTTAAAAAAGGTTTTTGACGTATGCAGAAACATAATTTTAAAAAGCCTATTTTTATCTGGTTCAATTTGATATTGTCAATAATACCATACTATATTTTGATTTATAAACTATTTTTGAATGAGAAAATTATCAATTTTTGCTATAACAATGAGATAGTTCGAAGCAATTGAAAATGTCTTAAAAGTAGCTTTCACAATGTAATTTTCTTTTTAAATTTTACCCGAGAAACTCAAGATATCCTATCTTGAAAATAAATATTTAATAATCAATTGTTATCATCCAAAATAGGACTAGAGTATGTTCCAAATAAACAGTTGTTCCTGTTACAAATTGTACTGATAACTGTTTCAGATTCATAACCTGTTTTCTTTGCAATCCAAAACTTTCAGAAAACAAAACAAAGGTTACTTTTTTATTTGATCAAAAATCAAACTTTGAAAACGCATTTCAACGAGGCTTAGCCAATCTAATCGTTTCAATGCATCATACTTGGTCATTTGTTCTTGGAAAAATCGGTAAAAGAACGTATCAGTTCAAATTGACAAACACCATCAAATCGTTGAAATTTGCGGAAAAAAGCCTATACACAACTGTTTTTGTGGAAAATCAGAGATGCAAAGTCACCCCACAAAAAGAACGAAAACGATAAACAACATAAAAACATGCTATAATGTTTGCAAATATATATAACACGTGAGACGATTTTTTCTGGGTGTATTGGAAGGTCGAATAATTGATAGGTGGAAAATATAGTGCAGGGTTGGGTATTTTTGTTTTTAGTACAGTGTTTCTGAAAATTAAAAAAAGAATGTTCATTTTTTAAATAAATAAAATAAATATTACAACGCTTCCCGTAGTCTAATAAATGTAAACTAGGAACTTATATGGAACTTTTGTTAAGGAATCAGCTGGGAAGCGTAGCTAACTCTCAAAAAAGTTCATATTAAAAACCGAGAATCCGATGACTCTCTAATTTTTTTCGGAAAGTTCAATATCGATATCGTGTTACAAATAAATTATTCAATCATTCAGTCAGTTTTGAAAACACGTTTACATTTTCAAGATGGTTTTTAAGAAACTGTGATTTCACAGAAACAAATCTTTCGGTATTTTTTTTACAAAGTAAAATTAGAAAATGCGTGTGTCATTTTTAATAACAAAAATGTTCAATATTTGTCAAGGAACTATTTTTGAACAGATATCAACAATTTTTCAATTTATGAGCATTTACTTTCTATTTTTTTATTTGTGATTTTTAGCTGCGATTATTTTCTGAAACCAAACTTTTTCATTAAAAACAACGAAATAATCTGTTTTTTGCTGATATGAGCATAAAGAACAACACTGCTCCGCGTTTTAAATAAAAATTGATCAAATTCGTCTAATTCAGAATGTCATTTATCACTGTTAATGTCATATTTTCATCCCTTTTTTTGATTTTTCTATAGAAGAATATTTTTCCTGTTCAAAGTACAGTTTTAATTCTATCGGAAGTTGGTGATACACATTATTTTTGTTCGTTTTGATTAGGTACAAAGATAGAGGCTATAAAAAAGTCACATGTACATATTGAACAATAGTGAGATTATTGATGAACAGCGAGGCTGTTTTAACTTCATATAACAACAATGATCTGATAAGAATTTCAAATGAAACGTGATGATCAGAGAACTTTTTTATCAGAACCTTTGTTTGGTTTATCAATCATATGGAAATGAAAACGTGGGGAAAATTGTTCGGCTCATATTGACAATATTTTTCGAAGGGCTGGAAACTCAATATTCAAATTAGAAACCATTCCTGATTTCGCCACGAGTCATTTTTTGAACAAAAAACTTGAAATTTTCTATGAATTCGACTGTTCGACAAAAAAGTTCAACGAAAAACTTCGACGAAAAAGTTCAACGAAAAAGTTCAACGAAAAACTTCGACGAAAAAGTTCAACGAAAAAGTTCAACGGAAAACTTCAACGAAAAAGTTCGACAAAAAAGTTCAACGAAAAACTTCGACGAAAAAGTTCGACGAAAAAGTTCAACGAAAAACTTCGACGAAAAAGTTCAACGAAATAGTTCAACGGAAAACTTCAACGAAAAAGTTCGACGAAAAAGTTCAACGAAAAACTTCGACGAAAAAGTTCGACGAAAAAGTTCAACGAAAAACTTCAACGAAAAAGTTCAACGAAAAACTTCAACGAAAAAGTTTTAAAAAAAATTGTTTTTTTGTTTTAATTTAAAAATTCTGATTACCTTAGGCTTGGGCGCAGGCTGGGCGTAAGCCCAGACTGCGCCATTTGGGGTTACACATTTTGACGTTTTTAACGGTCAGCCAAAACTAGTTAGCTGTTTAACTTAGGCTTAGTCTTAGGCTTAGGCTTAGCTGATTAACTTAGGCTTAGACTTAGGCTTAGCTTATTAACTTAGGCTTAGGCTTAGGCTTAGCTGATTAACTTAGGCTTAGGCTTAGGCTTAGCTAATTAATTTAAGATTAGCTCATCTCTCAGCTCATTTCATTTTTCCACAAAAATCAAGTTTCAAAAAAAAAGTTACAGATTTGGAATAATCCAAAAATGTAAAAATGAAGTCGATGAGTTGGGACCTAAATGACACTTCCTCTCAGGCTTAGGCTTAGTAAATCACCTAGAAGTAACAATAAAGTCGGGAAGATGTTCTGTCAATTTTTCTGTTTTTAACACTGTTAAAAATTCTGATTCATTTAGGCTTAGGCTTAGCTGATTAACTTAGGCTTAGGCTTAGGCTTAGCTGATTAACTTAGGCTTAGGCTTAGGCTTAGCTGATTAACTTAAGATTAGCTTATCTCTCAGCTCATTTCATTGATGTTCTGTCAATTTTTCGGAAGATGTTCTGTCAATTTTTCTGTTTTTAACAATGTTAAAAATTCTGATTACCTTAGGCTTAGGCTTAGGCTTAGCTGATTACCTTAGGCTTAGGCTTAGGCTTAGCTGATTACCTTAGGCTTAGGCTTAGGCTTAGCTGATTACCTTAGGCTTAGGCTTAGCTGATTACCTTAGGCTTAGGCTTAGGCTTAGCTGATTACCTTAGGCTTAGGCTTAGGCTTAGCTGATTACCTTAGGCTTAGGCTTAGGCTTAGCTGATTAACTTAAGATTAGCTTATCTCTCAGCTCATTTCATTGATGTTCTGTCAATTTTTCTGTTTTCAACAGTGTTAAAAATTCTGATTCATTTAGGCTTAGGCTTAGCTGATTAACTTAGGCTTAGGCTTAGGCTTAGCTGATTAACTTAAGATTAGCTTATCTCTCAGCTCATTTCATTGATGTTCTGTCAATTTTTCTGTTTTTAACACTGTTAAAAATTCTGATTCATTTAGGCTTAGGCTTAGCTGATTAACTTAGGCTTAGGCTTAGGCTTAGCTGATTAACTTAGGCTTAGGCTTAGGCTTAGCTGATTAACTTAAGATTAGCTTATCTCTCAGCTCATTTCATTGATGTTCTGTCAATTTTTCGGAAGATGTTCTGTCAATTTTTCTGTTTTTAACAATGTTAAAAATTCTGATTACCTTAGGCTTAGGCTTAGGCTTAGCTGATTACCTTAGGCTTAGGCTTAGGCTTAGCTGATTACCTTAGGCTTAGGCTTAGGCTTAGCTGATTACCTTAGGCTTAGGCTTAGCTGATTACCTTAGGCTTAGGCTTAGGCTTAGCTGATTACCTTAGGCTTAGGCTTAGGCTTAGCTGATTACCTTAGGCTTAGGCTTAGGCTTAGCTGATTAACTTAAGATTAGCTTATCTCTCAGCTCATTTCATTGATGTTCTGTCAATTTTTCTGTTTTCAACAGTGTTAAAAATTCTGATTACCTTAGGCTTAGGCTTAGGCTTAGCTGATTACCTTAGGCTTAGGCTTAGGCTTAGCTGATTACCTTAGGCTTAGGCTTAGGCTTAGCTGATTAACTTAAGATTAGCTCATCTCTCAGCTCATTTCATTGATGTTCTGTCAATTTTTCTGTTTTTAACAATGTTAAAAATTCTGATTACCTTAGGCTTAGGCTTAGGCTTAGCTGATTACCTTAGGCTTAGGCTTAGGCTTAGCTGATTACCTTAGGCTTAGGCTTAGGCTTAGCTGATTAACTTAAGATTAGCTTATCTCTCAGCTCATTTCATTGATGTTCTGTCAATTTTTCTGTTTTTAACAGTGTTAAAAATTCTGATTACCTTAGGCTTAGGCTTAGGCTTAGCTGATTACCTTAGGCTTAGGCTTAGGCTTAGCTGATTAACTTAAGATTAGCTTATCTCTCAGCTCATTTCATTGATGTTCTGTCAATTTTTCTGTTTTTAACAGTGTTAAAAATTCTGATTACCTTAGGCTTAGGCTTAGGCTTAGCTGATTACCTTAGGCTTAGGCTTAGGCTTAGCTGATTAACTTAAGATTAGCTTATCTCTCAGCTCATTTCATTGATGTTCTGTCAATTTTTCTGTTTTTAACAGTGTTAAAAATTCTGATTACCTTAGGCTTAGGCTTAGGCTTAGCTGATTACCTTAGGCTTAGGCTTAGGCTTAGCTGATTACCTTAGGCTTAGGCTTAGGCTTAGCTGATTACCTTAGGCTTAGGCTTAGGCTTAGCTGATTAACTTAAGATTAGCTTATCTCTCAGCTCATTTCATTGATGTTCTGTCAATTTTTCTGTTTTTAACAATGTTAAAAATTCTGATTACCTTAGGCTTAGGCTTAGGCTTAGCTGATTACCTTAGGCTTAGGCTTAGGCTTAGCTGATTACCTTAGGCTTAGGCTTAGGCTTAGCTGATTAACTTAAGATTAGCTCATCTCTCAGCTCATTTCATTGATGTTCTGTCAATTTTTCTGTTTTTAACAATGTTAAAAATTCTGATTACCTTAGGCTTAGGCTTAGGCTTAGCTGATTACCTTAGGCTTAGGCTTAGGCTTAGCTGATTACCTTAGGCTTAGGCTTAGGCTTAGCTGATTACCTTAGGCTTAGGCTTAGGCTTAGCTGATTACCTTAGGCTTAGGCTTAGGCTTAGCTGATTACCTTAGGCTTAGGCTTAGGCTTAGCTGATTACCTTAGGCTTAGGCTTAGGCTTAGCTGATTACCTTAGGCTTAGGCTTAGGCTTAGCTGATTACCTTAGGCTTAGGCTTAGGCTTAGCTGATTACCTTAGGCTTAGGCTTAGGCTTAGCTGATTACCTTAGGCTTAGGCTTAGGCTTAGCTGATTACCTTAGGCTTAGGCTTAGGCTTAGCTGATTACCTTAGGCTTAGGCTTAGGCTTAGCTGATTAACTTAAGATTAGCTTATCTCTCAGCTCATTTCATTGATGTTCTGTCAATTTTTCTGTTTTTAACAGTGTTAAAAATTCTGATTACCTTAGGCTTAGGCTTAGGCTTAGCTGATTACCTTAGGCTTAGGCTTAGGCTTAGCTGATTACCTTAGGCTTAGGCTTAGGCTTAGCTGATTAACTTAAGATTAGCTCATCTCTCAGCTCATTTCATTGATGTTCTGTCAATTTTTCTGTTTTTAACAATGTTAAAAATTCTGATTACCTTAGGCTTAGGCTTAGCTGATTACCTTAGGCTTAGGCTTAGGCTTAGCTGATTACCTTAGGCTTAGGCTTAGGCTTAGCTGATTACCTTAGGCTTAGGCTTAGGCTTAGCTGATTACCTTAGGCTTAGGCTTAGGCTTAGCTGATTAACTTAAGATTAGCTTATCTCTCAGCTCATTTCATTGATGTTCTGTCAATTTTTCTGTTTTTAACAGTGTTAAAAATTCTGATTACCTTAGGCTTAGGCTTAGGCTTAGCTGATTACCTTAGGCTTAGGCTTAGGCTTAGCTGATTACCTTAGGCTTAGGCTTAGGCTTAGCTGATTACCTTAGGCTTAGGCTTAGGCTTAGCTGATTAACTTAAGATTAGCTTATCTCTCAGCTCATTTCATTGATGTTCTGTCAATTTTTCTGTTTTTAACAGTGTTAAAAATTCTGATTACCTTAGGCTTAGGCTTAGGCTTAGCTGATTACCTTAGGCTTAGGCTTAGGCTTAGCTGATTAACTTAAGATTAGCTTATCTCTCAGCTCATTTCATTGATGTTCTGTCAATTTTTCTGTTTTTAACAATGTTAAAAATTCTGATTACCTTAGGCTTAGGCTTAGGCTTAGCTGATTACCTTAGGCTTAGGCTTAGGCTTAGCTGATTACCTTAGGCTTAGGCTTAGGCTTAGCTGATTACCTTAGGCTTAGGCTTAGGCTTAGCTGATTAACTTAAGATTAGCTTATCTCTCAGCTCATTTCATTGATGTTCTGTCAATTTTTCTGTTTTTAACAGTGTTAAAAATTCTGTGAATCAACCAAAAAATTCGAAGGGTCTCCGAATTTTGTGATTGAACCAAAAAAATTCGAAGGGTCTCCGAATTTTGTGAATCAACCGAAAAAATTCGAAGGGTCTCCGAATTTTGTGAATCAACCGAAAAAATTCGAAGGGTCTCCGAATTTTGTGAATCAACCGAAAAAATTCGAAGGGCTTAGGCGCAGGCTTAGGCTTAGCTGATTAACTTAAGATTAGCTTATCTCTCAGCTCATTTCATTGATGTTCTGTCAATTTTTCTGTTTTTAACAGTGTTAAAAATTCTGTGAATCAACCAAAAAAATTCGAAGGGTCTCCGAATTTTGTGATTGAACCAAAAAAATTCGAAGGGTCTCCGAATTTTGTGATTGAACCAAAAAAATTCGAAGGGTCTCCGAATTTTGTGAATCAACCGAAAAAATTCGAAGGGTCTCCGAATTTTGTGAATCAACCGAAAAAATTCGAAGGGTCTCCGAATTTTGTGAATCAACCGAAAAAATTCGAAGGGTCTCCGAATTTTGTGAATCAACCGAAAAAATTCGAAGGGTCTCCGAATTTTGTGAATCAACCAAAAAATTCGAAGTGTTAAAAATTCTGATTACCTTAGGCTTAGGCTTAGCTGATTACCTTAGGCTTAGGCTTAGGCTTAGCTGATTACCTTAGGCTTAGGCTTAGGCTTAGCTGATTACCTTAGGCTTAGGCTTACAAGGAAAGGTTTTCAATGTTCCCCCAAGGAAAAAATCGAAAGTATGTGGAATGTTGAGGGTTCCCATGGGTAAGAAAAACCCTAACGGGAATAAGGAGAAAAATGCCTTGTTTTAGAAAATTTTGGTGTTATTGATTTTTGCGATGAAATTTTTTAGAAAAATCGAAACTTTTTTCAAAAT